CTTGAGATATAATTACATTCCTAGAAAAAGTTGTTACAACTTAGGACTTGAATCTTAAAAACTGAGCCGAGCGGAGCGAGGCAAACATAAATTTATGTCTTTCGTGCCAAAAAACATATTTTGTTATTGTATGGGGAAGAGGTGTATTTATCAAATTAGCTATAATGTTTGAATGTTTGAAATGCAGAATTACTCAAATCTTGTATTTTTTTTTTTCCAATGCCCCCCCCCCCCCCCATTTTTGCTTGGCATAGTTAGTTATAGTATAGGTCTATATGTTAGCGGCAATAAGTGAAATTAGGCATTAAGCTTAAATCCTAGGCAATAAGCTAAACTAGAAGCCACCTTTGCAGCACTTTTTGACGTAAGAGCTCTAGAAACATACTTTTTATGTGATATTGGTACACCATAAGAAAATATAGTTTCCATCTTACTTTGTTTGGAAATCGATTAAATCAACATGTCCTCTTCTGCAAAACTCTTTGTTAAATGGGTTTTACTACTACTCCCTTCCCTATGCACATTTTATCATGTTACAATTTTCACAAAATGGAAAATAAAAGTACAATGGAATCCTGGAAATTGTTTGCAAAGCCATTATTAATTTGTTTAATTCTACGGTCTATACTAATATAATAATGCCGCTTTGACATATTTCTTTATGTGTTTTTCCCAAAATGCCATACCGTTCCTCTAGAAAAACATAAACTTTTAAATTTCCTTCATCATTCTCTTTTACTTTAGTTACCAGTCTTTCAAACCTTCAATGGTGAAATATTGTCATGCCACTTTAAATTGTGATAGTCTATAGTTGCCTTATTTTCTGTTTATGAAAGTTTAATCTTTGCCAAATGATCACTGTACTTTTGCCCTGGGTATATGATCTTTGTTTTCCCTGATTCAAATTTATATTCCGCAAAGATTCAAGAATGATTTTGTTTCTTAAATGCTAATAATCCAGATTAAGAAATGAAAAGACAAGATGAGTATTTAAGAAAATTTACATATCCAATAACAGATGGAAAGATGATTATGTCTGGCAAAATTTCATATCTTAAGTTGTCTATTTTTGACAGCTGTAACCGGCTCCACTATTGAAGAGCAATACCATAAAGAAATACCAGTAAGTTCTGTTTTAAATACGAAAAAATACTAAAAGATGATTTTTTTTAAATCAGTTTATATTAATTTTTGGAAAATAATATTTTTTAAATTCTTCATAAAAAAATATATATTTCACCGAATTAAAATTGAGAATGGAAATGGGGAATGTGTCAAAGAGACAACAACCCGACTATAGAGCAGACAACAGACGAAGGCCACCAATGGGTCTTCAATGCAGCGAGAAACTCCCGCACCCGGAGGCGTCCTTCAGCTGGCCCCTAAACAAATGTATTTGGAAGATAAACAAAAATCCCAAAATTAACTTATTGCCTGAAATGATGCTCGACAATAGGTTGAATAATCATCATCAGATTTCAGGAAATAAGCTTATTGCCTGGAAATTTCAGGCAATTACTTAATGCCTAGGCGTTAGGTTATTGCCTGGAATTTAAGCTTAATGCCTAGTTTCACTTATTGCCGCTAACATATATATATCCACCAAAGTTCAAATGAAGTGGATGTAAGCAATTAAAGGCAACCGTAAGGCCTTCAACAATGAGAAAAACCCATACCGTATTGTCGGCTATAAAATGCCCCGACATGAAAAATATGAAACAATTCAATTGAGAAAAATAACGGCCTAATTTATAACAGAACAAATGCGAACAAAATATGACAGACATGAACCAACGACAACCACTGAATTATAGGTTCCTGACTTGGGACAGGCACATTAAGAATGTGGCGGGGTTAAACATGTTTGTGAGAGCTCACCTCCCCCTTACCTAGGACAGTGGTGTTACAGCACAAATGAACATACAAACAGCAAACCGCACAGTAAAACTGGTATTAGAAATATTCATAAAAATTATCTGCTTAGATGTGGGTCATAGATTAAAAAATAAAAATAAAAAAGCCGAACCAAACATGCCAAAGGAGGCCGTACTTTGGGCCTATAGTGGATTACTTTTACAAATTGTGACTTGGATGGAGAGTTGTCTCATTGGCACTCATACCACATCATCTTATATCTATGTAGTTCGTAATTCGGATAAAAAAAACTCGAAGAACGCGTTGAACAATTATAACAGACGTATACTTCAAACACAATAAAAACCAAAACTTTGGGCATTACGAAATTCCGTCAAAAAAAAGGTTGTGCTATCATGTGCTCTGAAAGGGAAGGCTTCCTTGCTTAGAACGTCAGAACTCAAGATCCTGAAAAACGAACTAACAAAGGATCGCAGCGAGATCAATAGAGAACACTTGGTGAAAAAAATTAGTTTGATATAAAATACATTGCCTACCTGAGTATCGATATCATGACCATGATCCCTTATAACTATAAGACTGTTAACGTCATTCGTATCAATAGATGTAGTGTTGCCCAAATACTTTGAAGTTGCTGCAAAAATAATAAAACATGTACAAATATAATAATGGTTCCGTCATTCTTTTACTCTACACAGAATATTCTTTATGTCTGTATTATATGTGCCTGTTATTTTCATGCGCGTATTTTGAAAACGTTTAAAAGGATACAACCTACCGTTTTTCACTTTTGGTAAATGTCCTTCGCACAACAGTCCAAGTAATAGAAAGAAGAAATACGAGATAATTTTATCCATAATTGTATGTATTCGAATGAATTAAACAGAAGAATGATGAAATAACGCAATTTATAATAAAGTTCGTTCCCCGTTGACTATTTAGTTGTATAATGCTTGACCAGCACTATGAAATCTAATGGATATTGCTCCTAGGGGCTATGAACACCTTTTAATCAACTTTAAAATCAGATGTCTTTTTTTTTACCGAATGACTCATTAAAATTTTATACTGATATAGTTTTATTTCAGTTCTTCATTTAGTCCCTCGATTTGGTTTTCAGTCTTTTTGTTTTTATTTCATTGCAAATATTTAGTTTTCATTATCATAGACATGTGAGTAACTGAATTATCAAAAATTAGTATTTCAACAACAAAACAACAAAATAAAAACATCAAAACAACCAAAAAATCAAATAGAAAAAAAACAGGGCATTATATAATAGATAATAAATGGCTAACCCGCTTGAGGATTTTTTTTCTGTCAAAAAGTAAAACAAAAAATAGTCTTTATTATACTTTTTTCTGAGTCAACCAAAAGATGTGCTAAGAAGCCAACTACACCAAGTACCACAAATATATTTCAACACAAATTGATCGTAAGTTATACTACAATGTTCTAGACTTACGAGTATTTTTTCTCTAAAGGTTTTTTTTGTAAAATAAGTCGCAGCACTTAATGCCTTGTTGATATGCTTGATGTCATACCATAGTGGTCGTTCAATACTTTAGGCGCGTAAATATGTACATTTCAGTGGTCGGATAGCTGAAATTTGAAATTTGTTGCAGGTGCAATAAGGAATTTAATTTTACTGAACATTATGTGTATTTTCGGGTATTATTGTTTATTGTTATCTGTTTTGTTTCATGACTTATATTTCACATCTACTTTCATTGATATTTTCTTTTTAAAATTTGGTAAGGAAGAAAAGAGGGATGCGGAGCAGATATCTCACCACCTATATTAAGGTATCACTTATGTAAATGGGAGATCTCACGGATATATATATATATATATAGAAATTTGTTCAGAAACTAGATTGATTGATTGTTGGTTGCTTAATCCGGAACTAGAGCACGATTAACTGCATGAATGTAAAATAAAATGAAATATGCAACTGTACTACTTTATGAGATATAGCAAATTAAATATCCGGAAAACTGTTCATTTTTTTTTCGCATTTAAATTACTTTTTCTCGAAGTCATGTCCTATACTGATTTTCTTTTAAAATGACATGGTATTGCTACTGATATTTTCGTTCTTATTGATATCAAATAGGTAATATTTACAGTAGACAACGGAATCCGTTCTTTGTGTATGAATAGTATAAATCATCTGCACAGCATCACAAACAGCACCGAAAATGCAAAAGCAAGCCTGACGTCGTGACTGCATTGTGTATCGAAACCTTAGATTTCGATTGTTTTATTTTCATATTTCATAACGATACTTGAATGATTAATTAATTAATGCAGCAAAAAAAAATCAGTGACCCGTATAAATTACATATCAGTATAAATAAACTTTTAGTTACAGTAAAATATTTCTTTGGTATTCTCAATTCCTCCAATGATTTATAAGTGATGCTTCTCTACCCTGGTGGAAAATAAGAGTAGAGGGGCATCACTTATAGAATAGTATTATTGTTACATCGGATGATATATGTCAAGAGTTCCTTTTGCATACTTGAGAAAGGAAATTCCATATTTTTACACTTATCAGTGGCGGATTCGGGAGGGAGAGACGTAAAGGGTGAACGTACTCCCCCCTTTTTATCGGAAAACACATATTTATTTTGGCTCAGAATCTTTAAAAAAAATGTTGAGCTTTGGCGGCTGTGTTGGTTGGCAAACGGTAGCAACGGACACAGTTCTTAAACAAGAAACCGTATGGATAATTGTGTCCAGGTTTGGTTCCAGTTTCTCCAGTAGTTTCAGGGGAGACTTGAGGTTTTTGTAAACGTTAACGGACGACGAACGACATACGACGGACTACAGACAACGGACGACAGAAGACGGGCGCCAAGCAATGACCCTTTGGTTCAGATGAGCTAAAAAGAGGCAGAAAATACCAAGGGGATAATAAAAAAATCATAAGTCGATGAAAAACTGGCAATACCATGGCCAAATATGTTACATTTAAATAACATATATATAAAGACTTAAACTTATTTCTTTTTTTCAAATGTATGTGCTATAATAGAAATTTGAATCGTGGAGATAACTACGAATGAATAATTATCAATGTGAAAGATTAATCATTGTGTATATGTGTTATATTTCCGAATCTAATTGAGATTCTGAGTGGAGTTAGATACATAAACACACCGAGTGTTTTCTGTCAAAATTACATATACGCTATCAGCAGATGTAGCTAAACTTCAGTTTCATTTGAACGTTGGACGATGAATATACAGGAAATAATTTAACATGTTCACACTTAGATTTACCCTGATATTCTTTATTTACTCATTTTTTGTTAGAACTGCAGTAATGCAGATTGTAGATCAAATACTTGAAGAAGACGTGACTGACTTAAATAGTTCATTCTGCCAACAAAAATGGTCATGTAAAGAATCGGATATTGACGATAGGAATTGTAATTGTGACTCTGAATGCACTGCATATAATGATTGTTGTACTGATGTCGCTACCAACCAGACCATTCAAACTTTCATACCAAATTTTAGTTGTGAATATATTCCAGAGATTGATGAGGACTCTTACGTATTTGTGGTGCAGAAATGTCCACCAGGTACAAGGAAGGAACTAAATAAAGAGTGCGAAACATTTGAAAATGTACAAATTCCAGTGAGTGGTAAAACTACTGGTTATATGTATAGGAACATGTATTGTGCAGCCTGTCACGGAGAAGACTTCTTGTCCTGGCAAACAGGGTTTTCCTGTCATTGGCCTCACAGGGGAGACGTTAATAAAACACTTGAAAGTATGCAAAACGACGAACATTGTAGAAAGCGTCTTCATCCACCAACACGGAGCGCTGATTCAAGAAACAAATCTAGGCGATGTTTCCCTATAACTGATACTTGTTTATCAATACAGAGTGTAAGCAGATGTCAAGATGGACCAACTGAAGTAGTTTTTAATGATCATGTTTACAAAAATAAAGACTGTGCCCTTTGCAACAATGTAAGTAGTGATCAACTAGTCTGCAGTGCTCGTGCTTGGAAGTTAAGACCATCTGGAGAGAAAAGGAAAATAACTAGTTACAGTTACAGACTTCTGTTTGATTATCATACCAATATGGCTACTGGTACCTATGTAAAGCGTCGTCGAACACAGAAACCAGAAAGAAATAGTAAAATCTGTCCAAAATTTGAATTGTATGATCTCTACACCGATGTCTGTAGAAAAGTTAACTGCTTAATTCCTCTTGTTTATGAAAATGGAAAATGTGTATATAGACCGACAATTTCAAGTAAAGACAGAAAAGAAAAATTTCCCCGGGGCAAAGTTCGGAGTGATTGTGTTTATTTTCAGTTGAATGATACGGAATATGAAATTATAAACAATAATAACATATTTATATATACTATAAACAAAACATTAACTAATGACTCCTTCTATGAAGATAGCAATCATGCATATGTTTGCCGTGATGTACTTAATGAATTGTTTTCTGGGGATTATTTAGTCCGAATATACCGTGAAGCGGAGAGTATTTTATCCCTTGTTGGATCGGTGTTATCCATCATTGCTCTTACTATAACACTCTGTCTTTATTTGCGGTTTCCAAAGCTTCAGAACACACCAGGAAAAAGTTTAATCTGTTTGATGGTGTCTCTTATTGTTGCACAGTTACTATTCTTACTCGCCAACACAGTGGAAGATCATAGACACGTTTGTATTGGGTTTGCAATAACTATACACTATACTTTCCTAACGTCTGTATTTTGGATGAACTGTATGTCATTTGATATTTTCATCACATTTTCGAAAGGATTTGTTAAATCGGAAGAGGATAAGAGTAACAAGAGATTTGTGTGGTATTCAGTATACGCATGGGTTATCCCAATGTTCATTGTAGTATCGGGAGTGTGCTTAGATGCATTTACTGCCAGTGCCTATAGTCCGCATTACGGACAAGTCGTTTGTTGGATTGGAAACAAACAGGCATTGCTGGTATACTTTCTTGTACCTACTGGATTAATAGTACTCACTAATTTGTTTTTCTATATTTTCACCGTAAGGTCTATTTTTGTTTCTAGTCGAAAAACAAATAAGATTTTAAGACGAAAAAAGGCATGTAAACTTCTTGTCTATGTAAAATTATCTATTGTAATGGGGCTTACATGGGTTTTTGCTTACGTCGCTTCGTTTTCAAACGAAACAGTTTTTTGGTATTTATTTATTTGTTTTGGTTCTTGGCAGGGTGTCTTCATTTTTATTTCGTTTGTTTGCTTTGGGAAGGTACGAAGTCATGTCATTGATAATGCAAGAGTTGTGTCATCCTACCTCAGAAGTCGCACTGCAACCTCGGTTCTGACAGATTCATCAAAAACTTAGTTTTCGACATCAATTAATTTTCAGTTGAGTTTTTATTTCAGTTAGATGTCCCCTATAAAATTTCTATTTTTCTTTATTGTCAAGGAAAATGTAATCATTGTAGATGACATGCCTTAACTACTGAGAACTGATTTTTGTCTATTTGACCCTTTGCCGCTTCGATCGCGAATTGAAAGTTTGACTTTTGAAATACAAACGTTTCTATTGTATGATATTAATCAATGACATTCAGGATACTTTCAGGATTTTGAAATATAATACAACTTGTCTTTAATCCGTGTTGTGTAGCCAACTGAAAATAAAGTGGGATTCGTCATCAACTATAGAGAAAAAAAATCATTAACTCTCTCAAATTCTTTGGATGTTTACCCTTGGTTTTTTTTTGTATGCTGTGCGCAAGTTCCCTTTTTACATGTTACACTTCTTACATGAAAGATGCTTAGTGTATTTGAAGAATGCATCATAGTTATAGTCGATGTTGTAAATAAATTTAATTTGAAATGACACATTTTATTCTTCAGTTTATTCATGTAGTAGTTGATCAGATTATACTTATAGCTTATTACCAATCGCACGAAGTAAATCGTGTATAGTCATTATCAAGTAGGGATAATTGATGATTCGGATAGAGAATGACGTCAAATATATATATTTATACATATATATATATATATATATATTGTTTTTATGCCCCACCTACGATAGTAGAGGGGCATTATGTTTTTCGGTCTGTGCGTCCGTTCGTCCGTCCGTCCCGCTTCAGGTTAAAGTTTTTGGTCAAGTCCAATCAACTTGAAACTTAGTACACATGTTCCCTATGATATGATCTTTCTAATTTCAATGCCAAATTAGAGTTTTTACCCCAATTTCACGGTCCACTGAACATAGAAAATAATAGTGCGAGTGGGGTATCCGTGTACTATGGACACATTCTTGTTCTACTTATTTCTAGAATTGGTGTACAAATTGAAACTGACCCTAAGCCCGTAAAAGTTCATCAAAATGTATCATTCTGTCCCGATTATATTAAAACTTGGGTAAGAGATATGCAGTGATGCTATAGGTGATGATGGATATATATCTTACAGCTGATTCACCGTACCTTTCAATCGTTGTTTAAAATAACTTATGTCTACATCTTACATGAAAAAATAAGATTATGCAGTCTGTTTATTCTTCATATCCTGATAACCGCTCAATAACTCGTCAAAGTTATAAACTATTAATTATTTATATAAGTTCAGATAAACAGCAGAAAATATTAAAGGAAACTAGTGCTTAGTGATCGATCATTGTGTTTTCTCACAAATTTATTTACAGTATCGTCAAGTCTTAAACAAAAATGAAGACAAAATGAGACCAGTTTCAGTGTTCTTTCCCAAACTTAAAAAAACATAATGACTTTCACAATTATTATTGTTTCATAGCTACAAAAAAATAACAGTATGATGCAAATAACATACATACTCAGGTAATTAATTACATTTTAATTACATACCGATTGTTTCCCCAGTTAAATTACAGTTATCATACCATCATAACATATATGAGAAGAACATAACCCGTGTCATGCCAACAACTGGTTTTTAAATAAATGTGTTTAGTGCCGATGCAAAGACCCTATAAGTGAATCAATATTAACGCCAAAATATGCAATCTTTAATGACCTGACAACAGTATCGTAACTATATCCCTTCTTAATAAGTCTATTTAAAGGTTTTGTTAGCTTCAGAGGTGAATACTGACATTTTTGTGCTTTATAAAGAATATTTCCATAAAAAATTGGATGTGAAATACCTGAACGTATAAGAAGTCTGCATGTTGAGCTATATTTACGAATGATGTCCTTATACCGATGATAAAATTTAGTAAATGTTTTGACTAGTTTGTGATATCGAAAACCCTGGTGTAATAATTTTTCAGTAATAAATAAATTTCTCTCGTTAAAATCTAAAACATTGTTACATACACGAGCGAATCGTACAAGTTGAGATATATAAACACCGTAAGATGATGACAAGGGAACGTCACCATCTAAAAATGGATAATTAACGATAGGAAATGAAAAATCATCTCTTTTATCATATATTTTAGTATTAAGCTTTCCGTTAATGATATAGATATCAAGATCGAGGAAAGGGCAGTGGTCATTGTTAGTATTAGCTTTATTTAAAGTAAGTTCAACAGGATAAATTTCTTTAGTATACATACTGAAGTCGTCATTATTGAGAGCCAAAATATCATCCAAATATCTAAAAGTATTATTAAATTTGTGTATCAGATGTTGTTTCGATGGGTCTTTGCTGATTTTTGTCATAAATTGTAACTCATAGCAATACAAAAAAAGGTCCGCAATAAGTGGTGCACAGTTAGTTCCCATTGGAATTCCGATAACCTGACGATATACGGAATCTCCGAAGCGAACCAAAATGTTATCTAGTAAAAATTCAAGGGCATATATAGTATCAAAGCATGTCCAATTGACATAGTTTTTTTGTTAATTGCTACTAAAAAATGACCTAAAAGAGTTTGAACATATATATTCACATTCTGACTTTTCAAATGCCCATTTAATTAGGTGTGTGATTTTTTTCTTAATGAGAATGTGAGGCAATGCGGTATATAGGGTAGAAAAATCAAAACTTTGAACAGTTTCAAAATCACCAATATATGCATGTAATTTATCAAGTACTTCCAATGAGTTCTTGACACTCCAAAAGTAATTAATTCCACTATTTTCGAAGGCCTTATTTGAACAATTTATTATCAGGTTTTTGATTGTACCAAGTGTACTGGTAAGAAGAATAGACAATTTAGTAGTGGAACAATGGCTTGAAGACGAAATGAATCTTTATTTGTAAGGTGTTTTGTGTAGCTTCGGAAGCCAATACATAGTTGGGACTTTCATTGTATTTGGTTCTGCATGTAAAGCGGTAGCTAAAAGTTTATGTTTGTTACAGATGTCGTTTTCTGAAAATGGAGTCAGTTGGAATGTTGGTGAATTGGTGATTTCTTTTTTCAGAACCTCAATGTAAAATTTACGTCAAATAATAATAATATTATTACATTGCAAATGTAACTGAAATTACATTTAATTTTGAGCTTAAGAACTTTATCTTGTATTTGCCAAATACAATGAAAATAACTAGTGTACTGAAGAAATCGTGTAAGTATTAGTATAATACCTTTCGTAGTTCAACACTGCTGCCCGTCACCAATATTTGAACCTTAGAACTCCAGTTAACAAATTTATGAATTATATAATAATGCTACATTATGTACATTTTTGTCGATGGTGATTTTTATCTCAAATCATCGTTTGAATCCGAACGCTACAGCTGAAGAATCTGGTACTTTAAAAGGCCTTTATCCACAAACCATGCACAAGACTTTTACAGTTGGGATGTAGATTTTATAGCTAACGACATTATCTGGTTCAAAGAGCCATTATCAGCATAGTGACATCTCATGACTTTTCTTTTCACTGAAGCTATTTTGCCACCCTTACCGCACATTAATTTGTTTCTTATATACCCGCCAGATATTTTCTATAAAATCTGCAGATATTAAAAAAAAACATATATTTTCCCGAGGTAAACCATTTTTGTAAATATATCAATGAAATTTATCCTTTAAACTATACTCTTACTATTGTTAATCTTACGTTCAAGCGCTGGGTATCCTTTTTATACACTTCTTAAGACAACCTTCGTACAAAAAATCATAGTCAATTTTCATTTCCTTGGTCCTGTGATGGCGATGTTCCGTTGGCTTCGTCTTGTTCAATGGTTAAATATACACGTGTATGCAATAACGTGTCTGATTTCAATGAGCAAAACAAATTTCAGTACAAAAAAAAACAACACAAAACAAACAAACAAAAACCCCGTCAGTTAAAAAGAATACAGATACTATATATACTGGTATAAAACTTTCATAAATCTGATCACAGATCGTGGTTAAACACACCAGGGTAATTTATCATAGATATATAAAGCAAACAAATGTAAGAAGTGTCTTTTTTCATTTTATTTTGCTTATACACGATATAGATTTTAATTATACTGGTGCTGTTATCCCGCTACATTTTTGGTGACCAGTGCAGATTCGCTTAACTACTCTACATGCAGCTGGTAGCACAAAATAAATCTTTATAGCTTTATTAAACAATTAAGTACTGATAACTCAGGAAAAAGCTTTTTGGACATCATGAATATTTGGATTACGGCTTACCTTCATTGCTAGACCGTATCTTTTCAGGGTAAGAATACTCCAACGCAAAAATATGCAAACAAAACTGTTTTAATGTAAAAACAAACAGGGATCAATAGTCCACCCTGACTTGAAACTTGAAATGAAACAAGATAGAAACCAACAAACAAAGCAAACAAATGCATATAACCATTATGCTGGCTCCGAAAAGTTACCCTTTTTTCGCTATTCTTTTCTTCTATGTTAATATAATTCTAGTTAAAAAATCCTCAAACCCGGATTTACTCGGCTTAAAAAGATAAGTATATTTACTGTAAGTCAACGAACCAAATATCCAATCGGTTAGTATAACACTTTTTGTAGTTCAACACTAGTGCGATTCTGGTAAATAGTTCCGTCTATCGGCTCTTAGCTATCTATTTGCGGTTTTGTTGTCAAAAATTAAAAAAAAATGAGTGAATCGTGTGCTTTATTGAAGGCTCAGTTTTGAGAAAATCGTAACAGTTAGTTAGTAGGTCCTCTTCATGTTCTTGAACATATAATGCATCATCAATCGTAATATATTAAACAATACACAATCCCACAAAATAAGTGGACCGACCATGTAACAATGTTCGGTAAATCCGCGCATATGTAGATATTGCATTTATAAGACAGTTTCTTTGGATACTTCAACAAGAAAACTTTAATTTAAAATAGAAATCAACTCAAAATGGTTTATCAGGTAAAATTGAGTTATGTCTTTGGTAATTTGAAAGGTTCTTCGGAGGGAACATATTCTGATAGCTTTTGGTGTGTAAATCAAAACCGAAACTTCTGAACTAGCTTAACTTCTTTCGTTCTTTTTTATATTCAAAACTGCATTAAAGGTTTCCCTATTTCGTTCTCGTGCAAAAAAATATAAACACGTCTCGTTCGTTTGCATTAGCCTTAAATGCATACATGCACAACTCGTATGTGTATCTTTTGTATAAAAAATGTCGTTTTTTTTGCTGTAAAACCGAAAACGTTTGCTATATACAGTATAGTTCTGAATCTTATCTGCAAGTAGCCGTATAGATTAGATAGTCTAAAAGCATTGTAAATAGAAACTTTAATTTTTATTGGAAATTCTACATTAATATCAAATTAAAATTTATGAGCAATATCGATTATTCTGTAAATATATATTGCCAAAGTTATTGAAGTGAAATGGAAATATAAAGCATTTCAGGATTCCAAACAATTCCTATATCGATTGCACAAACTATTTTATTAAGCAGCTTTGTTCATATTGCATATTGATTGAACCAAAGGATTCATACCAACTGAGCTGGTTGTTCAACATTTTATAAACCCATTCCAAAGGGAATTACTTGAATACCTCGAAGACCTTTAGTGCTTTCTCTTTTATATATAAAAATAGATATATCAATGACGTACGTGTGTCCATTGTTATCACCCAAATGTATCTGTATAAAGACAACATCATCATTCACATTCTATATGGTTTGTCAATCTCTTTAAATTTGAGCACCGATTTTTGTTTTTGTTTCATGTGATAAACAAGTTCCAGTCTGTCCAAATTTGAACGATAACAACGAAATGGCTGAATCACACAATCTGATAAAACACATAACCAAGGTAATCGGAATATGTAATAAAAAGTTTTATTTAGTCTCTAAGGTTTTGATTGAACAATGAAAAAATGTCATATTTCCAACTTTGTGCATGTACTTTGAGGATAAAAGATGATTTTCAGTTATTATGCCGTTCAATTAGTTGGCACTCGTCCAAAGAAAGATATTTATAAAAAAATGAACTTCTGCATAAAAAGCACGAATATGTAGTGTAGTTATAAAAGCCCAGTGCATCGTGACCTTGCAATTTTGATTGATTTTATTATTTTTTGCTTTCCATCAAGTGTCAAGTATTTCATGCATATTCAGTACAATCGACATTTTAAGACAGAACAATCAATAAAAAAATTGTCCTCCTTTAGTGTCGATCAAATATTTTACTTAAATATTGATATTAAAGTCTAATGCAAATATTGATGAAACCTACCACTTTAACCTACCCATTATATTAAATTAAACTACCTGTTTTGTTCCATATTAATAATTGATAATTGTATATTTGACGCAAAACATCATTCCAAATCAATATTATTTACCATTTTGGTAGAATTGTAATAAAAGTTTGATTGATTTTCCTATCCGTATTGTTTGAAAATAAGGAAACTATAAAAGTTTACTGTGAAATATCGATACGGGACCGTGTTTCTACATCTATTATGCATGGAACTCTTCAGGTAACTTGATTGCCTAGGTAGCAGGTCGATAGTGGTATAAAACTTGATGACGCAGTTCCAGGACCATTAGAGAACTTGTGGATGAAGATACAGGTGAGTGTATCTTTTAGTTATTTTTTTAATGAAAAAAACGGCAGGTAAAAAAGAAACAGAAATATTAAGATAATAAAAAAAAAATCACACCAAAACATGATTTTACGGTTAACGTTTTCAACAATTACAAGTACTTGTTTCTTGTTCGTCATTTGATACGTTAAACATGTACGTCCGTGATGGCGCACGAGATCATTGCATCATCAGTGGTGAGTAAGAAACGACACATCCATACGGGACCATATCCGCATTTCATTAAAAATGTCTATTACGTTAATCGAGTGAAGCCTTTCCTCCACGGCTTTATCTAGTGTTATAACAAATTGTGGCATATGTAGATGGTATATTAATGGCAGATCAGCTTGATTTTTTGTTGTTGCCAGTTTATTTTTTGAATGTCGTAAAAGGATGATAATGTAACTTACCATGCAGTCACGTCAATATTAAATGTGACAACTTTACGTTAGATGTTCTCAATCGGATGATCTATGGTTATGCAGGGCTGACACCACAATTTTTAAATATAAATTAAATTCGTTTGAAATTTAACCCAACAATGTTAGATCTGCAAATTTGCAGTAGCTTATTATTATTTTTCCTCGGCCGAAATATATATATATTGACGTCTCTGTTTACCTTATTCAAAACTTGTCATCACTCATCAGTGATATTTAAAGAATGATAATACGTAAAGAGGAAAAGCCGGAATTACCAAATATATTGGACATTACAACAGACCACAGCAATCAACAGCACCCAACTCCTGGTCATTGTATACGGATATATAGATGTTCATTTATACTGGTCGCCTTGTGTTGTTTGCTTGTTGTATCTTTGACTGTGATGGGATTGCTTTCACTTTTAAGTGCAATTTATCAAAAACCGGTCCACATAACTATGATTATGTTTTAAAAATCTATGATATATATATCAATATTTCCATTTTTATGATATAAAAATTATATGTAGTCACTGGCTTACTCTTTATGTCATCAAAAAGTTGGAAACATATTTTTGCGTTGCGCTTATTTTGTGAAATGTTTTAATTTTTAAATGCGGATCAAGATTCTGAAAAAGGGGGCCAAACTAGGCCATGTATATAAGGAGTGGAACATTTAAAAAGTCTATGCATTAATCATAAATGTAGCCCCATAAGGGGTACCGGGCTCCCTTGTCTCCCCCTTAATCCGCCTATGGGACTCGCGCACGTGAAACCCAAGTTTTATTGGAATTAGGAAAAAAGCGAAAACCGTCATATATAAGATTACGAAAGAAAACTGACAAAGTTTCAATAGATCACTGGGAAAATGAAGTATGTCTCTGCAGTATATTCGTCTTTTGGGTCTTAAAAATAATCGGCAAAATCTTGGCGAATGTGACCGATTTATGGCAACGAATGGATATACTTATCTGCTAAAATACTATTATCATTGAGCAAACTAAATTGTAACGTCACAGTTCCCAAATTGCATCCATGTAGCAAAAATAGCAGCAGAAATCTTACAAGTTTTCTAACTGACACTAAACAATTTGTATTTTTATGATTTGACATATTATGCACGTCTTTCAACATAGCTAAATATATTTAAATATACACAAAACGTTCACAATATATATCAACAGGTGAATTGGTCACTGGAAAAAATAAAAAGGTACGGAAACGTCGCCATGCGACGTCCACAAAAGTCATCTTTTAAAAATGAGCTATTAAAATATGTTACAGGCATACATTTCTTAAAAAATGAATAGTAAGCATGGACTATTGTCAAATTGTTCTAAATATTCGGAAAAATAAAACAAACACCAGTTATTAGATTTTTTAATTCTTTCTCTTACGTAAGACAAACAAATTTCTTTCAGTAAAAAAAAAACCCACATACAGTTTTTTTCACACAGGCACTTGGTAAGTTAACACCCCCACTTTTCTATATATGATATATATTTTTGTATTTTATTTTGTTTTTAGTAACTATTCTTTAATATTTAAACTTATTTTCATTTATTCAATGCGTTCTTGTTCTTATCCGTACGATGTAGGTTATATATGATGCCCCTCTTTTGTTATTGTCCACTACCTTGTGCCCATAACGAATATATAGAAAAAGGACAGGTCCTCCCTATATGGCGCGGAATCAGGGTCAAAATACTTATTTACGTATACACATAAGTATTTCTGTATATACGTTATTCGATTTACGTATATACGTATCTATATTTACGTATATACGTAAATAGTATTACGTATATAAAATAATTATGTTCATAATTACTCGTGTATATATATAAGTATTTTTTACTTTGATTTCGCGCCATATCCGTCCCCCAAGCGCCTGTGGTTTTCACCTCACTTTTCACCAAAAATATGCCAAATTATTTGGAATCATATATACCTACTGCGTCATATTTGCACCGGCGTCACAACTTACCAGTACTAAGCTGCATACTGGCACCGGCGTCACATTAACCTACCTGTACTTTAACTTAAATTCTCCAGCGTCCTGCTCGTCCGAATTTAAAGCATTTCTTTACTAAATTCCTTCCTATAAATAAGACAAAACTCTGATATAGGTTTGGTTTCTCGCAGTAACTTGTTCTTTTCTCTTGCAAACAATATTTGATAACATAATAATCTAACATAATAATCTGATGTAATTTAATATAAACAATCTTCAAATTGACATTAATTTTGCATACAACAAATGATTATCCAGCACATCATTATATTATGTAAATGAACTTAAACTCTTTATGTGACAATAAACGGTAAACTATACGTTGTAGTTACCTCCGATGAACCATGGAAGTATCATATTGACACATTTGTCTCATTTTACTTCCATGGATGAGCTGACATATATATATGTCCGATTGAAGGGAATGGAACGGGACCACATACACATAATATGTATTTGAAGGGAGACAACACTGGATACATTTTACGTCACTCAATATTTTTTGTCCGTATTCGGTTTTTGAAAAGTATTTAAAGACTTTTAATCGATGATATGAATATATGGAATTGCACCTTGACTTCGATACATTAGTTAAACTGATTTAAAGGTAACATTATCCCTCTCTATTACAGATACCAGTTGAATTAATTTCTGGCATTTTGACAAGATCTATTGTTTTACTGAAAGACTTATCTGATTATTTAAACTTTTGACAAATATGAGCTCAAAGGACGTCAGACCTTCGAGCGCGCAGTCTCGACAAGCTTGGGGATTAGATCCTTACGCTTCTGGTGGACACGCTAGACCTGATAATCAATTCGACTTCGGTGGACCAAGGGACGATCCAGATTTACCTTCTGCAATGGAAAACGACATTTATGCTGACAATGAACCCAAAAGGAATAATGATGTGTCCCCAACTACTCCTAAAAAGTCTGGTGGTTGTTGGAGTTGTTTTACAAGTGGTCTAAGATGTAAGTTTGGATATATACACATAATTTTTATTTTGGTTGAATGGAAAATTTACCATGTTTACAAAGAAATGAAAAAAAAAAAATTTTTGTTCCATCTGAATAAATCTGCATATGGGCTGCATAAGTGGCAACATAGATTTTTAATTTGACATGGTTCTATTTTGACAGCTTCATGATTTAAATAATTAATAATATTGGCACTGGCTACGATTGATTACCCACAAAAACTAACAATAAAAAATTATTATTGTTTCTTCCAAGACTAATTGACGGTTTGTATTTCCGGACAAGGACCCAATTTTATACGGAAGTTGCAGATAACAATAATATTTTGTGTTACCTGTATTTATTGTTACCCACAAAATAAAGTATGGTCTGTATGGATTCGAATGTGCAAAATGTCCAATGTGTAGTGGGTGAAAAGTTTATATCTTTTTAAAGTTCTAATGACAGATAAAGTTCAATGATTCCAAGATCATCTTGGCAAGGTACACATTTTGTGCAATTATACATGTTATTGTAAAGTTCTTGTAAAATAGAAACACCATCTAAAGCAAAAAAGATATAAGAAATAAAGATATATCGTTAAGAATACTGAGTTGTCAACATGGTTGTTATCATCAGTCTCAGAAGTAACTAATTATTTTTTGTTGTTACTTGTTGCGGGTTATCGTAGCCAGTGCCTATAATGTTTAAAAACAACAAAGTTCAGGCAATTAATAGGGTTTTTTGTAATCTATAAGTTTTCTTTTTCCTTAAAATGTATATTTCCATTCAAAAGCATTTGCTAACAAAGTATATACATTTACATTGTAAGTAGTAATACATTTTGAAAGATTTTATAAAGTAGGTGTTTTTATATGAACTGTGGAAAGGAGATTTATAGCTACTGTTTAATTTTACTTCTTCATTTATTTGGTATATTGTGAAATATCCAACTTGGTCTGTTTGTGGAATTACAACATAGCCGCCTTTATTCATAAAACAAAATAATTTGATGACTGAAAATATCTGAATTCTTGAGTGCAGTGAAAAACGTTTTAATTTCCAAACCTGAGTGAAAAGCGCATTGTTTTATGAATTTCAAACTTGCTTCCAAAATTTGTGTTCCCCAAATTTGATGCTACAAAGATTGTAATGGCTATCAATCCATACACTGGTATGATTGACACATGATTGAAGGTAAATGTAGCACATGATTGATCATCCTTATTATTGTTGGTCAATACAGTACACCTTCTGGTTTATGCATGTATATGCAGAAAATCAAAAAATTGGTAGGACAAAAAGTCACAATTTATTCATTTACAATAGTTTGAATATTTAAAAGAAAATTATAGAAATTATTAAATAATGTACTTTAACATGTTTAAAGTAGTTTTGAATTTTACTGGAAAGCCCAAAATGCTTCATAAACTATTTCCTAATTTTGAATATATATATATATATATATCTGTAATATGCAGTTTTCATATTAAATAATCAGGGGTCTAACAAATATCCTTATGATATTCTCATATATTTTTTGTCTTGCTTGCTACAGAAGTCACAGAAAGTGATGCATAAGGATTACAATCTGGCATATAAAGCTCTATATTTCAGAAGGTAGAAAACCTGGATGCCTAATACCTTGTATGCAGATACCTTATGTTACAAAGTTTCCATCTATCATATGTCCATTGTCCATGACCTCATTTTTATGGTTCAGTGATTGCTTGAAAAAAAATGCTGTTTTTTTTGAAAAGTGAAATACTCTCTTATTATGAGTAAAAGGATAACTATTATTTGTATATGGGTTCCTTGCAAGGTCTAAATGTACATGACTGTCAGGTAGGGTTCACCTGACCATGACCTCATTTCATGGATCAGTGACCAAGGTTAAAGTTACATGGTCAAGTCCGTATCTCATATACTATAGGCAATAGGTCAACTATATTTGGTGTAAGGTGTACATGTTTGTCTGGCAGGTTTCATATGACATGACCTTATTTTCATGGTTCATTGGTCTAAAATAGGTTTTTGTGATAATGTCAGTTTGTCGGTTATTATTAACAATAGGTCAACTATATTTGGTGTATGGAATGATTGTAAAGTGTACATGTCTGTCTGGCAGGGTTCATATTACCTTGACCTCATTTTGATGGTTCATTGGTCAATGTTAAGATTTTGTGGTTTGATCTGTTTTCTCGGTCACTATAAGTGATACGACCACTATATTTGGTGTATGGAATGATTTTTAGGTGTACATGTCTGTCTGGCATGGCTCATCTGACTGTGACTTCATTTTCATGGATCATTGATAATGCTAAGTTTATGTGATACTTGTAGTAAAACCTTCATATTACATACTTTCAACATGAATTTAATCATATGTAAAACAGACCAGACATTTCAGTGTGTGTACTCTTGTTTATAAACATGATAAAGTTCTAACAATTTCAGGGAATATTTACACAAATGTATTAAAGATTACATTTTCATACATCTCATATTGTTATTGTCTATCATTTGTCTATAGCTAAATTTCAATTCATTTAAAATTTATTTAAGTTTTACACTAAAAGTTAGTCATAAAAAAACTATGTATATATATTTATATGAATGTTATCTTCAGATTTTAGTTCATACCTTGTCCCCATTCAAACTGATTATAAATTTGTTTGGAAACAAACTAGGCCAAGTTATTGGGTATTTAAACAGATCAATGGAAGGATTTTGGTATATATGTAAATGGTGAGGACATTTAATAAATTCCTTTTAGTTTGTGAAATTAAATCCCAGGATAACCTTGATATTTAGAACACTCATTAGCTTCACATTATACAGTGTACATATGAATGTATATATTTTTTCTTATCATTACTTCATGTATATATATTAAATAAGTTTTTTTTGAAATGCAGGTAGATCTATTCATAGCTTTCATACATTACTTGTACAAGCTAAGTCAATTTTTAAAAGTTTTGAATCTACCTATAATACATGTAAGAAAAGTCCATTTTATTCCATATTTCCTTTTATGTCAAGTCTTCCTAAAACATCTTGATAGCATTAGATTGTTTTAATGGTTCTTGTTCTATGAAACATGTTTTGATACACTTATTTAAATTTTGTCTGTCATTGCAGGATACATAAGCATTTTGAATAAATTATTACATCTTTTAACACCATAACAGAACAAATTTGACATCACAGACAACCTATTTTTTTTCAAAAGTCATTGGGTGAGCTGGTTCAAAATAAAAGTCAGTTGTAGTAAAGTCTAAGAACTTGAAATTGGTGCATATTGCCACTACTGAAATTTTGTTATTAATTATTAAATCCAGATCATTGCTTTAAGTTTTTTAATTTGTTGTTATGTGTTTTGGAATGTAGAAGTTAATTGGCTTGTGAAAATACATGCAAGGCTTAATTGGCTCCATAATGCAGGTTTTCTGAAGTTCAAGTAGACAATTACATACATGTACATTATTGTAAAGTTCCATCCATGTTTGGAGTAAAAATAGTGAAATAAATAATATTTACTTTGATAATTTTTACAGCACTATGGGCAACTCGACAGACAGAAGAAACCAAAGGAAACCGAGAGCTACATGTGAAGACAACCTTAAGAGAGCTGATCATTTACCTGGTTTTCTTAGTCATCTTATGTGTAGGTTAGTAATATAAAACCAGGCGCAGTCACTGCAGGGTCAACTGTATAACATTGAGTGCAAAATATGACATATCCAATAATTTTTCTGACCTTTGATTGAAAATGTAGATTGTCCAAAGCTAAAACTGTTTTTTGACATAGCTCAAAAACTGTCTTTGTAAAAATGTTGTATACAGTAATTTAGTTACAAGTTGTAAAATATATTAGTGGTTACATTTATAGTTGTTTGGTGAAAAATGCTTAAATGAAACACAAATTTTTAGTTTTATTTGTTGAAGATGTAAAAACATATACATGTATATTAATAAGTGCGTTAACTTTTGACAGTGACCTTTGGAATGACTAGTACAACTATGTATTACTACACCAAGGTGATGAATGACCTGTTTTTGGATACAGTTCACAGTGGCGGAGGAACATTCAGAACTATTACAAATGTGAATGATTTCTGGAAAGTAAGTTTTCATTTATTGTATATTAGATTTATAACATGTTTGAAATTTTCAATTTACTGTACACTGTTAACCAACCAATTTTTAAGGTGATTAACTTTGAACTGCCCTTACATAAATACATCAAGAAAACTATAAGATCATGAAAATAATCGCCATAGTCATGCTTCATTGTTTGTTATTTTAGAGCACCTGGCCTAAAGGGTAGTAATATTTCCTGCCCTTGTCATTTGATGTCCTCTATATTAATTTTCACAATTTCGTCATCTCTGCTGAAACTAGTGTGCAAAATTTAACCAAGTTTTGCAAGAATAATGTATTAAGGATCCCTTATATATTGAGTAAATTTAAAACAAAACCAAACACTAGAGACAAATAGGGTTGGTCTTCAGATTATTTTTTTGTTTGTGAAGCTACAAGATAAAACTTTACAGAAATGAGGATTTGGAGATCCTTTGTAAAGAGTCCTCATTTTGTGCTGATTGGATTTGAGTCGAAATGGCATACATGGTACTAAGAAAGAATGTCCCCTTGAAACCTAATGAAAATCATATTTTCAAGGTTTTTTTGTATGAACATTCAACTTTGCAGAAATATTATCTTAAAGGTTCTTTGTATTTATGTTTTATTACAATTAGAAAAAAGCATGGGTGCCATTCTGCTAAAACAATTTTCTGACCTGACCAAATTTTTCAAACTATCATTGTAAATTCCTTTACAAATTCATTTCATGCTGATTGGGCAACTATATAACAGTGATGATGCTACATAAGTTAGGTTAGGGAAACAGACTATCTTGTTTATTTTATATTAATCAAAGTCAAAATTATCACAATATTTTTATGGTCTATAGAAATAGTTTCTTGATATGAGACCATATGAATGCAAAATTGAAAATAGAAAGAATAAAAGAATCTTTATTTTTTATGATACATCTCTTCATGCGTACAATTTTTAGTCCCCTACCGACGAAGTGGAGGGGGACTTTAGGTTTGCACTCCATCCGTCTGTCTGTCTGTCAGTCTGTTTGTCCATCCTTCAGTCCTGCAAATCAGTTTTCCACACTTTTTTTCTTCGTGCTTGAAGATATTTATTTGATATTTGGTGTATTGTTTTATCATGACAAGCTACAGATCAAGGCGAATTTTGTTACGGTCTGACAATTTTGTGCAGAGTTATGGTCCTTAACTTAGAAAATTCACTCAAATAATCAGTTTTCCACACTTTTTTTTGTCATGCTTGAAGATATTGATTTGATGATTGGTATATAGTTTTATCATGACAAGTTACAGATCAAGGATAGAATTTTGTTCTGGTCTGTTGATTTTGTGCAGAGTTATGGTCCTTGGACTTAGAAAATTCACTCAAATAATCAGTTTTCCTCATATTTTTTTTTCCGTCATGCTTGAAGATATTGACTTGATATTTGTTATATAGTTTACACCATGACAAGTTATAGATCAAGTTAGCATTTTGTTCCAGTACAATGAATTTTTAACCTGTAGGGGACTATGTATTGCCAGGCAATACTCACAGAATGCTTGTTTAGTTTTAAAATACAATTACAGTTTTATATCATTTCAGCTGTTAATGAATTGTAGGGAGGATTGTACACAGTGGTACAAATTTATGATTTATTTTTACAGTTTGCCAAGAGACCCTTACTTAATGGACTTTATTGGGAGACATGGTACAACAACGAGAATGTTCCAAATGAACAACTTGGCTATATTTACTATGAGAACAAACTTTTAGGTGTACCTCGAATCAGACAGTTAAAAGTCAGTACCAACTCTTGTCAAGTCCATGATGATTTCAAAGATGTCATTCGTGAATGCTTTGATTCATATTCAGAAAATTTGGAAGACAAAACATCAGAAGTTACTCATGCTAACTATACAGGGTAAGTAAATACAATGTAATCGTATTTGAACATTGAAAGAAGGAAATACTTATTGGTATTTCAACACGATCTGTTATTTTTTTGTTGTAAGTTTAATTTCTCAAGGGGACTTAATTTTGTTCATGGGTAAAAAAAGAAATTACCCTCTTGTGGTATACTAGGAAATGTACATAACTAAATGAAACATTGCTTTTTTGCTGTTTTTCATTATAACAACTACTTGGAAGTTTTTCTGTAGTAAGTCAAAGTGTGTCCAGCAAGATTGATATTTTCTTAGCTTGAGCATGAGTGGAAATCTTTGGTAGTCATATATATACATCCATTATTACACTGGAATATGGTTGTACACTTTAGGCAAAAGTATATTGTACAAGAGTCAAATAAAAGCTGAAAAGGGTTTATTATATAGAAACAGCTGTTTTAATTTGAGTTGATTATATTGCAGATGGACATACCAGACAGAAAATCAGTTAGATGGTTCATCATACTGGGGAATGTTGACAACCTACAGTGGATCAGGATATGTTCAGGACTTAACAGGTAGAAAGAACACGTCAGCAGAAATTATAGACTATTTGTTTGACAACCTGTGGATACAGCGAGGCACTAGGGTGGTCTTTATTGACTTTACTGTGTATAATGCCAACATTAATCTGTTCTGTGTTGTACGGTAAGCATTATTATTGATTCATTGGGGTACACGCATGAAGGAAGATGTTTGTTTTGTTAGGTTGATAAAAGATACACAATGATCAAATGAGTAGTATTATCTTTAAAGAAGTTAGTTTACAGTTACAAAAATTAATTTATATAATGTTGTAACATATTTATAGCATCTGCACATTTTGGCACTCTGGTCATCTTAATTACTTACAAAATTATTTTTTTGTAATTTAGAAAAAAGAAAAAAAAAGGATTGTTGCTGTAAGCTTTGTATATGCAGAAAAGAATTTAGAAACATAGATATATAATTGTATATTATATGAAATTACTAACCTTTACATGCTATTTTTAGACTGGTTGTGGAGTTCCCTGCAACAGGAGGAGCTATCCCATCATACACTTTCCGTACTGTTAAGCTGATTCGATATGTGACTGTCACAGACTATTTTATTCTGGCCTGTGAATTTATCTTTGTTCTGTTCATTGTATACTACATTGTGGAGGAAGCTATTGAGGTATATTTAGATATACTGCTTATTTGTGTGTGTGATAAATTCCTAAATGGTATAAATTTGTTTATGAACTGAAATAAGATTTCTACTAAAATTTGATTGAAAGTTAGAATTGTCTAAAGTAATACATTATATTATATAATTTATATATAATAATTTATGTACAGCATCAGTCAAAAACATGATTAATTCTTTTGTAGTAACTCTAGACATACATAAATGTCAAACTTAATATTTCTTTGATAAAGGGTTATTAAATTTTACAGATCAAGAAACACAAGCTGTCCTATCTGAAAAGTATGTGGAACATCCTGGATATTGTTGTCATTATCATTGCCATACTGTGTATAGTGTTTGACATATATCGGACAATAGTTGTAGACAACAAGCTAAAGGAACTACTAGATAATCCGGACAAGTATGCAGACTTTGAGAACCTTAGTTACTGGCAGACACGTTTTGATAATGCTATAGCTATTGCTGTCTTCTTTGCTTGGATTAAGGTAATGTTAAGCATAACAACAACTACTTTAGTCACTCCATAGATAAAAGATAAGTCTTGGAATTTAACTGTAATTTGCAAAATGTATCAGCTGCATGTGATGATTGCCTATTTAGTTAACCATTAATAAAATATTTGAATATAACTGGAAGACATTACGATTATGGTCCATTTTGATTTTTTTTTTCTAAATAATGTTCTTTGTTTGGGTAACTCTACTCAAATAACTCTGGTTTCAATTGACTAAGTGTTGTAGGTCATGTTAGTCCTTAAAGAACTGTTTGTAGTCTTTTACCAAAACATATGTCTTTAGTATTGTATTTTTGTTATTTGACAGATATTCAAGTACATCAGCTTTAACAAGACAATGACACAGCTTTCCTCCACTCTTGGTAAATGTGCAAAGGATCTGGCTGGTTTTGCTGTCATGTTCTTTATCATCTTCTTGGCCTTCACACAACTTGGTTATCTCCTGTTTGGTACACAAGTCAAGGACTTCAGCAACTTTCAGAATTCTTTGTAAGATTTGAAGACATTTTTTAATTCTTGTATACATTTGTGATTCAAAGAATAAATTGATTGTTGTTTAAATTATCTAAATATGAATGAATCCTGCAAATTGAGCTGCGTTTAGATAATTTAGAGAAAGTAACAAAGATATCATAAGTTTAATATCACAATACATATTTACGGGGTTGTTGTAATTAAGATACATAAATTATGTAATTTCTCCGTTGTATGAAATCTTCATTGTGTTAGGTTTTGAATTTCATATCCTTTACAACATATGGAAGACCTTTATTGACAGCTTAGAATTATTTTACAGCTTCACACTATTTCGTATCATCTTGGGAGATTTTGATTTCCACCAGCTTGAAGCAGCCAACAGAATTCTTGGTCCAATCTACTTCATGCTGTTCGTATTCTTCGTTTTCTTCGTTCTGATCAACATGTTCTTGGCTATCATCAACGACACATACTCAGAGGTCAAAGGGGATATGGCTAACCAGAAGAACGAGTTTGAGATGACTGACTACTTCAAGAGAGTAAGTTTCTTATTTCATAGTTGGTTTTGTAAGGAAATTATCACATCTTTTTTCTAAGAATTAAAATGACATTAAAATTGATTTTAAAAAAAATTGTGTCAACATGTCTTTTTCTCTCATATTAAATATTTTATACATTGAAATATTATTATTATTATTTTTACTGTTTCAAATTCTATCAATAAAACATGTTCCCTCAATATTTAATTGACATGGTTTTGTTTGTCAACATTGTAACTTAACATATTCTTCATATCAGAGGCTTTGTCTTGAAAAGTTTAAAAACTAAACAACAGCTGAATACTGAACCTTCACAGTTAACAAACATTTATAAACTATGGTATAAAGTAGGGGAAATTTAGCTGTTGTCATTGAACCAGTAGTGAACTTTATATTCATTCTTATAAAAAAGTTTCCCTAATACATAATTTTCAAAAATATTTTAGGGATACATGAAGATGGTTGACAAACTGAACTTCAAGAGGGACAAAATTGTTGATATTCAGAAGGCTTTGAAACATGCTGACATCAACCAAGACAAACAGCTTGACTTTGAGGAATGGCGTCAGGATCTGAAGACGTAAGTTAAGCAGCTATCAAATTACAATATTTTTTTATAGATCTATAATATAAATGTTTAATTGACAAAAAATGTCAACTTTTATTAAAATAAAAAAATACTGATCTTATTTGAAATTTGAAAATCATATTACTAACAGTCTGTTGTAAAAATGATAACAAACCTCAGAACAAACGATAACAAACCTCAACAAACCTTAGAACAAATGATAACAAACCTCAGAACAAATGATAACAAACCTCAACAAATGATGACAAACCTCAACAAATGATAACAAACCTCAGAACAAATGATTTGTTTTTTAGTCGTGGTTATGCTGATGGTGAAATTGAGGCTCTCTTTGCTAAATATGACATGGATGGTGACCGTGTGCTTGATGAGTCAGAACAGAAGAAACTGCAAGCTGACCTTAATAAAGAACAGGTAACATGTCATGTATTTTAGCTCTAAAAAATATAATAAGTAAGATAACCTGGAAGTAAGTTATATCAGACTTCGTTGATAAATATTTCTGATTAAGATAAGTAAGTTATAATTGTTAGAATTACAGATTCTATCATATCATTTGAATCAAGTTTTAATTAGATATTACTGTGGCTCATCAGTGTCTTTAAACAGTGTTATACCAATTTACATGTTCATTAAAGTTAAATTTTGTAGTGAATTTTTAAGCACAGGTATTTAACATGAAATCCAGTAACAAAAACATTTTTATATTAGACTGTTTTGATCATTCATACCTTCTGTGTTATAGGATGCCCTTAACAAAGAATATGAACATCTGGAGAAATCAGGCAACAGACCAGGCACTGCAAGAAGATCGAGTAGCCGTGTTAGTTTTAACGATGACAGTGGTGAAGATAGTGATGATGAAGACAGTGGAACAAAATCCTCACGTTCAGGAAGAGCATCAAATGGTGTATCATATGAAGAATTTACAGTGTTATCTCGCAGAGTAGACAGAATGGAACATTCTATAGGCAGTATAGTATCAAAAATAGACGCTGTTTTAGTTAAATTAGAAGCTATGGAAAAAGCTAAATTAAAAAGACGAGAAACAATGGGAAAAATATTAGACAGTATAACAGAGGTAACTTTTGTTAATTAATTTTGTTATGTATTAATTCTTGTGTTTACTTTCCAAAATAGATATTTGTTCGACATATTCTGAATGACAGAGTGAAAAATTATGTTTTTTTTAAATTTATCATTTTGGAAAGTTAATACTGTTCAGTAATATCATAAATTGAGTGAAAATATACCACCAATAACACATGGTAAAAGTGAACTTATTATTATCACTTCCAACCTTGTGTGCGACACATATACAACAGCTTAAAATGTCAAAATTGTTTAATACATGTGCATATAATGATAATAAAAAAAATCAGACATCCAGGTGCAGGTTGTTTGATGATTTAATAAAAAAAAGGTAAGTATATAAAAAATGTTTGAAGTGTGTTAATAACAGTATATACCTGTACATTAATATTCCTTCTAAAAGTAAAAATAAAACAAAATCTCCATAATTTAAAACTACAAGAGAAACTTTTGATAGTTTCTTATGTAGTTTAATATTTTAACAAATACTAGAGTGATTTAACTTTAACCTCAGAAGGTCAGATTTTGTCAGTAGTAATCATTTGGTGTGCTTTAAAGAAAATAAATCTGACCTTCTTGGAATGTTTTGAAAAAAAGTCTATTCTTGATTTTCTCCAATTGCAAAAAGACATTTTTGTTACATTATTTAGATTTACATTTGGTCTCTAAATTTTGAAAGTTTAAGATTTATATGAAATAAAATCAAGAATAGATTTATATAGTGTGTTATAATTATCTGTGACTTCACCATGTCTTGTTTTGTTGTACAAAGACGGATGGAAATAGTGATGAAGCAAAAAGAGAACAAATGGAAAGATTAGTAAGAGAAGAATTAGAAAGGTGGGATTCAGAAACATCATTTTCTCCAAGTGGTAGAGGGGCATCACCAAGTAGTGGCACCTCAGCTCGGGGAGTCAGATCTAGGTCAAGACCTGGCTCAGGACAAAACGAACCAGTGAGTATGGAAGGGAAATATATCTACACACAAAATATAAGTGCGGTCAATTGATGATGGAAGAAATCAAGGAGTTAAGGGAAAATATATAAATATTTGAATAAGATTACCACATGTTCACAGTTGGACTGTTCTGAAAAAAAAAAGAAAAAACATGAAAAAGTTTGTAGAATTTGATAATTGAAAGAAAAAAAAATCAAGTTTAAAAATACATACATATATGTGTATATATTTTAAAAGTCAAACTGAAGGAAAATATTTCATTTTAATTTTTTTTACATTTATGTTCCATAGGACTATGATAAAAAGAATGAACATCTTGTTTTAGTTGTTTACTTTCTTTTGATGTTGTTTAATTGATAATATGTTTCATTTTTAAGACATCAGATGTATAAATGGTAAACCTTGCACAGGTATGCAATGCATGAGTCTTTATTTTGATGTTAGAGAAATAACTTTTAACACTTCATATTATTTGACTTTAGATTGTTGTAGAAAATGCAGGTTGTTTTTTTAGTTAGGTAAATTTTTCTTGGTTCTTATAAACAGTTTTAATGCATGGATCAAATCAATCTTGGCAGAAGGTTACATTTCATGTTTTTGAAATAATTGGGGTTTATCATATCATGAGATTTCAGTAATTATATATTTTGGATGCATGGAGAGGTGCACATTGTGATTTTGGGCATAGGTTTTTCTCAAAGATTTAATTTTTTTTCAACTTGGTTTAATGTTTGAATTTCATATGATAAGTGGTAGATACTGCAAGGTTGTCTGAGTGAAAATTGTGTCTGTTCAAATATATATTTGTTTGTGGTGCAAAAGCTTGCATTTTTAAATTTGAACTGTTGTATTGATAGTGTTATTTTGAATACATAATTTTGTTTTCGGAGAGAAAATTTATACCTGATTTAAAATGGGATTCTAAAGTTGATATTGATGAATTTTATGCATGCTAAAGTAGGTTTAAAAAATGTGTTTGAATAATTTTGAATTGATGAATTTTATGCATGCCATAGTAGATGAAAATAGCAACTTATAGATCAGTGTTGAAATTTATTTTCCAAGTAAATGAATTGTAACAAATAAATTTTTTATGAGGCAAGTTATGATATATAGTTTGCTTTATAAATTGACTAGAAAGACGGTAAATTGTCTTTATACATTTTACTGATAACGGTTAAAACATTTACACCGATAACCAATTAGTCAGATAAACCCTTGTACTGAAATTAAAACACAGTTCAGTAACTAGAACCTATGTTTTGCAGGATACGTAAAATGTTGACCTAAATTTTCATAAATATTTACTGAGTCATAAAAAGTTATATATAGGAATTGAATTTACGTACATGAAGAGTAACTCTTAGTTTGATTGGTTTTTTTAATAGACAAGCAACTTAGATAAATAAGGCATCCCCTTTTCTGAAGATACTGAAGGTTAATGGTTCTCTCCGGGCACTCAGGCTTCCTCCACCAATAAAAACTGACTGCCGCGAAATAGCACAATAGTGCTTAAAGTGGCATTAAACACCAATCAATCAATCAATCAATCATTGCCTGCAATGAATATAAATGATATCTGATATATTCAGTTGATTGATAACTAAATAATAAAATGGATGCTGGTTAAATGTCAAGTGGCAAGTATTACATGCATGTCATGACAAAAAAAGTTGAACTTTATAATTACTGTAAATATGAATCCTGCTTTATACAAGACAACTTGTTGAGCCTGTTTTTTTAACATGCTTGTTCACATACTATGTCTCTCACATCTGGATACATTATTCAGACTCCCAGCAGACCAATCTCTACTTCAACTCCTAAATACTACATACTTATTGTAGAAACAGTAGTTACAATATTATAATATTTGGTTTCCCCCAACTTGGAATCAGTTCCATTACCTCCTGCACTAGAGGCAAGCATGAGCCGCCTAGGTCGTTAAATAACAAAATGACTTTTTATCTTGATCATTCATGACTCAGTTTATAATTTATGTCATAACTAAAACATATAATCCATTCTGACCAAAGTCCTTTGGTTGTCATTATTGATATTAAATGTTGAATTTAGGAGCAAGATTCTGACAGTGGTTTTAGATCAGTGTGTGCATTGTATATTGTAAATATTTGTTTTTATTGGTTCTTTAAATGAACAATTATAGTCATTCAGAATCAAACCTCTTTAACTTTAAATATGTGCTTTATTTATTGTCATATTTTTAAAGACAAATATAATGTTGATATGAATGTGAATCTGTTAGTTTGTGTGTTTGCCTGACCACAATGCATTTGACTAATAATCCAGTTTTTGATTAATACAAATTAACACAAACGCATTTGATCAATATTTTCAACCCCACTTTTATATATTTGAATTCTAAGATTGTTTTCAGTTTATGTTTATTTTTATTTGTAGTGTGTCTACAGAAATAATTTAATGTCAATCTTTTCTGCCCTTAATCTGAACTTTTAAAAGAAAAAAAAATCATTGATTATAGAAGTGAACAAGGATTTAAATATGTATTGTATAAATAATGATATAAAAAATCTCAAAATACAATATGTATATTCAGAGCTCTGAATAAATAAACCTTTCAGGTCAGCTGATTAACATTATGTAGAATTTCTGAGATTTATATGACAATGTTAATGACCATAAATCTTGTGTTTATTCTTTATATAGTAAATTGTTTACATCAGATTAATGTAGCAGATTCTATTTATATCTTATTTAAAGTGTCATACAATTTTAATCTCAGCAGTACAATTATATTCAGTTTATATGAATATATGGCAAAATAATAGAATTTGGGTAGAAATGAGACCCATGTTTGATCTTTGTTGTTATTTGTACATAAAAAACTTTTAAGATACTTTCCTTTATCATCAATAACTATTTGTATATGTAGATAAATGGCAGCATGGATGTGACAACAAAATAATTTGCTGCTGTTGGAAAAAATATTTTTCATATCTATATTGAAATTTTCTTTGTAAATAAATTGATGATCATTCATGTTTGAATGACTTCAGACTACTTTGCAGGCAGGGGAGAATTTAAGTTCATGTTTATTGTAAAAGTTATATGTTTTTACAATAGTTCAATCAAATTGGACCATCACATATGTTTTTATCCATTAAAATTCTACAAAAATCTAATAATTATTTTTTTTATTTTTCAGGATTACTTTGATCGACAGTACAGAGTTTAGTAGACAACATTCCTGTTTGTTATTTTATGTCTCTCTGTGATACACATCGTCGTACTATCATTTTTTTGTGTTCACTTTCACATCTTATCATTGACAAATTCAAAATGTTTTGCAATAATTTCTAATTGTTGTTATAATAATCCTAATGTCATTCTGACAATTTGTTCATTTGTTTTCTTTAAAGTTAAACTACTAATATTCAACACTGCTTTTTCCTGTACTAATTCTAATATATTATAAAAAAAAAAACAATTTGAAGAATTTACAATTTTAATGAATTGTTAAAAATCTCATTAAGAAAGCAAAATTTGATAAGAATTGTACAATGTGTATTGGGATAAAAATTTCTGTAAAAGAATTTTTATGCAAATTTATTGGAAAAATCCAGAATTGTTTGCATCGAATTGTAATAAAAACATTTTAGATACAAGAAGGTGTGTGAAGAAAGCAAGTTTATCCTGTAAGAAAATGAAATATTATACAGGAGATATTTTATTGCAAAAGTGATGTAAAAACAATAATTCTTATGAATTAAGAAAATAAATAAAATTTTCAGTAATTTACTTAAAAGTGTTTTTCATATTACTGAAATATTTCATATGAATTTTTGTTTTTACAACATGCGTTGTGTGTTATGAATAAAACCAAATATACTGTAGTTATTGTAATGTTTTACTGAAGTTTACTTTTAAAATTACCATGAATAAAATCCTTTTTATCTACCTAAGTTTTACAATCAGGGAATAATTATTTTACATTTACCGTCCTTTGATCATTATGTGCCCAAATGAATCTCCGTCCAGATGTATATGTTTGCTTTTAGGTTGGTTGTACAATTTTTTGTTTACATGTTATAATAATAAGCATGCTTTAACTTTAGAAATTATATATTTATATATCAAATATTATGGAACAAATTGCATGATTTTTTTGTTATATAGGGCAATGTACAAATCAATTCTTTGATTAATTTAAAAAAAAAGATGTATATTTTTTCAGAAAATCATTGTTTTTAAAATTACAAGTCAATATTTCCGTCCTGAAAGAGACATTTGTTAAAGAAAATATTGATCTTCAGATACTAACAAATAAATTTGATCTCTGCAAAGATACCAGTATTAAATGGGAGAAAAAAATCCTGACAAGTCTTTGCCAATTACAGTATTTCCGTCCTAAACTGCTATAATTTGTTATTTATAATTTATATAAACAATCTTTACCTTTTGGTAGGGAGCCTAACATTTATTTCATTGTTTTTTCATCCACTGCTGATTTTATCTGTAATTTCAGCTTTTTTCATACATTTTATATTTCAAACCAGCATGACTTTGCATGAAATATTTGCCATTGGACATTATACAAACAACTATCAAATCAACATATTTTTAATGAAAATTAGAAAATCCAGTTTAGATAATAGGTAATATTTCTATTACGAAATGGATAATATATAATACCTATTGTTTTAATTCAGAAAAATAATGAATTGCAAGGAAATTTTATTCATAGATTTGTTTTTCATTTTTAACAAAGGCAGCACCTGGAATAACCAGATTAAATAAATAATGAAAAAAGCTGAAGTTTCAGTAACTTTGTTTACTTGTTATGTTAGATGCATTTCTATGTGTTACATTATTATTATTATTAAATGTTAATTAGGAAGCAGGTTAATGGCTGTTGTTGTTTTTAAAGCATCAAAATGAATGACCTGTCGTGTCATTACTATAAGATAAGGAGATTTGGTATGATTGCAATTGAGACAACCATCCAACCAGTCCAAATGAAGTGGATTTAAATTAAATAATTATAGGTCACTATATAGCCTTCAACAATGAGCAAAACCCATACTGTATAGCTATAAAAAGCCAGGATATGGCAAAATGTGAAACAACCAACTACCTGTTTTATGACAAAACAATAAATAAAAAAAAGATATAACAAACAGCAACCAGGCAACTGCTGAAATACAGGCTCCTGACTTGGGACAGACAAATACAGAATGTTGCATGGTTCAACATGTTTGTGAGCACCCGACCCTCCCCTTACCTTGGACAATAATGTAATAGCACAACATTCAAACAAACTGTAAAATTCTATTGGGAATGGCTCGACTCATCGGCACAAAGCACGAAATAAACAACAGAATGAATAAAGACAAAAATTACCGATCTAATAGTACTGACTGTTAGTGACAGTTAGTTCAAAGCCAATAACAATTAATGAATAAATCATTTTCTCTGAGATTAAAACATCATTAAATCAATCAATCAATGTTTGCTTTCTGGAATAGACTATGTAATGTTAAGACGCCGACCAGATCAAACCTAGATATGTTGTGATTTTTTTTGTTGTGAAGCATGTAGCATAAAGGATAAAAAGCAATGTCAAGCTAGTGATGTGTCCAATACGAACAACAAAAGATGTGTTGTGTAGGTCAATGACACAAAAAATTCAAAAGACATCAGATCAATATACAGTCTTTAGAAAAGGACCTCAAGTATCTACAATATATTGAGATGTCTAGAAAAGATGAAAACAAATCAACAGAAAATGCTTATGATCTGCAATCAACACCAAATTTCCTAAAAAAAACAAATGGTATTTAAGCTATAACTTACTGACAAGAGTTCTTACGTTGTACACTCTAATACAGACAGCAGTACATTGGTGTAGATTCCATACAGCACCATCATTAACAAGCCAGAAGGCATGATCATATGCAATGCACAAAGTAGGTGTGTACATAATATCAATACAGAAAAATATCAAAAATAAAAATATTAGCTTGAGTGAAGAGAATCATACACGCAAAAACATTAAATCTTATTGAAGCAGAGTCTTATTATCTGTCCATGTCTGGTAGCTTGTGTAAGCATGCAACATTCAGGAGAAAGCAAATTCTAGTTGACACAGAGTCCAAGTGATGTGTAGAAGTCAACTACCTTGCATATACCTGTATTAATGAGAAAAAGCTAACTTGGGCTCAAACTTCTTGTATAGTAGATTTAAGCATGTAATATTAAGGAGAAAGAAAACCAATATGTGACCAAGTTTGGCTGTGAGTGTAAAGTATACAACATAAAGGAGAAATTATATTTGGCTCATAGTTCTAAGAATTAGTGTCAATCTTGTCTTGTGAATAAAAGGAGATGTGTGGTATAAGCCAATGAAACTACAGCCCAAATTACTTAACAACCATCATGAAACCTGGTTTACGTAATGACCATAAAAAAGGACTATCCTTACTGATTTTCAAGGTCAAAAGATAAGGTGAGATGATGGTATTTTGGTCAATTAGATGGACTTGACTGATTAGCTAATCTTCATATCCAATAGTTTATACATTGTATACCAGTAATCCTCTTGAGAGTAAGGTGACCCCTTTTAATTATTTTCTAGCTCAATATTTCAGAAGGTAGAAAAGCTGGATAATCCATATCGTATGAACAGATGCCTTATGGTCTGAAATTTCCATCTAGCATACATTTGTATGTCCATTGGTATTGACCTCATTTACATGGTTCATTGACTGAATAGTGCATACAAATTAAAAGATTTTCATAACATGATTTTTTTCACCTATTATGAGTTAACAGTTCAACAATATTATGTAAACAGACACCAAGATATACATGTCCATCAGAATGGGTTCATCTGACTGACATTAATACATGTCCCACTGACCGGTTTCATCTGACCTTGACCTCAATTTCATGGTTCATTGGACAATGTTTAATTTTTGTGGTTTGGTCTATGTCTCAGATACTAGAAGCAAAAGGGCCACTATATTTGGTGTATGGAATGAGTGTATGGTTTACATGTCCGACCGGCAGGTTTCCTCTGACATTGACCTGATTTTCATGGTTCATTAAACAATGTTTAGTTTTTGTGGTTTGGTCTATTTCTCAGATACCATTAGCAACAGGTCAAATATATTTGGTGTATGTAAAAATTGTAAGGTGAACATGTCTGACTGGCAGGTTTCATATGACCTTGACCTCATTTTCATGGTTCATTGGTCAATGTTAATATTTTGTGGTTTGGGAACACTATATTTGGTGTATGGAATGATTGTTAGGTGTACATGTCTGTCTGGCATGGTTCATCTAACAGTGAGTTCATATTTATGGATCATTGATAATGTTAAGTTTATGTGATACTTGTAGTAAAACCGTCATATTACAGACTTCCAAAATGAATTAAATCATAAGTTATTGTCCGAATTATGGAAAATCTCCCTTTTTTATTGAATAAAAATCGAAAGGGAGCTTACGTCAATAGATATTAACAATTCACCAAAGTTTCATGCAAATTGGTTAAGGCGTTTTTGAGTTATTGTCTGACATGTTGACGACGGAGGGACAGACTGACAGAGGGACAGACAGACATACAGACGGACATACAGACGGATGTACAGACGGATGGATGGATGGACAGACGGACAAACGGACGGACAACACTATACCATAATACGTCCCGTAAACGTGCACATAAAAATCATTTAAAAGAGGTCAAGGACTGATGAACCCTGTATGGCAGTCATGTATACCTGACAATCATTCCATACTCCAAATATATTTGACCTATTGCTTATAATTTATGAGAAAAATAAAATTAAAAAAAATCTTATAACAATGACCCATGAAAATGAAATCAAGGTGAGATGAACCCTGTCCAACAGACCTGTGCATCTAACAATAAATTTGCTAATAGTATCTATTAAGAAAGGGACCTATTCACTTAACCGATCAATGAACCATGAAAATGAGGTCAAGGTCAGATAACCCTATAAGACGTACAAGTACTGGTACACCTTTCAATCATATTATTCACCAAATTATATAGTTGATTCATTGCTAATAGTATCTGAAAAACGGAGCTAACTACAAACTACAAAAAAGTTAACATTGACTACTGATCCATGAAATATTTTAAGGTCAGCTGAACCCCTCTGTTACGGACAAACATGTACCTTGTATAGCTTACAATGATTCTATATTCTATATATATATATTTGTCCTTTTACTCATTATAGCTGATAAAATCATGGTTATAAAAAAAAAAGCTTTTTTCGGCAATTGCTGAACTTAAAAAAATTAGGTCAAGGACAAAAGACATGTATCCTTTGCTACAGGTTTTCTTAAAGAAGCACAAATATTACAAAGCCCATGTTTTGACTGAAAAAGCCTAAAATCAATGTGAAATTAAAAAATTTGTAAGGGTTCTGCAGAACCCAGTGTCTCGCCTACTTTTGCTGTTAATCGCAGGCTCAACAAAAATGAGGAAAAAAATTAATAAAAATATTCCTCTCTATACTATCTTTTGATTGTAAGTAGCTTTTGTCCAAGTTTGGTAAAAATCCAGGATAGTTTATGAATCTAATAAATGTTTTAAAAACTTAAACTGCAGACTGTATGTAATGTTAACTGGAAGAAAAACTAAGTCCATTTATAAGTAAAATACGGAAAAAATGGAACAAAATTTTAACAAAATCTCCTTCTAGATACTAGCTTTTAATCATAAACAAGCTTCTGTCCAAGTTTGGTACAAATCCAGGATAGTTTAAGAAAGTTGTTAAAATTAAAAAAAAACTTTAACCACAGAGTGAATGTAATGTAAACTGGCAGAAAAACTAAGTCCATTTTTAAGTTAAATACGGATAAACTGGATTTTTTTTACAAAATTTACTTCTGGATACTATCTTATGATCATAAACAAGCTTCTGTCCAAGTTTGGTAGAAATCCAGGATAGTTTAAGAAAGTTATTAAAATTTCAAAAACTTTAACCACAGAGTGAATGTTATGTTTCCTGGCAGAAAAAGTCCATTTATAAGTAAAATACGGAAAAAATGGATTTTTTTTTACAAAATTTACTTTTGAATATTATCTTATGATCATAAACAAGCTTCTGTCCAAGTTTGGTATAAATCCAGGATAGTTTAAGAAAGTTATTAAAATTTCAAAAACTTTAACCACAGAGTGAATGTAATGTTTCCTGGCAGAAAAAATAAGTCCATTTATAAGTAAAATACGGAAAAAATGGATTTTTTTTTTTATAAAATTTACTTTCGAATATTATCTTATGATCATAAACAAGCTTCTGTCCAAGTTTGGTATAAATCCAGGATAGTTTAAGAAAGTTATTAAAATTTCAAAAACTTTAACCACAGGGTGAATGTAATGTTTCCTGGCAGAAAAACTAAGTCCATTTATAAGTAAAATACGGAAAAAATGGATTTTTTTTTTACAAAATTTACTTTTGAATATTATCGTATGATCATAAACAAGCTTCTGTCCAAGTTTGGTAGAAATCCAGGATAGTTTAAGAAAGTTATTAAAATTTCAAAAACTTTAACCACAGAGTGAATATTTGTGGACGCCGCCGACGGAATGTAGGATCGCTATGTCTTGGTTTTTTCGACAAAAGTCGAAGGCTCGACAAAAACCTAAACAAACAGAATGCAATAGTGCAAAACTTACCAATCTAACAAATTTGTCATATTTAACTGATTTAAGAGGATTTGTGGAAAAGAGTTGCATTCATCCCGTATGAACAATGGTCCCTGGCAATTGTGATATGAAATAAACCAAATGTATAGATTATTGGGTTTTTACATTGATATCATAAACTATAAGACGAGTGTCCTTTTTGGCTATTGACCCTAGCTAATGAGCCAAAATATTTCACATTGTGAGGAGCAGCTGATATAGTATGATATCTACTGGTATAAACTGAAAATCAGATAATCATATCCTACTTTTTCTTGTCATCTTTTTTTGCCATCCTTAAGAATTTTTTTCAGCATGGTTGTCCTACCAGAAGTAAGCTCAATAAGTTCTGCTCTTGCATTGTGTCATCGCTGATAAGTTCTGCTTTCATATTGTGTCATCACTGATTAGTTCTGCTAAAATGCCACTAAGCCATGATATATGTGCAATAATAACAAAGCAACTGAGAAGGTGATATAGGTTCAGGAAAGTACAATATGATATACATTGTAATACTTCACTCTTCTTGTTATATCAATACTGAGTAAGGTAGGTTATTGTTGGGTGTTTTTAAGAGTACTTGCACATATTATATAAAGAATAAAGAATAACATGGACAAAAATGATGCAAGACAAAGTTCAGGTCAAACATATCAATGTCAGGTCAAACATAAGGACTTCAGTGAAAATTCCAGGTTAAACATCCTTGAAAAAAATGAAAACAACAATTTTTAAATTTCATGAGTCCGAAGTGCTTTTCTGGACTAACCTTCATCGGGAACGCTCAAAGCTGAATATTTGAAAGCCAAGGATGTATACAAAACCTTACAAAGCTGTAATATATGAAGATCAAAGGACACTGCTATAGACACAGGGAAGGCTGCAAATGCACTATTTTTTCAATTTTCAGTTATAGTTCTACAAGCCAAAATTGTATGCCAAATATTTACAAAAGCTGTGACATATCCCATCTACTGTACCATGACCAAAATGGACTTTTAATGATAAATGAAAAACACACCAAACAAACCAGAAAGATTTTTAATTTATTGCAAGTTGATCATTTTTTCTTCATACAAAATAACAGATTAATTGGACTAGTAAAAATAATAGAACTATGGTTCTAATCAATGTTAACCGAGGATGGAGAATTAAAAAACAATATAATAACATTTTTAGCAATATAATTGATTTGAGATTCTTCATAGTAGAGATCAATAAGTAATCAGATTATTCAGCAATATATATGATCTATAAGAAACAATATAAGATGCTTCAGGGAACAATAATCAATCAACAATGCCACCAAGTCTGATTTTTTAATTGAATTATTAATCCATGTTATACTAGGCTGTAGTTTTATTGTCCTAAATCATGAAACTATATTAAATATTCATGTGATGTATGACGTGATGTATGACATGCTTCAGTCTATTATGTACAAAAAAAATTATTTCTTCAGGTAAACAATATATATATATATATATATAAAAAAATAAGGTGATGTGGTATGATTGCCAATGAGACAACTATCCACAAAAGTTCAAATAAAGTGGATGTAAGCAATTATAGGCAACCGTACAGCCTTCAACAATGAGAAAAACCCATACCGTATAGTCAGCTATAAAAGGCACCGACATGAAAAATATGAAACTTCAATTGAGAAAGCTAATGGCCTAATTCATAACAACACAATTTACGAAAAACAAATATGACAGACATGAACCAACGACAACCACTGAATACCTTCTAAGATAATAACAAAAAAAAACATGATTTGATGACTGACATTGGCAGTTGTTTTTTTGGTTTTACATAATACAATAAAAACTTTATACAGACTGACCAAAGGTCATATGAAAAGCACAAAAATCTACTCTCTGAAACATCAGTAAACTTTATTGTGTTTGAAAATTTATTACTTCCTCCCTCTTTAAAAATTACATTGCACAATCCCAGTATTCTGGTATGACGATCCGAATTCAACACCAAATCTAAATTTGTCCTCCTGCCTGAGAACATATATTCAAACCAGTGGAACTGAACTGGAAGATCTTTGCAAACTAAAAAAATTTTTTTTTTGATTTTAAAACTTTCACTAGCAAGATTCTCAACACATGGTCAGAACTCTGGTCATAGTGTTACACAAAATTCAGAATATATTATGTTCTTCACTAGAACAAAGATTTCATAAGTCTAGAGCTTATAATATCAAAATATCATCTGGACTTAAATATTTAAGCCAACATCTATAAATAGATTTTGTAAATAAGCATCTCTATATTACTCAATCAAGGGGGTAGATTAAAAATTTGTAATCGTTAAGTTTTGCACTTTATTTTCAATATATGGAAAATAATAGCATTTAAACAATTAAATTAGCAGACGTATTATACATAAATATTGCAATATAAAATATATAAATGTATTTACTACAATATCACACTGGAATGTCTATGTTACTATTATTTCATTATAAATAGTTTGACTCTTCATGGCTGTCAGTGCTTTGAAATTTCATATTCCCTGTTACTTTGGCAGGAAAGTCATAATTTAAGTAACTTTCCTGCAGGTAAGTAAAATTTACATATACAGGCTGGAGAAATCATATTTTCCACCTGAAAGCACACCTTAAAAATCCAAAGCACTAACAAACTAACATAATAAACAGTATTATTCCTGTCAAAATACTTTTATTCCATTGGTAACAACTTCATGATTTTATCATAGTCATAAATTTTAATATAAAAATAGAAAGAAAAAAATTACTATATTTTATAAATACTACAAATGTAAAAAATTTTGACCCAATAATTTTCAAATACATTAAAAAATCTGGCATCTATGATTAAAAGTACTTTCACAACACATGATCTAGTTTGAGCTATAAGTAAAAAAAAAAAAAACATTTGGAATCTATGAAATATCAATCTTGTGTTTAATAGATTATGAAATATTGAAGCACCATCAAATCAAATGAATCAGCAGTACACAAAAAAATGCAAGTTATCAGAGGAAAAACTAGAGCACAAATCCTCAAATACAGATCTTTTGAAATGCAACATTTACTAAAAACATGTAAATATTTAAATATGACATCTATTCTATAATAAAATGACTGATTGCTTAATAATGAAAAATTAGGAAAGCCAAGATATCCTGATAAAAGTTTTAAAAAAGCAATGCAGACAACCAAGATGTGCGCCACTGATTTCCTCATATTCATTTCTCAGTGAAGTTAGTTTATTAATCATATCAAACCATTTGTTCACAACCATACACATGAATTTATTTAGCAGTTAAACATGTAACAAAATTATCTATGAACTTTAACATTGACATACTCAATCATAGCTATAAGTGAATTATACATCTATATTCATGTAACATAGGCATGATAAAAAAATAAAATATGTCTGAGTATTTTTCTGAGGCCTCTTACGATTGAATTTTTTTTTAAATATGTGTAACACCTCTAACCCTCTAACCCATTCCAAGAACGAAATATAAATGATAAGAAAACAAATTTACGTCATGATACAGAATTTTGTTCTTGCTACTCCTGTTTACAATCAAGATATTATTTTTTAACATGAAAATTCAATATTGTTTTTTTTATGTTATTCTTGACAGGAAATAGTAAAATTGTAGTTTGTAACTATATACATGTATATCAAATTAAGTGTCCATAAGGCTCAGATCCATATTCTCACTAATTACACATAAACCTAGAGAACCTTTTTTATATTTTTAAGTCATTTTTTTCTGAAAATAAACAAGTCAATTTTAGTATAATATCATGTAAGCTTTAATTTTTTTTATACTTCTTGAATGCAGTGTTAGCGTAAATGTGTTTTCTAAAGAAATACAGTAGTTACTTTATTTCATATAAATACAAGAAGTATGACTAGATCTTATCTTCTATTAGTATAATTGACCAGTATCTTAATATTAAGAGAAAAGGTATATATATACTATTATAATTCTAAATATAATTTACTCAAAATTCATAAAATAGAAGTGTTAATATAAAAAAAAAAATAAGTTCAATAATTCCAATCAACATTGTTTCTAAAAATACATGTCCTTCTAGAAATTTAAGGTTATATAATCATGGTTAATTTTGGTAAAGCTCTAACTATCAAATGTTTACTTAATGTCGTTTGGTGATACATATGAATTACATGCATCAGTTTCCTACATAGGGGCAGTTCCATGTACTCTAGTTACATGCAAAATTTCACGAAACCCTTAAATTAAGTCCATTTACATACTTAATCTGTAGAGACAGATTTATAATTTTTCAAAATTTTTCTGCACAAAAAAAAACGCTTTTAATGGCGGTAATCATATATACTTCACTTTTAATACAATCGAAATTTTATAACATGTTAGATTTGTCTATGACTTACAATTTTAGTTTATACATATATTAAAAGCTGCCTCATCTGAACTTTACCATAAAAATGCTATCTGAATATTCTTGTCTATTAACAAATACTTGTCAGAGATGTATAATTTCATATGCCCTGCATTATCACACTGGTTTCCCTGTAACTGGTTCTTTATTATTTCAATAGAACTGTTCTATATCACAGTTCCATATGACCTGCTAAAGCTTTATCTACTTTCTTTTGCAATTCTGCATGGTATTTCTTAACCTGAAAAATTCACAAACATTAAATGATTTTAATTCAGTGGGCCAACAGTCACAAGAGAAACAAGGTTCTGGTGAGAAAATTAGTCACATTGGTTGCCATATTACATGTTCAAGCAATTCTGATATATCCCTGACAGTTATACTGGTTGGTCATGGATATAGTGGATATCGAAGTTACAATACTCAATGAATAGTTTATACATGGAAATGTTCAATCATATTTGGTGTCAATTGGTTTATTGGGTATCAAAAAGAAAATTTTGGTTTCAGCCAATTTTGTAAACCTCTTTTTGGCAATGTCTGTTATCAGATGGGAACCAAATGAACTGGATGTTGGATGTGTACTGATTGATATTTTAGTCTTAGATGCATGATTTTTTTCATTAGTTGTTATTGGCTTTGAACTAGCTGTCAGTAACTGCGGGTACTCTCAGATCTGTACTTAGTGTCTTTTTGTTTTTGGGATGTATAAGTACCCATCCACTCTGTGTTTTTGTTAGATGTATTTCTATTTGTATCCATCTGATGAGTTAAGCCTTTTTCAACTGATTTTTATAGTTTGTTCTTATGTTGTACTGTTACACCACTGTCCCAGGTTAGGGGAGGGTTGAACACTCACAAACATGTTTAAAACCGCCACATTCTTTATGTGCCTGTCCCAAGTCAGGAGCCTGTAGTTCAGTGGTTGTCGTTGGTTCATGTCTGTCATATTTGTTTTTCGTAAATTGTTTTATTATAAATTAGGCCATTAATTTTCTCAATTGAATTGTTTCATATTTTTATGTCTTTTATAGTCTACCATACGGTATAGGTTTTTCTCATTGTTGAAGGCCGTACAGTTGCCTATAATTCCTTACATGATGTAACATCCACTTCATTTGAACTTTGGTGGATAGTTGTCTCATTGGCATCATACCACATCTCCTTATATTTATACAGAAGTTAGTTTAACCATCCAATAAAATGTCTTGGTTCTCTTTAACTTCAGCAGTCCAAGAGTTATGTATGATGGGACACCAAATGATAGCAAAAGATCACATGGCTTTAGGTTAAGAGATCTACAGAATAAATAGAAAACACAAGACTGAACTAATAAAAAGAAATGAGAGCAGTGTTTATACATTGATACCTATGCTCTCCCATTTGTTGGATAAAGAGAATAGAATGGATCTCCATAAGGGGCCAGCCAAACACCTGTACATAAAAAACACACATAAAATTACCTTCAACTGGGGTTAAAACTAACCTTACTTCCATATTCATAAGCCTTTTGTTTTAATAAGACATGTTTTTGTGGCATTTCTCCATCCTTAGTTTCTCTTCCTAGAACATTCTCAGCAATCTGAACTTCTTCTTTTAAGTATTCATGTTTGTCAATTCGGTGTTCAAAGTGCCGTAACTCTTCCTGAATATTAATAATTTCCAGAATATAGTTATCTAATATATACAAGTGATAAAATTTAGTTACTCTTCTATAGAATGGTAAATCAGCTCATACTTAACTATTGAACCGGTAATTTCTTGTTTTTCATATTAATGAAACTGAGCAATTAAATACAAACAAACCTTTTTAAAAATCATTTTTAAAACTAGTAATTGATAGACTGTTGATTATTTAACACTATTGCAGCATTGAAAGGTTTCCCATTTTTTCATGTCAGGGCTTTTTATAGCTGACTATACAATATTGATAGGCTCATTGTTGAAGGCATTATGGTGATGTATAGTTGCTTACATCCACAGACTTATCCCTCTCCAGGTAGTAAGACCCTTGCTAAAGTGGGCTTGGTTGTAGTCTGCCTTAGTTTAAATCAGGTTGTTGGTTTTCACCTTTTATAGCTCATTATACAGTAAGAGTGTTGCTCAATGTTTAAGGATGTTTAATGTCAAGATACAGTAAATGGGCTATGTCACAGTTTGTGGTACAATTGTGCATACAACTGTGGCTCATTGAACTCCAACTGAAAATATAAAAAATAATGCATTTGTCTCTTTTAAAATAGGTGAACATTTGTATAGGATAAAATCGGCAAAAATGCTCTTAAATTTATCTTAAAATTATCAATTCTCCAAATACTGATTCATAGATTTTTGACGTTTTCATTACCAATTAGGTAACAGATTCATTAATACACCAAAAACAAAGTCATTGACCCTGTGATTATTTTATATCAATCAAACAGAAATTTATGTATCAACATCATACCATTTTTTAAGAAAAATCTATGGATTGGTAATTGGAGATTTGATGATTTTAAGACAAAATTAAAAACATTTTTCAACCATTTTATGTGCTTTCTATATAAATTTTCACTTATTTTTAATGAACTCATTCAGTAATATTTCAGACATAAAAGAGATAAATGCATTTTTTTTTCAATGAGCCTTTGTTGTATGCAAAATTTTACTAGAATCTGTGACATAGCAAATCTACTGTACCTTGAGCTTAACTATTCTTTTGTTACACTTACCATAAATGACTGCAGTTCAGCTTCTGTCATATTAGATTTTCTTGCTAAGGCATATAATTCATATACTCTTTTATCTTTAAATTCTAATTCATCATCTTCAAAATGTTTCTTGGATCCAAGTGTTTCAAGATTTTCATATCCATCTTTTATATCTTTGTTCATCAATTTTAGATTTTTGTTCTCTTTATCATAGTTAAACCCATCCAAGCTATTGTCGATCATGTCTAAATCTAAAAATATATAAAGGCATACATTCTATAGCCTTAATTGCTCATCTGAAATCTATACATGAAATTTACTTATATTACTAGAAAATTAAAACAAGAGTGCACACACTGAAATGTCTCGCCTACTATACTGATCATTGATTTCATGTTGATAGTCCTACATATAAAGTTTTACTACAAGTATCACATTAACATTTATGATTCAAGAAAATGAGGTCAATGTCAGATAAACCAAGGTGGAAATACATGTACACCTTTAGGTTGCACTTTGTTAATACAGCTGTTTCACAAGCCATGCCTCTTTTGGGGAGATATATAATATTCATAGATATTTATTTTGTTAAAGTACTGGTTCCCAGATATGATCTCTATCTTTCATCTCATAGAGAAATAACTTGGGAATGTTACCAGTATAAAAACAGATGGTAGCGGCGATAATTGAATTCTGAGGGACACCCAAAGTGGAGGTAGGGATAGTACAGAATTTTAGTATAAGTTTAAACTCTTAGAAGTTCGGGGCATATAAATGTTGAAAATATGCAGCACAGCCCTATGTTTTGAGCTTTGATTAAAAAAGTAGTGCATATCAACTTTCCGTTCTAGGATATAATTTTTTACGAAACTTTTTAGTAAAAGTGGCACAGCTTTAGCTGCAAAGGGAGTTCCTATGGGAAATTGCATTGTCTATATTTACAGAAGTGTAACCTATAATACAATCATTCCATACACAGAATATAGATGACCTATTGCTTATAGTATAAAAGAAACAGACCAAACCATGGAAATTCTATATTGAACAATGAACCATGAAAATGAAGTCAAGGTCAGATGTATTTTTTTCAAATTCCTTCCTTACTGTTGGACCGGGTGAGGTAGAGAAGTGTTGTCTGACCCTTCTCATCCTACATTTATTTATTTATTCTGGAACAAACCTTTGGAGATATAATATGTAAGCATATGAATTTCTGAATGGCCTTGTATATTCCTAACGAATCATCAAACATGTTCCTATTTGTTACTGCCACACATCTTCCTTTAATTTTTTTTTACTGTAGCAGCTATTGATGAGTTGGGGTCATCTCTATCTTTCTGTACTGTGCAAGGAGACAAAGTTCATTCTTGAAGCCCTTCCAGCACTTACTAAGATGAAAGCAGTAATAACAGAGTTGTTCCTTTTGATATATTGGTTATTCCCAAGTATTTCATGAAGGACTGGTGTCTCATGTACACCAATTGAATTTTTGAATGTTGTGTCTTAAATCAAAAGTGTTATACACAGAGGAATTTTAAATTATAAGACCATATTTTTTTTTCAGAATTTTTTTTCTGAAATCTGGTTGCATGAAAAAAAAATTCTGGACTTTTGCAGGTTTCAGAAAAGCAGAATAATGTATTATTCCTTAATAAATTTTTAGTACTTTTTATTTAATAAACAGTAAACATGACATTTAATATACAATAAAATACTTTCTTCCTATAGCTTAGCCTTATACTTACCAATACCTACTACATGTAGTAGATTCATTTTGGATCCGTGACCATCCCCGTTTCAATTAATCTTAGGATTTCCCCCTGGTTTCCACCAAAATGAGGCCCTTTATACATCTTTATGATTTTTGTTTATTTTTTCCGTTGTTCTCACACACAATAATAGAGTTTGAAGGTTCATTTTTTTCCATGTCATGTATAACCTGTGGAATCATTTATATTCTATGCTAGATAAATGATGTTGTGCCTTATCATATCTATTTCTAAATCCATAACTTTCAAAATTTGATTCATTATTACCAACCTGATATGGATTTAAAACCATCCTTCAATAAATCATATTCATCCAGCTTTAGCTGTTGATGCCAAAATTCTTTCTTCAGATTTTCCATTTCTTCATCTAAAACAAAAATTATGAAGACATTTTTGGGATACTTTTCTTCTTCTTTAAATTTCTTGTCATCTGTAATATTTATTTTAAACAAGAGGCTCTCAAGAGCCTGAATCGCTCACCTGAATTTTTTTGCTTAAATCTTTCATTAATGATTATTTTTGCTTTTCAATATATATTAATGAGTGGCTTAAAAATGCCATTTAAATGTTCTTTGTATCTGTCATATTTTCTTCAAAAGCAAAAAAATGCATTTTACCGCTATGTTCCATTTTAGCCATAGTGGCTATGTTTCTTGATGTACAAGGAAATAAAATACAAAATTTATACTAGATACTCTGAAACTCATTCAGCCCAAGTTTGGCTGAAATTGATTCAGCAGTTTCAATGGAGAAGATTTTTAAAGGAAGCAAACTAGATGAACAAATTGTGAAAAATTGTCTTTAAAGGACAATAACTCCTTAAGGGGTCAATTGACAATTTTGGTCACATAAAAACTTATTTGTAGATCTTACTTCGCTGAACATTTTTGCTGTTTACAGTTTATCTTTATCTATAATAATATTCAAGATAATAACCAAAAACTGCAAAATTTCCTTAAAATCATCAATTCAGGGGCAATAACCTAAAAATCAGATACCCGATTTGGCTGAGAATTTCAGGGCAGTTAGACCTTAACCTAATGAGTACTTTAACTTCTGTCTGATTTGCTCTAAATGCTTTAGTTTTTGAGATATAAGTCAAAAACTGCATTTTACCCTATGTTCTATTTTTACCCATGGCAGCCATGTTTTCTGAGGAAACAGAAAATAAAACACAAACTTTAATCTAGATAACCTAAGAACCATTCAGCTTAAGTTTGGTTTAATTTGGTTCAGTAGTTTCAGAGGAGAAGATTTTTTAAAGTTAGAAAACGTTGATAAACAAATTATGTAAAATTGTCCTTAAAGGGCAATAACTCCTTAAGGGGTCAATTGACAATTTTGGTCATATAAACTTATTTGTAGATCTTACTTTGCTGAACATTTTTGCTGTTTACAGTTTATCTTTATCTATAATAATATTCAAGATAACCAAAAACTGCAAAATTTCCTTTAAATTACCAATTTAGTGGCAGCAACCCAACAATGGGTTGTTAGATTCATCTGAAAATTTCAGGGCTGATAGAACTTGACCTAATGAACATATTTACTGCATGTCAGATTGCTCTAAATGCTTTAGTTTTTGAGATATAAGCCAAAAACTGCATTTTACCCCTATTTTCTATTTTTAGCCATGGTGGCCATGTTTTTTGACGAAACAGAAAATAAAATAAAAACTTTATTCTAGATACCCTAAGGATCATTCAGCTTAAGTTTGGTTGGAATTGGTCCAGTAGTTTCAGAGGAGAAGATGTTTGAAATAGTTTACACCCACATTTCCTTTGGAAAGGTGAGCTAATAAAAGGAGTTGTGGGGTTTACATCAATACAATGATCCCAATGACACAAAACTGTTAACACAGAGATATGTCTGGCCTTTTTGTTATTTTGATAATGCAAATGTTGAAATTAAAATAGCAATACTTTAACATGTAAGTTATGCATATATTCAAAGTCAATGAACCATGACTGAAAGTACAGAGCTAAACAATCTCCACAGAAATGAGCTAATGCTAATACAACTGCATACCAAATACCATTGACTTATCATAAGTTGTTCCCTTTAAACAAACCTAAACAAACATTAACTTGTAAACTATGTAAAAGTTTCAAAGTCAATGAACCATGATAAGGGGGTGGAGCTATATAATCTCCATGGAAATGAGACTTGCAAATGCCAATACATTTGCATACCAACTATCAACGACTTAACATTAGTGGTTTATCTTAAACTGATCTAATCACAAACTTATTCATGTAAAACTAAGCAAAAGTTTCAAAGTCAATAGACCATGACTGAGGGGTAAGGACCAAATATTCTCCATGGAAATGAGATGTGCTAATGCTTATATAACTGCATACCAATTATCATTGACCTACCACTAATGGTTCCCCTTAAACTGACCTAATCACAAACTAATACATGTAAACTAAGCAAAAGTTTCCAAGTCAATAGACCCTGACTGAGGGGATGGGGCCAAATAATCTCCATGGAAATGAAATATGCCAATGCTTATACAACTACACACCAAATATCATTGACCAATAACTAGTGGTTCCTCATAAACTGACCAAATCACAAACTAATACATATAAACTAACAAAAGTTTCAAAATCAATAGACCATGACTGAGGGAGCGGGGTCAAATAATCTCCATGGAAATGAGATGTACAAATGCTAATACAACTGCATACCAAATATCATTGACCTACCACTAGTGAATCACCATAAACAAGACCTAATCACAAACTTATACATTGTTAACGCCGCCACCGCCAGAAACAGCATACCTATGTCTCGCTCGCTTTTTGACTCCGTCAAGGAGAGACAAAAAATCCAAGATATCTAGAGGTTATTAAATGAATTCATACAAATTTTTGTTAATAGATGTAGAAAAAAACTTAAAACATCTGAAGTTGTACAATCCTAAAAGAATACAGAAACAAACTCCTTTAAATGAAGTTTTTAATTCTTTAATTAAAATACTGCAGAATAAAAACATTGAACTACACAAAACTTTGATATTGAGAAACAATATTCGTAAATTGAAATACTTTATTGTTGCCTTCTCCAATAGTTTTTTTTTATTCAATACATTTCTAGTAATATGGAAATGATTTTTAAAAAGCATGGAGTTATGTAACATTCAAGATCTGACCAATTCAGGAAAATGAAGTTCAGTATTTTACATGAATGACTTCATTAATAACACAATGATTAAGAAGATTGCATTTTTGTTACTTTATATTACTCTTTCTTATATAATTTACCAGAAAACCCTGAATCCCCTGCTTTCTCCCACAATTTCTGCAATTTCTTGTCTTTAAATTCTGGTGGTATATCATTACCGAATGCCTCATTAGTACCGGTAACATCTGGGATGTGTATTACATCTTGTAAATTATACTTATTTACAATATCTAAAATTTAAAGATGTAAAATCAAGTTTTATTCATGAAATTTTACACTTTAACTAGAATACATTCATCTGTAGTGCTAAGTTCCACAGAAACACATTTTTTTGTAACACTATACATGTAATACATTTGTTAACTTACCCTTTCTCAGAATGACTTTAAGCAATAAAATGAAAGCTAATGATATTCTACAGGCATAATTTATGGCTAACCACAGAATGAGATACTTGAATAACATTTCAATAAATGCTTTTTATTAATATAACTGCATATTTGAACTTTTTTTCTTTTGTGTTAAGCTGGAACTCTAAATATTTAGCAAATACAATTTTATCCTACACCAGGCCATTTCTTAAAATGTGAACAATCCAGAAAATACAACAAAGTCAAATTCTTTTTTTCTTTACCCTTTAACTTTTGATATTTTTATATTGACAGATTTTTAACGTGTCTCTTGACTACTTGATATTACTATTACAGAGGAAATTCTTTGCATGCTTTTATCAACAATGTAAAATCCTCATTCAAAATCTCTTCAGTGAAAGTGACTAGATTTTCCTAAACCTATACTATAGTCCCATACACAACATTCATTGGTCAGGTTTGGGCAATTTGAAATATTTACAAGGCTTGCCTAAGCTTTGTCAGTATGAAATTAAACAATAATCAGACACTTACCTAAGCCTGTGTTGCTCACCAGGTGAAATAATGCCAGTCTGCTAATGAGGACATATATACTAGTTATGTTTTGCTGACCTTTTTTGCAATTTACTCTTTAAACCTATAGTTTTTTTGAAACAATAGCCAAGAAGTGTCAAAAAGTTAAAAACCAACATTTATGGGGTAGTAACTTCAAAGGGTTAGACAGATTTTTCTAAAACTTTCAGGGTAGATATTAGCCAAAATCTGTAGTTTTACCACCATGTTGGATTTTTTACCCAGGTTTATGGAGGGAAGACCCAAAGTGGTGGCAAAAGCTGTGATACCAATGCTACAAGGCACTAATTAAACTGCATCCCTTTGTTTCATTTCATTTATGATTTAATAAGAATGACCTGTTAATGTTTAATTGTTCAATGTAAACAGATATATATAAAATTATTCAATTGGGAATGTCTTAATGGTAATTTTGACATCTGACACAAAGTCTACTTTAAACTGCTTTTAAAAAATATTTGTGAAAAAGGTCACCTCTTAGTTTAATTCTCACTTCTGCCTCTTTAATTCCTCCTTTATCCATATCTTCAGATTTGAGACGTTTCAGCTGTAATTCCAAACCATCTTGAATCTTTAGGTCAGCATATAAGTCTGCTAACATATGCCCTTTTAATCTCTATCAATTAAACAATGTCATTTACTTTTTTGTATTTTAAAAAAAATGCTACACAAAAAGAAAATTTAAATCACTTTAAATATTAAGACAATCACAGATCATCATCAAGATAATTGTAGAAAGACTTAACGATGGCATTAGGATTCAAAATGAAAACAGAAACAAGTAAACAAAATAAACAATTTTCAAAAATAGACACTGCCTTAAATAAAGCTGAAATTTCTCTAACCATGAAATAATCTCTAAATAACAAACAATCAAATACATGATGTACATAAAAATAATAACTACTACTCAGTGGAAGCAATCCCATCACACTTCAACCATCTCAAGAGTCAAGACACCATTAAAATTCTTCACAATACAAACCCTGGATACATTTCACATCTATACACTGTTGGTTGTTTATTTGGGGGCCAAATGTAACAGTACAGCATGATTCTCAATAGACCTGTTAGAAAATTACACTGTCATGACTTTCACCTCCGTGAATCGAACCAGGGACCTCTGTGTTCAAACTTCAAAGTCGATCATCAGTCCTCTAACTGACTGAGTCAAAGACAGAGTTTCCTGGCTCATCCAATTACAGCTGACGAAGTATCGACTACTAAAGGGGAAAAATACACCCTAATACTATTTGTCCAATCCCGAAAAAACAGTCACTTAATTTAAACACTTCCAGTATGTGTCAAGTGTCGCAAAAACAAAGGTCATCAGTATTGAGCTGAGGAAAGAAAAAGTTTATAAAGCAAGTATTTTGAAATTTTTATAGATTATGATCCAATTTTTGATTTGTTTGAAGTTTTTAAAACAGTTTGAACATATTTTATGCACTATACATTGTTTAAACAGGGCCCCAGATAGCTTCAACTGGTTTGTTTGAAGTGTTTACGGTGGTTTAAACATGTCTCTTTGAAAAGCTTTATGCACAATACATTGTTTAAACATGCCTCTTTGAAAAGCTTTATTCACAATACATTGTTTAAACAGTGCCCCAGATAGCTTCAACTCATTGTGACATCTTGAAAAAGTTGTTTAATGTAAGAACTGTTCCAAATTGGAATAAATAGCAATAAGGTGTATCCTGTCACATATTTTTTTAACTTTTGGGATCCCTGTTCTTTTAGGTTATTGAGGTTTCTATTTATGCTATGGTAAGATTTTAAGGCTACAGATAATGTAAATATAAGGTATGGGTTAGGTTTAGGATTAGTCTAGTAAAGGTCTATGTAGGTTAGAATCCATAGAGTTAAAGATTAAAAGAAGGCATATGTTGTACCTTTAATGCCTTGTGCCAGATCTGGTTCATCTTGTTCATTCTAAACGGACTTGACTGTACATCTTCTTTGTACTTATTGATCGAACTGATTTGTGTCACAGTGAATGTGAAAATAAAGAGAATAAACATGAAATTCATTTTAACCGAGCTAAGATTCTAGATGGAAAATATAATTTCAATGTTACTTTTTCTCTTCCCTACAAAGGACAAAAGACGTAATTTGAAGCGCATGAGAGATTCAGAATAATGACAGAGATGTGTGTAAAACGTACGTTTAAGATCCGTATATTTTCATTTCGTTCTCAGTGTAAATAATAACTAAATGTGTGATCTTTTTGTATATATTGTATATATGTGTATGTGAATAAAAATACATATAATTTATAGTAACAATTGTTACTCAATATATATTTGTTTGTTGCCAATCATGTTCAATAAATTTAAAATTCAGAATACCCAATTTAGATTCACCAAAGTAAAACCCAAACTACAAAGTGAAAGTTGGAAGGAATTTCCTGAAATATGATTTAAACATTATTTGATAGATATTACAGTTATCAGATAGATATAATTTACAGTTATGGGAGACATGGAATTTAACTCGATGTTAATCGATGTTGCAAAGCATTTAAACGAAGATGACATGAAGCGCATGAAATTTTTGTGTAAAGATATTGTGAAAAAAAGAGACATGGAAAAGGTGGAAACCCCTTTGGATTTATTTACTGAATTACAGTCAAGAGAAAAACTGACAGTAAATGACTCATCTTTCCTTAAACAAATTTTAAACAAGTGTGAAAAACTTAATGCTATCGGAGTAATTGAACAATTTGAAAACAACAGATTAAATCATCCTGTAGGAAATGGTGAGGTTCCAATGGATGTTTCACCCGGTGTTAGAAATCAGGCTTTACAACAAGCTCATCCTGTAGTCCCACAACCTGTGCATCAATCTCATAATAGTGCTGCTAGTAGAAGAGAAGGTACAATCATGATGAATTATTTCATTTAATTTGTCCCTAGGCTTACAGGAAACAGTTGTAAAAGTCCATGTTATAAATTTTGGTAGGGAAATAAGTCTGGTGTACAATTTAATTTCTTAAACAGTCCACTAGGCCAAGGAATTGTATATTTAAAAGGAACGGAAATGTGGCCGACTTCAAAGAAAATTTTATGATGCATCTCTGTTACGGGTGGTGCGTTAATTACACCCTGTCTCTCTAACTGGCCCATTACTTATCTGGCAGCAGTTATCGAACTTGGTCATTTAATCATGACATGAAATAACAAAAAAAAAAATTATAAAAATTACAACAATACAACCACATACAAAGTTACTTATGAAAAACGTTTTTATGCACCACCTACGATAGTAGTAGGGGTATTATGTTTTCTGGTCTGTGCGTCTGTCCGTTCGTCCATCCGTCTGTCCCGCTTCAGGTTAAAGTTTTTGGTCAAGGTAGTTTTTGATGAAGTTGAAGTCCAATCAACTTGAAACTAAGTACACATGTTCCCTATGATATGATCGTTTTAATTTTAATGCCAAATATGAGTTTTGACCCCGATTTCACGGTCCACTGAACATAGAAAATGATAGTGCGAGTGGGGCATCCATGTACTATGGACACATTCTTGTTATTCTTGTTCTTCATCTTGATATTTCATGACGGTATGCAACAATGAGATGAAATCAGTCATTATACAAGTTTTTAAATAGTTTTCATGCGAAAGAAAGGTAATACAAAATGTGAAAAAAATAACTTTTCAATTTTGCAATATGACTAGTGTAGAAAAGAAGTTAATTAGTATAAAGGAAGAAGAAGTTGGACAGGTGTAGTATTTTATCTAGATAAAAGAACTTAGATTTCAGGTGTTATAATAAACACCAGTGTGGGTTATTCCAATTTGCAGGTATAATCTATCATGTATCAATGATAAGCTAATTAGTGTCGTATAAATTTAAGATGTCCATATCAAATCACGCTGAGCAAACCTGTTAATCAAAGCTCTGCCTATTAATTAAAGCCAAATTATGTCGTGGTGCAAAATTTGTTTTAATTAGAAACAGTTAAAACTTTCACACATCCACATATTTGTTGGTTTTTTTTTAACACACTAAGGAATATTTTTACGACCTCTATACTATACCATGTATACTGCTCTGCGAGAAAAAAAAGGAAGGAACTGTTTTGCTGTCTTATGGTTATTTGCGACAACGCTTAATTATGGCAAACTGCAATATCAAATAACGATTAAGTAATTAAAGTAGTATTTGCAAAAAATTAAATGAATGAAATCGTATATATAAAACGACACATCCATTCTGAGAGTGGAAGTTTATACATTTTTTGCCTGTATTTTCAGACTTTGTCAGTCTGGAACTTGACTGAACAAAATGACGTCAATGTACATGTAAACTAATAAACAAGGGATTTTGAAAAATCATAGAAAATTTGCTTCTTGTACCATTTTCATAAAACCAACACCATGTTATAGAAAAAAAAGTTAAGCTTTTGAATTGTATTTCATTGCCATGTCTATTTCAAGTACTTATTTTACCCTTACAAGAATATAGTGTGTTGTTGTATTTTTTGACACACTTCTTAAAATATTCAGTACGTTTCGAATTAAAATCATTTACAATGTACCAATATCATTTAGCATTCATAATTTAGACCAAATTGTAGGAAAATATTCCTTCTTTAAATTGATATCTCATTTTGTCACTTTGTTCTTTGTTCTTTTCAATATTTAAAATAATCGTATTACACTGCCAAATTGAAAGACACGTTTTGACAGAATAATGAAGTTCCAAACTTAAGTTTCGGAAAATCGTAGAAAATTCAGAAATTTTACCAGAAACATAAAAAATAGTCAAAGTTCTAGAATAAAATTTCAACTTCATAATGATATCAACTATTTTGTTTTGCCTCTCATGGTTGTCGAGCCTATAGAAGAAAATCAAAACACTGTATTTTTTGTTTTGTAATCCGGGTGAAACTCTTGCAAAAATTCAAGACCAAGGTCTTTTTTAATAAGACTTTTCATAAAAATTCTTTGTAAACGTACATGTATGTCCGAAAAAGCTTTAAAATGATACCTAAGGCTTTACCTTTTACATGAAATAGTAGTTTATACTTGACTTTGTTTTTTCTCTCCTTTATATCTTCTCAAGCAAAATGACCCAGTGAATTTAGATGACCGATAATATGACAGGAAATGGACCTCCGTCATGATTCTTTAGATTATTTATCATACTTCCGACCGAATCAGACATGGATTATCGCTCCACAGGAGTCCCGATTGATCTGGAGCCGTGTTCCATTCCTTTTAAATATACAATTCCTTGATTAGGCTATATGATTAATTCATGATTTTAATAATGAATTTTTTAAGATTTGTTTTCTATATTTCATAAATCATTAGATATTCAACATGTTCAAATCCTATCTCATTATTTAACATTCTTGTACTCAATTTTATTTAAAATGTAGTATAATTGGATGTACAATCCATGGTACATTATGTATTTTCACTACATTGGGCAGCCAACAACAACTACTGACACAGATGAGGGTCTGTAATTGTCTGTTCATGGTGGTCATAGAGATATGAGCCTATAATTCATTGGTTGCTGTCTGTTATATTTGTTTTTCGTTTAATGTTTTGTTATAAATCAGGCTGTTTTTTTTTTTTTTCTCATTTGAATAATTTCCAATTTCGTCATGTCTGGGCTGATTAAGGTATGAGTTTTGTTCATTGTTGAAGGCTGCACTATGCCCTTCTGCTTCATTTGGACTCTGTTGGATAATTGTCTCATTGGCAGTCATACCACATCTTCTTACATTTTAAAAAAGTTATTAAATTGGTGAAGTATGCGGCTGCCAACAGTTTCTGTGCAATAACTTATGAACCGTTCAACCAATGCTTTCAAATTTTAATATGTTAATAGTAATGACAAAATGGAGGTAAAATACAATATTGGTGATTTTCACTTTTATCTTTCTGGAGTTATGGTCCTTGATCTATTGGAAAATGCACTTTATGTTATTTCCGTTAAATGACTAATGAACCCTTCTACCAATGGCTTTCAAATTATAATATGTTGTTACTGATGACAAAATGGAGGTCAAGACTAATATGGACGATTTTCACTTTTACCATTCAGGAGTTATGGTCCTTGATCTATTGGAAAAAGGCATTTTATATTGTTTCGGTGCAATTACTCAAGAACCACTTGACCAATGCTTTTCATATTTTAATATGTTATTACTAATGAAAAAATGGAGGTCAAGTTCAATATTGATGATTTTCACTTTTGCCATCCAGAAGTACTTGATAGATTGAATAATGGCACTTTATGTCGTTCCTGTGCAATAACTTATGAACTTTTCAACCTATGCTCTTAAAATTTTAATATGCTGTTAATAATGACAAAAGTTTGATATTGATGATTTTCATTTTTGCCTTTCAGGAGATATAGTCCTTGAAAAATAGGCATACAATGTGTTTATGGTAAAAAAAAAGCCTGAAAGTGCCTTTCAAAATACAGAAAACCCAGTTTGCTGTCAATTTGACAGCTCATTCTTTGTATATATTTAAATTGAGAGGCGAAAAATACCAAAGGGATAATCAAACTCATAAGTCGAAAATGAACTGACAATGCCATGGCAACAAAAAAACACAAGACAAACAGCAGTATACAAAACACAACATATCAAAACTAAAGACTGAGTAACATGAACCCTAACAAAAACCAGGGGTGATCATAGGTCCTTCAGAAGGGTAAGCAGATCCTGCTTCATATGTGGCACCAGTTGTGTTGCTCATGTAATTACAAATCTGGTGATAATTCTAATTAAGTACTGAAATTGGACTGCTAATTGTCTGCATGTGTTTACAAATCTTTTAATTATATTTTTAGATCCCATTATACAACAGCAACTAAATGGTGAGTAATTTTAAAATACTGTGTTTGATTGAAGTAAAACCTAAAAGATCAATGTGACAGCAACCCAAAACATACAGAAGAATACCAATTTTAATTTAAATAGAAATATTTGATAACACATTATTGAAAAAGTTTGTAAAACCCTGGGTCTAACCTGCAACTACTGCTGTCATGTAAAAGTGTAATGTTGACTGTAAAAAAACTTAGTCCATTTATCAGTAAAATACAAAACAAGAGTACACACACTGAAATGTCTTGCCTGCGTTAAAGATTATGATTGAATTGATGATCAAAATCTTGGAGAAAAAGGTTATACAACAAGTGTTATATAAAATTAACATTATCAATGACCTATGTAATCAGATAAAGGTCAGATGAACCCTGTCAGATGGACATGTATGCATTACACACATTTCATTCAAATATAGTCAACATAATGCTTATATTACCTGAGAAACAGACCTAACAATGAAAACTAAACTTTGACCAATGAACTATGAAAATGAGGTCCTAGTCAGATGAATTCTGCCAGACAGAAATGTACATTGTACAATATAGTTAACCTATTGCTTATAGTATCTGAGAAACAGAATTAACCATGAAAACATTACATTGACCATTGAACTATGAAAATGAGGTCAAGGCCAGATGAATACAATGATTTCATATATCAAATATATTTGGCCTAATGCTTATTGTACCTTAGGAACAGACCTTACCTTGAAAACTTAACCTAGATCACTGATCCATGAAATGAGGTCTAGGTCAGGTGAACCTTGTCTGAAGTACATGCAGACCTTGCAAGGATCTCATACACTAAAATAGAGTTATCCTATTACTCATAATAATTGAGATATACACATCACTAAAATGTGACTTTTATAGCAGAAAGTGAGACATAGGGATTACTATCCGGCAGCCTGTGTAAACTTTTGTATAAGATTATATGTTATATTTTTATTTGAAAGACAAAAACTTTGTCACATAACGCTTCTGTATACAAGGTATGAAGAATCCATGTCTTCTATCCCTGAAATATAAAGTTCTATACACAAAGTTTACACTGCCAACGCCGAATTGTAATCCCTATGTCTTGCAAACAAAAATAAATAATGAAAACATTTTTTTTGCTCTGTGTGCTATCTCTTTCTTATGAAGAAGCTTTTGTTCATGTTTAAATGGTTTTGTAAAATTCCTTGAAAGTGTGACAAAGCTATTAAAAATCTTTTAACTTTACATAAATTTGACTGCAAAGAATAAAACAAACAAAATTAAGTCCATTTATTAGTTAAACATTATTTTCTTTTCTTACTTCAGATGGTATCTGTTGATCATGAAAAAGCTTCTGTAAAAGTTTCCTCAAATTCCATGAAAGTTTGAAAAAATTTTAACCCTAGACTTTATCTTAATTAAAACTAAAAAAAGTCCATTTATCAGTAAAATATGAAAAAACCAAAAAAAATATTTATTTTCTCTTGATCATGAATAATCTTCTGTCCAAGTACAGTAAAATTACATGAAGGTTTGACAAAGTTATTTATGTAAAAAAACTTTAACAATAGAATGTATATAATGGTAAATTTATGCAACAAAAAATTGTCCACTTATCAGTAATATAAAGAATAAACATGATAAAAAAAAAAAAAAATCTCCAAATTTGAATTTAGATGCTGTCCCTTGATCATGAAGAAGCTCCATTCAACTGTCATAAAATTCCATGTAGATTTGACAAAGCTATTGATTTCTAAAAGTACTTTAATTGAAGACTGAACAAAAATGTTGATGATTCCTTTGAAATATATTTTTGCTATGTCTCGCTATACATTAAAGGTGATACAAAAAAGAGAGTACAAATGTTATCAATTTTTACTGTGACTGAAAGTCAGCTTTATATGTTTTCAAAAGCATACTCTCTAGCAATCAGATATTAGTTGTACTCCTTTAGAAAAATATATAACAAATATAAATCAATTGTTTTAAAAACAATTGTTAATGGTCTTTCCCCTCCGAAACATGATTGATTGATTGATTGATTGATGAATGGATTGATGAATGGATTGATGAATGGATTGATTGATTGATTGATTGATTGATTGACTTATTACACACGAAAAAAGTGAGATCTTGGACCCATATTAAACACAAAGGACCGAAACATGCATGTAATGGTTGGTTGGTTGGTTAAACACATTGGGCCGAGCCACTAGGACAACGCGAAAAGGGAATTGAGAGTCTAGTGCCCGTGTTTAAACACTTGAGACCTAGCCTCTAGGAATGCGCGAAAAAGGAATTGAGAGCCTAGTGGCCGTGTTTAAACACTTGGGACCTAGGCTTAAGGAATACGCGAAAAAGGAATTGAGAGCCTAGTTCCCGTGTTTAAACACTTGGGACCTAGGCTTAAGGAATACGCGAAAAAGGAATTGAGAGCCTAGTGGCCGTGTTTAAACACTTGGGACCTAGGCTTAAGGAATACGCGAAAAGGGAATTGAGAGCCAAGTTCCCGTGTTTAAACACTTGGGACCTAGGCTTAAGGAATACGCGAAAAAGGAATTGAGAGCCTAGTGGCCGTGTTTAAACACTTGGGACCTAGGCTTAAGGAATACGCGAAAAGGGAATTGAGAGCCTAGTTCCCGTGTTTAAACACTTGGGACCTAGGCTTAAGGAATACGCGAAAAAGGAATTGAGAGCCTAGTGGCCGTGTTTAAACACTTGGGACCTAGGCTTAAGGAATACGCGAAAAAGGAATTGAGAGCCTAGTGGCCGTGTTTAAACACTTGGGACCTTAGGCTTAAGGAATACGCGAAAATGGAATTGATAGCCTAGTTCCCGTGTTTAAACATTTGGGACCTAGGCTCTAGGAACCGCGAAAACGGGTCCTTGTAACATGTTTATTTATATTCAAATTATGACATTTGTAGGAACATGCAAGTATTTTAAACACACTTACAAAAAGTACCCTTGCATTTTCCTTTATAAATGTTCCCTTTTTTTATAAGGCTTCCCAGTACTTGTGTCTTATTTACTTATTGTGTGTGCATTGTTTTCAATTTTATGATTAAAGGACATTGGACCTAACCTGCATGGATCTTTTGTATTTAACCCTGTACGTGCACATTTTAATTATTTTCGAAAAGGGGAAAACCCCTATTTTATTTTAGGTAGCACGCGCTGCACCGGATTGTTGGTGTGATTGTGACGTCACCAAGCTGATCGATATACACAGAAAGACTGTTTTTAAAATTTAGTTGCAGAGGGATTGTCGTCAGGACCAGACCTGTGTATAAAGATTGTCAGCTAACGGATTTAAATTTTCTTTCATTTACAGGTCATTGATGTCGGATCATGCATGCTTTTTTCAGACAGTACATATATTTACTGGAACACAGATTTGTTTTTTAATGCATGCTTAGAAATTTGATTCTAGGATTTTACTACTATTCACGAACTTTTGAGGGATTTCTACGCCATTGATTTTAATTTCTCAATCCAGATTGGAACGTCAAGCGGACTGCACGTGATTTATACTGCAAACGGAAAATATATTTTCTAGGTTTATTCTACAGGTAAACTATTGTCCGAGCGCTGACCACTGGTCGACTCATTCATTGCATGCACACAAAAATAATGCTGGCGTTAGTACTTTAACAAAACGTTTATCGATTAATTTTCAGAAACACATGTACATGATTTGGAGCAGATTTGATTTTGCAGGAATAGATTTGTATTTCAGAAAGAAATGTATTCATAAAAAAAAGAAGGATTAGCATTTTTATAATAAAATAGAAATGGGATTCCTAAAAAAAAAAGGGGGGGGGGGGTGCTAGATGGGTAGTTGAGGGCATTGGATCATTTACAAAGATAAATTGCATGTACGCATCATGAGAGCTGTAAAATTTGAAGCTATAATTAGTTAATTTGTTCATTTTTCCATTTCAGTGGCATGAAAACCCCCAAAATACTACGCGTATCATTTCGACAAATACTCTCGACTTAAATAATGTCGTGACTAACATTTTGCTCACATTTTTTAAAATTTTACCCCTAACTTTTTTCTGAGTAAAAGCAGTTTGAAGTAAAAATGTCAAAATTTAGAACATGACCTTGACCTTTGACCTTGACCTAATTTTCTAAGTTGGGACCCAAGGACCTTCAATAAAGCGACTCTAGGTTTATACGGCTTACGGTTTATGAGTTTATATGCATATCACTTATATCACATGCATAAGGGGAAATAACTCTCATATGGAGACTCCGAAGTACTTTGGTGCAAACCGACTCATCATCTTGAAGATATAGCAAGCACTTTGGTAAAATAAATTTGTCGTAATCTTTTACAGTTGCGAAGGAGTAGTGGTCACAAGAAAAACAGTGTTCGGGGAGATAACTCTTACAACGTAAAGTGTACGGTTTAACAGGGTCAGTTTCAAAAGCGCAATAACTGTTCGATATCATATGTGAAAAATCTAAGCGACATCTTGCGAAACCACAATACTACGCAAGAACAAAATGTGGCGGAAGAAAAAAATAAAATCTCAGAACAAAACCAATAGGTCTTTCCAGGGAAAAGTGGAAAGACCTAATTTATGACAACCAGACAAATGGCATATGACAAATTTAGAAATCATGTTTATTCAAATGTGTTTCATGTATGGCAAAGAAGAGGTATATATACAGAAACATATTAGGATAATTTTGACTGTAAATTTGTGAGGTGTCAGGGTGTCTCAGCATCACATTATTTGTATGTATTAGTTTTTGAAATCATGTTATATGTAATCCTACATTTTTGTCCCTTGTTAAATATTACATGAATAAAAATGCACAGAAATTTATTATTTAAAAAGTTTTTTTTATGTCCCCGCCGAAGCGGAGGGGGCATTAAGTTTTACCCTTGTCCATTTGTCCGTACGTACGTCCCAAAATTGGTTTCCATTCTCTAACTTAAGTTTGCCTCAACCAAATGTTATCAAACTTATACACAATGCTTATTACCACAAAACACAGATAATTTTTCCTAAAATAAAAGTTCCAAGACTAAAACTACTCTTGTTGATGAAAAAAGTGAGTTTATTACACAGACACTGAAAAAAATATTATTATTAAGAATTTATTATCAAAAGAGCAATGTCCCTTTCTCAATAGTTGCCTAGAATTCTTTATTACTAGCGTTTGACTAAAAAAAACATTATGTAAATACTTTGTACCTATCGAAAGAGAAAATTCTTACAGTTCATCTTCCAAATTTATATAGGAAATGCTTTACATTGCTTGCAGTGTTACAAGTGGATTGTTCCAAAGGATGCTTAAGCCCTTAGAAATACTTTTAATCAGCAATATGTTACACAGAAATGCTAAAAGAACGTAATTGCTATTAGTATTATTATTTTTTGTAGCTCTGAGATCAGAATTTAATTTCCTGACGAAGAACCTAAGTAGAGAATGGAGATTTTATCTAAGAGCCTTAGGTATGGCTGATGCTGATGTGGATATAGTAGAGACAGATTACCCAAGAAGTTTGAGAGATCAGATTTATCAATCATTGGTAATGTGGGTTAAAGAGTATAAAGACAAAGCAACAAAAGCTGAACTCATCAGAGCTCTAAAGGATGGATCTGTGGAAAGATTTGACTTGGCATCAAAACTTGAAAAGGGAAATTACTAAAATATTATCTAATTTATAACTATTTTATATCCTATTCTGTGATATTGAAGAATCTTTCCTTTAGAGAAAAAATAATTGTTATTTTTTTCAATATTTTTGCAAACACTATTGAAGTTGAACCAATGAAATGGAAGCCATTTTTATACGACCGCAAAAATTAAATTTTTTTTGGTCGTATATTGGTATCACGTTGTTGTCGTCATCAGCATTGTCCGAAGACAGATGGTTTCCGGATAATAACTTTAGTATAAGTAAATAGAAATCAATAAAATTTAAACACAAGGTTTATAACCACAAAAGGAAGGTTGGGATTGATTTTGGGGGTTATTGTTCCAAAGGTTTAGGAATTAGGGGCCAAAAAAGGGGCCCAAATAAGCATTTTTGCAGTTTCCAGACAATAACTTGTGTTTAAGTGTATGAATCTCTCTGAAATTATACCACAAGTTTCCATACAACAAAGGGATGGTTATGGGGGGTTATGGCTCAAAACATTTAGCAATTAGGGGCAAAAAAGGGGGAAAAACAAGAGTTTTTATGGTTAAAGGACAATTTAGACAATTTAAAAGCAGTGTAAGGGAGGTAATCCAATTCATTTAAAGAATACTGTTGTATATATGTTTGATTACCTCCCTTACACTTTTTGTAAATTATGTATTAAGAAATGATGATTGTCTTGAGATGATTAGCTGTAAATTTATTTTTAGAAGTTACTATTAATTAATATTAATTTTAACCGTGACTGTATGTCATTTTATATTTTAATATTTTATGATGTATTTAAATGAGTAGTTATGGTTGCAAACTCCATTAGAAGTTTGAATTGAGATTATTTGTGGAATAAGGGAAAGGGGGAGTTGAAAAAAATTGGTGGGGGAGGGGGGGGGGGGGGGGGGGGGGGGTAAATAAGAATTTGTGGGGTGGCTACAATTTTTCTCATTACAGATTTCAGAAATTAAAAAGAAAATTTCTTCAAAAAATCTTTTTTTTCGGGGGGGAGGGTTAATATTCAACAGCATAGTGTATTGCACAAAAGCAAAAAATTGAATATAAATTCAAATCATATAACCAATTTTAAGTTCTTTGACTACAGTTATTCTGTGTCAGAAACCTAGTATGTGTCAAATATTTAATTACAATCCAAATTCAGACCTGTATCAAGCGCGAATATTGTGTCCATTTTTGACCCAACTGTTCAGGGTTGGACCTCTGCGGTCGTATCCAGCTGCGCTCAGCGAAGCATTTTATTAACTCTAGTTTAGGACATTTTTCATTTAGGATATTTCAGTTTGCTGACTTCTAAATAATTTTGTCCAATGTCATTTTAATTATAAATCTTACATTAAAAGAAAAGAAATGAATTCATACCTTATAGAAAACATCATTTTTTCATTTTGATAACTTCTCTCATACAAAAATGTCTGCAGATTTGTTTGAAAAGCATGTATTGATTGGTCTTGTAAATAAATGTGTATATATACCACTATTGATTTTCATTTATTTCATAATGCAGAGGAGAAGTTTTACAAATGGTTAGTATTGGTCCTAAATTCCATGTTTCTCTTTAGTAATTTTCACATAGAACAGGATGCTGACCTGACTGTGAACATCTTAGTTATTCTTTCCCATTTGTACGAGAAAAGTGTCCCCACTTCATATAAAAATAAGGAGATTTTTTATGATTGCCAATGAGACTATTATCCATCAGGGGCAAGGATTTAAACAACTAAAGGTCACTGTACATCCTTCAATAATGAACAATGTAAACATATATTTGTTCCACCTAACAGAAGTTCCACTGGAAACTTTGTTATAAACAATGCCATGATATATATTCCTGTTGGAACAAATATTCTATTATCTTTATTCCATAAGGAACAAATCCTGCAGGATTTTCTTGCTGCGTTGAAGACCCATTGGTGGCCTTGGGCTGTTTTCTGCTCTTTGGTCGGGTTGTTGTCTCTTTGACAAATTCCCCATTTCCATTCTCAATTCTACTATAAAATTTCCAGAGAAAATAATATTACAGAATATTTCTTCAATTTGGAACTTTAATAATGATGGAACTTCTATTTCATGACATATAGAAAGCTATAAAAGGCCCTGACATGCCAAATGTGGAACAGTTCTAAAGAGAAAACCAATGGTGTGTTTAAGCCAAAAACAATAAATGAAAAACAATTTTGACAAATAGCAACATGTTTGTGAGCACTTCATCTAACCAGGGACAGTGGCTTAACAGCACAACAGAACAAACAAACTGTAAAAATCAGTTGGTAGTGGCAGGACTCATCAGACACACACTAAGCACAAAAACAACAAAAAGAAAGACAAAGGACACAAAGTTCTCATCTAAGAGTACTAACAGTTATTGAAAGCTTGTTCAAAGCCATATTTCAATTTAAAAATAAACCCTGTTTTCCCAGACTCTAATCATGACAGTTAATAATATAGACATACTGAGTATTGTTATATTTTCCATAGCACATTATTTATCAGATTGTATTGTACTTTCATATCTCAAGTTTAAAGAGTCGAACATTTTTGTAATAGTTGTGTCCCTTGAAAACAAAACAAAATAGTTGCCTACTGTTTACATTTTTCAATAGATTTCTAGTAAAAAAAATTTACAGGTTTGTTTGAATCCAAATTGAATTTATATTAGCATTCTAATGGTATTGCATATGCAATACAATGCCCACTACTTGTAATGTTTACACTTATGTTGGAAAAATATTAAGTTTATATTTCTGATGAAAATTCCTGAAACAGTAACAAAACTAAAACTTTATCTGTAACTTCATAATTTAATAACGGTATAAGAAAACATTTATTAATTCAAATATCTTCAGGCATGATAGAAGAAAGTGCCGAAAAATTAGATTTTCAAACAATTTTCCTTTTTCCCAGGATTAAAACTATTTCAAAAATCCCTCAATTGAAAATCTATATACTTCTTATGATATGACTATATATCTAATCAATTGATTTAAGCATTTATGCAGAAAAGAATTTTGAAATCTTAAATTTCCAAGGGCCACAACTTTGGCAAAAAGAATTCAACTTGAACAAAAAAAGCCAAATTGTGAATTCTTATGGTGACTATATACCAAATATTAAACCAAAAGATAGTATTACAGAAACAAGTTAATAAAAAACAGGGACTGCCAACTGCATGCTCGCCAATATGCACATTTTTTTAGAAACATTTTTATTACAAGTGTTCAAATACTAGTATGCATGGAGGGACAAATAAACATTTATATGAAATATTATTGCGAATTTTCATCCATATAAATGTGTTACAATTCAGTTCCTGAATGCTTCGCCGAGCGCAGCCTGATACGACCGCAGAGGTTGAACCCTGAACAGTTGGGGCAAGTTTGGACACAATATTCAAGCTTGATACTGTCTGAATTTGGATGTGATCAAATTTTTGACATAATATATGTTTTTGACACGAAATAAATGTGATCAAGATCTTAAAAATTTGAAATGGGACATTTAATTTACCTAGTATGGTCTGATATCCAAAATCTAACAACATGGTTAGATTCAGCATATAAAAAAACACCAAAGTTTAATCAAACAAAGTTTATTTTTGGATCCTTCAAACCTTAATATGGACTAATTTGAAAACAGGGCCCAAAATAAAAAAATCTAAATGCACAATAAGATTCAGCATAACATAGAGCCGCAATAATCCAGTTTTTGATGAAATCAAACAAAGTTTAATTTTGGACCCTTTTGACCTCAATGTAGACCAATTTAAAAATGGGGCCCAATATCCAAAATAGTAATACAAGGGTAGAACCCCCAAAAATTAAAGACTTAATTTAATCCCATTGAAATTGGTTAAAAGATTTGTATTTATTTTCAATTGAAGATTTCTTGCTATTGCGCAATACTGTGCTGTTGCACAATACTTAGTTAATCTGTTATATATAATAATTTACACACCATGTTTGGTGTGTATCTCCTGCCATATCAGTATTTGTTGCTTTTATATATAGATCAGAAATAATCAATGTAAAAATGGAAAATTTTGGGGGAAAAAAAAACCAAAAAATTATGTAAAAAATCCCCCCCAAAATTTTTTTTTTAAAACCCCCCAAAAAAATTTTTCAAAAAATTTGAAATTTCAAAAATTTTGAAGCAAAAAAATATGAATGAACCCCTCCAAATTTTTTTTTTTAAAAATCCCCCCCAAATTTTTTTTTTAAGATTTGAAGATTATTTTCTTTTCAGGAAAAATGTACAATTTCAGAGAATTCCATAAACTTAAACACAAGTTATTGTCTGGAAACTAGAAAAATGCGTTTTTGGCCCCTGTTTCACCCCTAATATATAAACTTTTCGGGCAATTACCCCCAAACTCAATCCCAGCCTTCCTTTTGTGGTATGGAACCTTGTAGTACAATTTCTGAGAGATCCATACACTTAAACACAAGTTATTGTCTGGAAACTAGAAAAATGCTTGTTGTTGGTCCCTTTTTTGCCCCTAATTCCTGAACGTTTGGGGCAATTACCCCTTATTCCTAAACTGTTGGTAACATAACCCCCAAAATCAATCCCAACCTTCCTTTTGTGGTATTGAACCTTCTGGTAAAATTTCATAGAGATCCATTCACTTAAACTGAAGTTATTGTCTGGAAACCAAATGTGTCTTAGGACGTCGACGACGACATGGTAGCATTATACGAACGCAAATTTTTTGCGGTCGTATAAAAACTATTTTTAGAAGTAGTGACATTTCAATTTTGAAATGATGACCTCATAATTAATAGGTTTTTTTCCCCCTTCCCCCTGTAAAAATTGCAATCAAGAAAGGAATTTAAAAAGTCTAATTTAAGTTAGTGACCTTGGCCTTTAATTAACCTATTGACTCCAAAACCAAAATTTTTCTTCCCCTTTCCTATATCTTCCATTTGTATAAATCTTATTTCAATCTTGCAAGGAAAACTCAAGTTGCCATCCAGTGACTTGCACTTCGTCTGTAAGAATGTCAGTTTGGTGAGTTCATTTTTGTTTAGCATTTTTTGCTGAAGTTGTGGCCCTCAAAAATGGGAAAAAGCTTGGAGATCTCATCTTTCCACTCTTTTTTCTATTGATTTTATCAATGTTATGGTCATATCATAAGTTACAAATTGAGTTTTTAGTTTTGTTCTGGTTGAGCAATTTTTGGCGAAATTTTGGAATTAAGATTCTGTACAATTTTTTCTTGTTGATTGTACAGGAATGAGTCTTCCTGTATTGTTTTTGACATGAAATCTACTGTTAAGTACATCCACAGACATTTGAGTATACGATGGCATGATTTCATATCAGCAGGTTAAGTAACTGCAAGCACTCTTTGATAATGGTGTTAACAGTTTTTTTGTTATGCATGCGCTTGTTATAGATTATACTGTATTCATACGAGATTTTTTCCTTTACAGATTTTTATTTAAGGTTCTTTTGTGTGCCTTTTGTTTGTCCAGTAATTTAGTTTAAATCTCTAGAAACTGCTCAACCCCACCACTGCTGAAAAAAAGATTAAATTCAGTCTATTTTTCTATTCTAATTTGACCTTCAAGGTGAACAACGACAAAACCGTTTCTTAAGTCATTAAAACTTATACCTTGTAGTTACAGCATTCCATCCATGTTGACTAGAAGTAAATGTGGCTCCATCACCTTGCTCAGGAAAAATTTTTGGCAAGCCAGGTCTGCCAAAATGTGTTCTTAGATTTCTGACAAAACGGTGACGTAGGTTTTAAAGACCAGAATTTATCTGGCCATATTATACCTCATTTTGTTTCTGAACTACCTATGGATGAAAGTAAATACCTACGGCATATACCATTAATCTAGTAACCATCAAATTATTCCCACTTCACCTGATTTTTGCTACTTACAGATTTTTATCGTGTACAGAATTCAAGTTGTCATATTTAGATAACACATCTGAAAGGGTTTATGGATCATGATTGCAAGGTTGAAACTCCCTGCTGTCAACACATTTCAGCTGGGGGAGCTTGAAAAAAGTATGACAGGCCGTATGGACTATAAAAAGTAAAATAACAAAAATACCGAACTCCAAGGGAAATTCAAAATGGAAAGTACTTTATAAAATGGCAAAATCAAGACCTCTAACACATCAAAGGAATGGAAAACAACTGTCATATTCCTGACTTGGTAAATGGCAGTTGCAATCACCACAACCGTCAGAATTGGGGGTAAATAGGTTAATGTCATTGTTATTTGTGGAACGTTTTCTGATTTCTTTTGAACTATACATCAATTCCTTAACAAACTTTCTAAGAATTGTAGACCCATATTAATTGAGCCACTAGGTCAAAGGTTGGTCACATTTATATAGACTGAAATCTGGTGAAATTTTGTTTCCAGATGACATCTCTAATCTTTGCAAATAATGTTTCTCTTTGTCTATAATAGTTTAAGCAAAAAACATGAATATGGTTAAAAATCATCATTCAAGGGTTATAACCCCATATTGAGTTGACTGACCATTTGGGCAATATTGACTTATTTTGAAGATCTTATATGGCAGATCATTTTTTACTATTTACAGTTTCTGTCTACAACAATTTGTAGATCTTGGCTTGCTGATCATTTTTATACGACCGCAAAAAAATTTTTTGTGGTCGTATATTAGTATGACGTCGTCGTCCGAAGACACATTGGTTTTCGCACTCTAACTTTAGTTTAAGTGAATGGATCTCTATGAAATTTTACCACAAGGTTCAATACCACAAAAGGAAGGTTGGGATTGATTTTGGGGGTTATGGTACCAACAGTAAAGGAATTAGGGGCCAAAAAGGGGCCAAAAATAAGCATTTTTGTAACTTCCAGACATAACTTGTGTGTTAGTGTATGGATCTCTCTGACATTGTACCACAAGGTTCCATATCACAAAAGGAATGCTGGGATTGATTTTGGTGGGTAATTGCCTCAAAATTTTAGGAATTAGGGGCCAAAAAAGGGGCAAAAAACAAACATTTTTCTAGTTTCATGACAATAACTTGTAAGTGTATGGTTCTTTCTGAAATTGTACTACAAGGTTCCATATCACAAAGGGAAAGCTGGAATTGAGTTTAGGGGTAATTGCCGAAACGTTTAGGAATTGGGGGCCAAAAAGGCGCCAAAAATAAGCATTTTTCTAGTTTCTAGACAATATCTTGTGTTCAAGTGTATGGATCTCTCTGAAATTGTACTGCAAGGTACCATACCACAAAGGGAAGGCTGGGATTGATGTTGGGGGTAATTGCCTCAATATTTTAGGAATTAAGGGCCAAAAATGGGCAAAAAACAAGCATTTTTCTAGTTTCAGGACAATAACTTGTGTGTAAGTGTATGGATCTTTCTGAAATTGTACTACAAGGTTCCATATCACAAAGGGAAATCTGGGTTTGAGTTTGGGGGTAATTGCCCTAAACGTTTAGGAATTTGGGGCCAAAAATAAGCATTTCTTAGTTTCCAGACAATAACTTGTGTTCAAGTGTATGGATCTCTCTGAAATTGTATTGCAAGGTACCATACCACAAAGGGAAGGCTGGGATTGAGTTTGGGGGTGATGAATCATAAGGGGGTTCAAAATATTTGGGGGGGGGATTTTTTTTTTTTTCCTTTCTTTTTTCTTTTAAAATTTTCCATTTTAAGTTGGTTATTTCTGATTTATATTTAAAAGCAAATAATAATGATATGGTAGGAGATACACACCAAACAGGATGTGTAAATTATTATATAATAAGTATTGTGCAATAGCAAGAAATTTTCAATTGCACAGTATTGCACAATAGCAAGAAATCTTCAATTGCACAGTATTGCGCAATAGCAAGAAATCTTCAATTGCACAGTATTGCGCAATAGCAAGAAATATCCAATAGCACAATATTGTGCAATAGCAAGAAATTGTCAATTGTACAGTATTGCGCAATAGCAAGAAATATTTAATTGCACAGTATTGTGCAAAAGAAGAGTCTTCGTATAAATTGCTTATTTCTTGACCAATTTCAATGGGGTTTTATTCTTGAATTCTTGGGGTTCTTTAATATGCTGAATCTAACTGTGTATTTAGTTTTTGGATTTTGGGCCCCGTTTTTAAATTGGTCCACATTGAGGTCCAAAGGGTCCAAAATTAAACTTTGTTTGATTTCATCAAAAATTGAATTATTGGGGTTCTTTGATATGCCGAATCTAACCGTGTATTTAGATTCTTAATTTTTGGTTCCGTTTTCAAATTGGTCTACATTAAGGTCCAAAGGGTCGAAAATTAAACTTAGTTTGATTTTAACAAAAATTGAATTCTTAGGGTTCTTTGATATGCTGAATCTAAACATGTATTTAGATTTTTGATTATGGGCCCAGTTTTCAAGTTGGTCCTAATTGGGGTCCAAAATTAAACTTTGTTTGATTTCAACAAAAATTGAATATATGGGGTTCTTTGATATGCTGAATCTAACCATGTATTTAGATTTTTGATTTTTGGGCCCCGTTATCAACTTTGTCCACATTGAGGTCAAAAGGGTCCAAAATTAAACTTTGTTTGATTTCATCAGAAATTGAATTCTTGGGGTTCTTTGATATGCTGAATCTAACCATGTATTTAGATTTTGGACATTGGACAATAATAGGTGAATGTCCAATTTAAAATTTTTAAGTTCTTAGACCACATTCATTCTGTGTCAGAAACCTATGCTGTGTCAAATATTTAATCACAATCCAAATGCAAAGCTGTATCAAGCTTGAATGTTGTGTCCATACTTGCCCCAACTGTTCAGGGTTCGACCTCTGCGGTTGTATCAAGCTGCGCCCTGCGGAGCATTTTATTGCTATTTAAAATTACTATCTATTAAATAATTAAGTTTCTTCAAAAGTAATATCTCCTTTAAGGGGTCAGTTGAATGATGATTCAGCCATGTTTTTTTGTATATTTTTGCAGCTGAACATTTTTGCTCTTTACACCATCTTGATCTAATCTTATTTAAGATTATAGGTAAAATTGCAAAAATGGTAAAAAAAAAAAACAAGACAAAACTTTCGTTTTGGTCATGTTGGTTACCAGGCTGCATCTTTGGACAAATGTTTTTTTTCTTCAACTTGATACCCAAAGAATGATTTAGGTCAAATTTGTTCTTATTGGTCTGGTAGTTCAAGAGGATACATTTTTTAAGAGTTGACGTCGGACGCAAAGTGAGGAAAAAACTCTAAAAATTAAACAGAATTCATACACAATATTGTCCATCTTTCTTGTATAATTTCTTAAACAGACCTTATCAAAATCTTTAAACCAGACCACTGAAGCACGAAAACGGGCCAAGGCCTACATTTCAAACTGATGTTTACTCTAAACCAACCAACATAAAACCAAATATTGTTCCTGAAGTTACTGAGGAAGAGACCGAATCCTGAAAGCGTAACCGGACTATTGAAGCATGAAGATGAGGTCCATATTAAATAACAACGACTGCTGACAAAGTCTAAGATCAACATCATCAATACAAATTTGGGGTTCACCTAGGGGAAAGAATGGTTAAGGTTGATGTCACCGTCAGAAAAGTAATACCAAATCTTACCAATCTAGACTTGTTGCAGTCCAGACCAAAATGTTTTATCTTTTTTTTTATCACTTTGTGAAAATCAGATATTTGATGTTTTTATATTTTTTTTCTATGTACAATTTCAGGTCAGAAAACTGAGGGTACTCCCTCAGGCATACTTTTCTTTATCTGTTTAGGCCCTATTGGTTTTATGCTTACCAAACTTTTGGCTTCATTTGTATCTAAAGTTTATTCCAGGAACAAATGTTGTGCATACATTATTTGTCAAGACAGTCTATTATGGAGCAAAATAGTATAGGTAGGGTAGTCAAGTACTCATTATGATACAACACATTCCAGTAGACAGTCTTGCAAGCTTTTTTTTTTTTTAAAGATTTCTGAAACAAGACATTGAGGGGCTAGTTTGAAGTGATAAATTTGGACTCTACACTGACAGTTAGTGACAACAAACACTAAATTACTAGTTGACAAGACCTTGAATGCTCACTGAGCCATCTTTTTTTCCATCACTTATATCTGGATCGAGAAACACACTTATGTGTCTGTATAAAGAAACACAAAGACAATTATTAAACTTACAACAAGGGTGTTCACCCTGCTGATATTTTTATCTATAATGAAAGAGGGCAATGCTATGTCTGACAATTAACAAGAAAAAAAAAAAAAGACGCCAAGCTTATAATCGTCCATTAACACATAAAGACTTCCAGCTTTCTATACAATGGCAACAACAACAGTCACAAACTTGTCTGAGAGCTCCAGGAATTCCACATCTGTAATAGAAAAAAGTAAAGCATTTATATTGAGAATAACAGAAATTCATAATTGCAATAAGTATTATATTCATATTTTTACTTTTAATATTCTTTCATCTGGTTATTTACTGGGATTAAGAACTTTTTTTTTTTGGTTAAGAACATCAACCTCTGACTTGGGGTAAAAATGTGTCTGATACTGTATAAACATATTGATGTATATAGCAGGGCCTATCCTGTTTAAGTCTGCTTGCTTTGTGCTTGTACAGTCATACCATTATTCAAATAAAAAAATCACTAAAATGTGGGACTTTGGTTTACAATAATTTGTGTAATTTTATTGTTGAAAAAATGCTCTGCTGTGGCAGCCATCTTGGTAGTGAACCATGTATTACACATTGATACAAGATTACAATTCAGTCGGTTCAGTGGATTCTGGCCAGAAGATCTATCCACTAGTCGAGCAGGAACTGCTGACCTTTCTGGAGCACACAGTGTAACCCTGGTTTTTGATAAGAGTTAAAGTTTAGTGTAGTGTTTTATGGATTGCTGGATCTTAGTTTTATTAGCCATGGTGTTGTCTTTCTAGGGCTTTTGGTTTTCTTTATTACCCCTTGGTATCTCCTTTCCCCTTAAATCTGCATTGTTGAATGTAATAATATCTAGTGTTGACATTTAATTCAATGGTTAAATTATTGAATGTGAAATATATATATTTATTATACTTCACGTTAAAATGCCATATTTTGATTGGCTATAACGAGGGTGTTAATTTACTCTATTACCCTTCATAGAGACACTTGATCAAGTGTGCGCTTTATTAAATATGGATGGTTGTTATGTACAAGACGTCATAGTTTATTACTTTGAATCTGAAAATTAATCGACAGTAATAACAGAATATTCAGTATAATAAATTAAATAACACATGTCTGAGAGGGTGATAGAGCAGATTGTTACCCCTCGAAAAGACAGTCAACCTTGGCTTCGCCTCAGTTGACAATGTTTTCTCGGGGTAACAATCTGCTCTATCACCCTCTCAGCTATGTGTTATTTATATACTACTGTAGTTCAAAAACTGAATAAAATGGTAGCAATATGGATTTCATCTAAAATGATAAAATGCACATGCCAAAATGTCTCGCCTGCTTTTATTCTAATGACACACAAAATCCCCTTTCTTTAAAACATAATGAGAGAATGAAGTTTTGATCAGAAATATTGTCTTTCCATACAGAAATTTAACAAGCTAATCATTGTCTTTATTTGACTTCTGATTTGAAATTAAGGACACATGCACAGTTCCAGATAACATGATTACATACAATAACATCATAAGTACATTTGAATAAACAAGTGCTTTCTCACCTCCTAATATCAATAACATCAACAAATAACAGATTCACCCTATCATTATTTTGCAATTAAGAAGCCAGAACACCTTTATTTTGACAAATATTATTACTGAGAGTTTTTATGAATCATAAGGTTTTATTATCTACAAAATTTATATGTAACAAAATTTATGATTATGATAGCTTGTATAACTTATATAAGCAATGATCCATAAAATGTGGCCAAGTCAGATGAACCCTGCCAGAAAGAGTACATCTACACCATGAAAGCATTCCATTCACAAAATAAAGTTGACATATTGTTTAAAATATCAGACAAACAGACCTAACCATGAAAACTTAACGTCGATCTCTGATCTATAAAATGAGGCCAAGGTCAGGTGAATTCTATAAACCATATATAGTGTTGTATTACTCATAATAACTAAAAAAAAATATATGAAGTATCCAGGTCTTCTAACTTATGAAATAAAAAGCTTTATACAAATAGTTCATGCTAAAGCCCCTGGATAAGCATCCCTATGTCTCACTTTTTCTGTGACATCAGGCACAGACCAGACAAAAACAACTGAAATTTATGCATCATTTTTGTCATGGAGATATTACCATACAAAATTAGACGGATACTTTTGGATGATGTCTTACCCCTTTATCAGAGGGTTCAGACATTTGCCCCTTCACTGGGGCATTCCACATGTTAGGCATATGATCACCAAGAGGACCAGGATTAAAGGACTGTGGCAACGAGTTTCCAGCACACTTCAGGAAATTCATATCTACACCACTCTGAAAATAAAAACAAACATGTATTAGAATCTACTCACTCATGTATGTTTTTTTTAAACAACAGAATCAATTTTTTAGCTTTTTCAGTTGAAAGCCAAATTTACATACTATTAATCAACAGTAACAAGTACAAGTTTTTCTTTATATATCAGTTCTAATAACAAGAGAAAAATATTTTAAAATACCACTTTTGGATATTAAAAATTCGTAAGGGTTCCGCGGAACCCAGTGTCTCGCCTACTTTTGCTGTTAATCGCAGGCTCAACAAAAATGAGGTAAAAAATTAATAAAAATATTCCTCTCTATACTATCTTTTGATTGTAAGTAGCTTCTGTCCAAGTTTGGTAAAAATCCAGGATAGTTTATGAATCTAATAAATGTTTTAAAAACTTAAACTGCAGACTGTATGTAATGTTAACTGGAAGAAAAACTAAGTCCATTTATAAGTAAAATATGAAAAAAATGGAACAAAATTTTAACAAAATTACCATGTAGATACTAGCTTTTAATCATAAACAAGCTTCTGTCCAAGTTTGGTACAAATCCAGGATAGTTTAAGAAAGTTGTTCAAATTTTAAAAACTTTAACCACAGAGTGAATGTAATGTTAACTGGCAGAAAAACTAAGTCCATTTATAAGTAAAATACGGAAAAAATAGAATTTTTATTATACAAAATATCCTTCTGGATACTATCTTATGGTCATAAACAAGCTTCTTTCCAAGTTTGGTAGAAATCCAGGATAGTTTAAGAAAGTTATTAAAACTTCAAAAACTTTAAACACAGAGTGAATGTTATGTTTCCTGGCAGAAAAACTAAGTCCATTTATAAGTAAAATACGGAAAAAATGAAATTTTTTTTTTACAAAATTTACTTCTGGATACTATCTTATGATCATAAACCAGCTTCTTTCCAAGTTTGGTAGAAATCCAGGATAGTTTAAGAAAGTTATTAAAATTTCAAAAACTTTAACCACAGAGTGAATGTAATGTTTCCTGGCAGAAAAACTAAGTCCATTTATAAGTAAAATACGGAAAAAATGGAATTTTTTTTTTACAAAATTTACTTTTGAATATTATCTTATGATCATAAACAAGCTTCTGTCCAAGTTTGGTAGAAATCCAGGATAGTTTAAGAAAGTTATTAAAATTTCAAAAACTTTAACCACAGAGTGAATATTTGTGGACGCCGCTGACAACAACGACGACGGAATGTAGGATCGCTATGTCTCGCTTTTTCGACAAAAGTCGAAGGCTTGACAAAAATGGCGATAACTCAAAAAGGAGAAATACTAAAATCATGAAAATTGAACTAGATCTTCATTAAGTCACAAGAAACAACATATCTAAAAAACAAATCATCACAGCGTTTTCATGTTATTGAAGAGACACTGTTTGGCAGCCGCCTGTCCGCCGTACATCCCCAAATCAATAACTGATATTTCCTTCGAAAATCCGGTTAAAAACTTGATTTGCTGTGAGGGACTTCTTGAAATAATTTTCAACATTTCTACATTTTAAAGCCTGGAATATGAAGAGATAATGTTTGTTCTTTCTTTATTGTTCTGTTTTCCTATTATAATGGATAATAGTAGTTTGCTAAAAGTATGTGCAAAATTAAATGGAAGGTGTACATTTTAAAAGAAATGAATATATTGACTTACCTCAAATGATTTATCAACTGGACCATTCATGAAATCGGTGTTGTTTTGTAAAGATGAAGGAGGACCATCTTCCATTTGAGGTGTAGGTGATCCATGGGATATCACAGAGGAGGTTATGATGGGAGGGTTTGACACCGATGTCATTACATCAGAGCTTACAGGATTCCACTGCATACTTAACTCTAAATGTAAAAAAAAGTTTATGCTTACAATGAGCGTAATCTATGTATTACTGGTAAACTATCAAGTCAGGGATTTTGTTACCACAAATTACTTAAAAACCTTTTAATACTAAATTTTCCATAGGTACAAAGATTTGGTTTGCAGTTTGGCTGTAACCTGTAGAAAATTTACTTCAAACGGAATAGCACATCCTAATTTTTATGGTGATGTTGTTTACAGAGCCCAGAATTTAGATACAATCCAGGTAAACTTATCAATCCTTTAAATTAACTTACTCTCAAAGTTTACCAATGCAACACTGTAACTAGATGTTTGAATGTTGTTTTTATTGGTATAAATATTGATTTTGTTATCAGTAAATTGAAACCATACTCAATAGAAATATTATTATTATACTTCATGTAAAAATGCAATATTTTGATTGGCTTATAAGAGGGTGTTAATTTACTCTATTACCCTTCACGGAGTCGCTTTATCAAGTGTGCGCTTTATTAAATACGACTCTATCCTATGGCAAATACTCTATTACCCTTCACGGAGACGCTTAATCAAGTGTGCGCTTTATTAAATATGGATGGTTGTTATGTACAAGACGTCATAGTTTATTACTTTGAATTTGAAATTTAATCGACAGTTATAACAGAATTGTTACCCCTCGAAAAGACATTGTTTCGCCTCAGTTGACAATGTTTTCTCGGGGTAACAATCTGCTCTATCACCCTCACAGCTATGTGTTATTTATATATTGTTATACACATATGCACTTTTACATTCTGTCGATACCTATATTTTGGCATTGCACAAGGTCATGTTTTTCTCTGACTGTTAATAAATGACATCTAAACACTTAATCCATTGGATGTTGGATGTGTACTGATTGATATTTTAGTCTAAGATGCATGATTTTTGTCGAGCCTTCGACTTTAGTCGAAAAAGCGAGACATAGCGATCCTACATTCCGTCGGCGTCGGCCACAAATATTCACTCTGTGGTTAAAGTTTTTGAAATTTTAATAACTTTCTTAAACTATCCTGGATTTCTACCAAACTTGGACAGAAGATTGTTTATGATCACAAGATAGTATCTAGAAGTAAATTATGTAAAAATAAAATTCCATTTTTTCTGTATTTTACTTATAAATGGACTTAGTTTTTCTGCCGGGAAATATTACATTCACTCTGTGGTTAAAGTTTTTTTAAATTTTAATAACTTTCTTAAACTATCCTGGGTTTGTACCAAACTTGGACAGAAGCTTGTTTATGATCATAAGATAGTATCCAGAAGTAAATTTTGTAAAAAATTAAATCCATTTTTTCCTTATTTTACTTTTAAATGGACTTAGATTTTCTGCCAGAAACAACACATTCACTCTGTGTTTAAAGTTTTTAAAATTTTAATAACTTTCTTATACTATTTTGGATTTGTACCAAACTTGGACAGAAGCTTGTTTATGATCAAAAGCTAGTATCTAGAAGGAATTTTTTTTTAAAAATAAATCCATTTTTTCCATATTTTACTTTTAAATGGACTTAGATTTTCTGCCAGGAAACAACACATTCACTCTGTGGTTAAAGTTTTTAAAATTTTGATAACTTTCTTATACTATTTTGGATTTGTACCAAACTTGGACAGAAGCTTGTTTATGATCAAATGCTAGTATCTAGAAGGAAATTTTGTTTTCTTCCAGTTAACATTACATTCAGTCTGCAGTTAAAGTTTTTAAACATTTATTAGATTCATAAACTATCCTTGATTTTTACCAAACTTGGACAGAAGCTTCTTACAATCAAAAGACATTATCAAGTGGAATATTTTTATTGATTTACTTCCTCATTTTTGTTGAGCCTGCAATTAACAGAAAAAGTAGGCGAGACACTGTGTTCCGCGGAACCCTTACGAATTTTTTTTATTAGTTGTTATTGGCTTTGAACTAGCTGTCAGTAACTGCGAGTATTCTCAGATCTGTACTTTGTGTCCTTTTTGTTGTTAGGAATGTATAAATATCCTGCAACATCCAGTATGTGTTTTTGTTAGATGATTTTCTGCTTTGTATCGATCTCATGAGTAAACCCCTGTTCAACTGATTTTATAGTTTCTTATGAAACAGCACTGTCCCAGGTTAGGGGGGGGGGGGTTGAGCACTCACAAACATATTTAACCGCACCATATTCTTTATGTGCCTGTCCCAAGTCAGGAGTCTGCAGTTCAGTGGTTCAGTGGTTGTCGTTAGTTTTCTCAATTGAATTGTTTCATAATTTTTATGTCCTGGCCTGGCCTTTTATAGCGGACTATAAGGTATGGGTTTTTCTCATTGTTGTAGGCAGTACAGTGCCTATAATTGCTTACATCCACTTCATTTGAACTTTGGTGGATAGTTGTCTCATTGGCAATCACATCTCCTTATCTTTATATAGTTGGTGTTCCATATAACACAATTCCACAATATGACAACTTTAAAACACTGCTTAACTTAAATTTAGGCAAAGCAGGCTTTTTCGATTACAGATTATAAGACACCTTACTGTTGTACACTTTATATTCAAATTTTTATTAAGTCAGCTGTGTCATTTAAGACATGGAATAACCTATGCTTTGTTTCAGTAGGTTCACAGATTCTGAAAGTATATATTGTAGGCTTAAATATGTCAAGTGGTAGCAATAGTTCAAAAAAATAATTTAATACTACCATAACCAAGTTCTACTAACCTGAAGCAAGGTTCCACACTGCAGTTTTATAGTCAGTAGTGAAATTATTTGCCATATTGTTGACTTGACCAGGTCCACCAGGTGCTCTCCGCTGAGCCCTTTCACCACCAATAGGCCGTAAATGCTTCCGATCGTCCCCCTTGATTGGTTCCATCATAGGAGGAGGGGGTGTGGCAGGCAAAGGTGATACAGAACTTGGAGGTACTGGTCCAGGTGAGCTACCATCCACTACTGAGGAAATCAAATAGATACATATTCACTTTTTTGTAATCTACATATTTATTTTTTTGTAATCTATAACTATTATTTCATAATAATGCAATATATTAACAATGATTGTTCGTTTCCTAAGATTTTCCTCTTTAAAATTTTTTTGAAAATAACTGTACAGGAAGCACAATGGACAAATCATTATAAATAACAGAAATCCACTATAGTAGAAAAAATATTGAAGTTAAGCCAAATCAAAGAAAAACAATTATTCTAACAAATATCTTTAATATATTTTGATGTCAATTTCCTAATCAGTTTGGCAAATATGGAACCATATCAGTTTTGAGACAGAATCATTTTCAATTGTTTAAATCTGGATACAGATTATGCAATGTACACATGTAATTATTTCAGCTACAACATTTTAATAAGAACAATGAAATATTAACCTTTTTTTATATTTTAAATTTGTTTTTATTCTGTGTCATACTAACCTTTAGGAATAACTCCCATCACTGGGGCACTATTAGGTCTTCCTGTTTGTAGTGGTGAAAATGGTCTTGGTTGTATATTTTGGGGACCTGGTAAAAATCCCCCTGGTCCACTTGATGGAGGTACAGGTGGAGGTGGTCCCTGGGCCTGACCACTAGCAACAAACTGACTAATAAGACTAGCAAACTCTTGTTGTGATATCATTCCTTGTGGATTCATACTAGGAGAACTACTTGGTCCACCTACAAATATATAAATAATTTATCATGAGAGTTCATGTTTTAAGGATTTTTTAATATTCATAATAAACTCAAATTTAATTTCAAATATTGCTGAATATAAAATTCTCCTTTTTTTTCATTTAATGATTGGGGACAACAATGCTTTCGCTATATTTCATGAGCAGGAATAAAATCCAAACTTAAGTTTACTGCTCATTGGGTTAAGAATACAGGTTTTTTAAATTCACAATGAAGGTCATAAATGTATAACTTTCCTAGTCTGGCAGTTTATAGAATTTTTTCTTTGATTTCTTGTATATAAAATAATAAAATATGTCAGCCATGTCCTTTGGCACTTTGTCGTCATTTCCTATAATTCTATAAGGGGGTCATAGATCAGTCATTTCCCCACATTTTATAAATTGTACTTTTAAACAATCCTACCATTTTTTTAATAAAATTTTATATATTACACTCCCTTGTGGGAAGTATTAGGCATATACATTTTAGTTTATAAGAATGCCTCATAGAATGATTCATGTCCAATATGGTCTAACTTGATGTAGATATAATCAAATAAACAGTCAAGAGATTATGATGTGAAAATCTTACCAGGTTGGTTAAAGAGTTGTGCTAAATAAAGAGACTGTAGATACATTGCAGGGGGTATATTCTGTCCTTGTGGTTGTCCTGGCTGCCGTGATGTGAAGTCAGGAGCATTTGGATTCAATGTACTTTCAATCTTGGGTAAAGTAAGAGGTTGATTTGGAGTGGTATATTCATCTTTACGAGGCTGCGACTGACCAATAGAATGACTAGGTGGTGACATTTCTCCCTGATTTCTTGGAGATATTACTGGCGACTGGTTAGGCATTCTGTAGCCTGGAGCTCTATTCAGTTCATTCTCTCCAACACCAATTCTTACTGGTTGCATTCCAACAAAGTTGTATATTCTTTGAGCCTCCATTTCCTGAGGGGTCATAGGTCTAATATTTGTTGGTCTATATCCTGGAGCTTTGGCCTGGAGAGCTGCATCTGATTTGCCTCCCAACTGGCCAGGTATACCAGAATTTTCAGACATTGGACTATTACTCATTGAGGCCACAACCCCAGCTGCAGCAACACTTGCAAAATTCATACGCTCTGCTGATTCATCTCTCTTGAGAAACTGATCAGCTACATTGCTAAATGAATTGTTAAAGGGTGAAAATGTTCCATGTGGAGCATTTGTTGATTGCACTGGACCATTAGACATTGATTGTTGTTGGTTACTAACTATTGGCAGTGGTTGATGATCATTCTTTTGATTAGACGGTCGCTGTAAAACTTTAACCATGGTTGGACCTGGTGATCGTGGCATATCTAATTTGCTCGCAGAAAACACTGGTGATGGACTTGTTGTAACCTTGCTTGAAGAGCATGCAAAAGTATAAGTCAGACTGTTATTGGTGCTTGTTGTTGGCGGATTCGAAAATATAGGTTTTTTATTTTCCATAGGGAAAAGTTGTCTAGTGACAGTTTTATCCTGGTTTAATCCTGTTGGAATACACGACGATGATTTCTGCTGATTTCTTCGAGGAGAAGTAATAGTAGAAGTAGTGGGAGGTCCACCCCAAACACCAATACTGGCTGGAAGTGTTGCCAGTCGTACATTTGTGTTTGTCTGTGACCTTGATCCTGACCTTCCACCACCAGATGACCTTGAAGATGATGTAACAACTGTAGATGAAACAGAAGAACTGACACTAGTAGTAGTTGGTACGGAAGTATCAATACTAAAATACATGGACTCCTTCTGTGGGGGTTGTTTATTGGTGTACTTGGGTATCAACTCGTTCAATTCTTTTTCAGGATCAGATACCAAGGCCATTATCAAAGCATGTGCCTGCTTAGTGCCTTCAGGTGGTCCTCTGAAGAAGAAAATCATCAGTTGTCTAATGTATGATTATCAAATAATTGAATTCTAACCTACCAAATTTGCTATGAAATTATTTGTTTTTTATCCCAAAACCTATCTATCCAATCGCAATTACTACAATCGAAGTTTAAATGCAGCAGCATGTGATTTTCAATTTGACCTCTAAAATATCAAATTATAGAGAACAAGCATTCTGAGAGTATTGCATGGCAATACATAGTCCCCTATCAGTTAAAAATTCATTGTACTGGAACAATATGCTAACTTGGTCTATGGTGTAAACTATATAACAAATATCAAGTCAATATCTTCAAGCATGATGAAAAAAAGTGTGGAAAACTTATTATTGAAGTGAATTTTCTAAGTCCAAGGACCATAGCTCTGCGGAAATTCAAACTTGATCCTGTAACTTGTCATGATTAGTCTATATACCAATTATCAAATCAACATCTTCAAGCATGACGAAAAAAAGGGCAGAAAACTGATTTGCGGGACTGACAGACAGACAGACGGACGGAGTGCAAACCTAAAGTCCCCTTGTTAGGGGACTAATAATCAAGATAACAATGTTCCTAAATCATAGCATTTGAAATATTCACAAACTGATTTGAACACACTACTTTGTAAACTATAACAATATCATAAGGGTTTTGATTTACCTTAGTTTCTATAATTTATATAAAAATAAATTAAACAAGAATGTGCCGATAGTACACGGATGCCCCACTCACACTATCATTTTCTATGTTTAGTGGACCATGAAATTGGGGTCAAAACTCTAATTTGGCATTAAAATTAGAAAGATCATATCATAGGGAACATGTGTACTAAGTTTCAAGTTGATTAGACTTCAACTTCATCAAAAACTACCTTGACCAAAAACTTTAACCTGAAGCGGGACAGACGGACGAACGGACGGACAGACCAAAAAACATAATAACCCTCTACTATTGTAGGTGGGGCATTAAATATGTCAATGTTAGTCATTCTTTACTTTTTGAGTTCATGACAACATCCCATTTAAATATTTATCTCTTTGAAAATACTACATAGATGTTTGACACTTACTTGATAGTAATGACCCTTTCTCCCCCATTTCCTTTCTGCTTCTCTACTTCTATGTGTGCTCCAGACACTTCACGTATAGCATTAATATTACAACCACTGCGACCAATCACACGACTTATAGCTGATGACGACACCTGTACTCGTTTTGACCTAGAAAAAAGAAGCAAACCATTTAAATTCATGTGAAATGAAAATTATTAGGCAGCATATCATGTAAAGGCATTTAAATATGTTAAATATATTCTTCACTTAAATCAGATGATGAAGCCTCTAAGTCTTCACTTCTGACAAGACAGAGGTAACAATGTAAATAAAATTTCAAGTCATATAGTTGGATAGATTTGTTTTTTCTGACAAATCAATAATAAATGAATACATTTCAATCATATAGTTGGATAGATTTGTTTTTTCTGACAAATCAATAATAAATGAATACATTTCAAATATCCTACATCTTAATACCAGACATATGAATTTTATGGTAAACTTGAACCAACGTCAGTAAAGCAAAAGTTAAAACATTTAACTTGTGCTTTACTGACATTGGTTTCCAGATTACATCAAAATTCATATTTTAACTTAAAATGCAGATGGTACTAATATTAAGATAATACTACATCATACAGCACTTTTAATTTCAAAATCTAATTATTTTCAAAAATTGAAAAAAACTAGATTGTACAATGCCCCCTCCCCCCTTTCTGCTCTGCCATATGCATGAGTATAGTTCCACATATTTGAGATTTGACAAACAGTGATGTTGGCATACAACTTGAAATTGTTACGCTGTCTGTAAGACACAAATGATGCCCCGCCTGACCATAGGATATTATAAATTTAACACTATGTATGATGATGTAACTGTAGGAGGAGATAGCCGGACAAACCATGATCTCTTTATGCAGCTAGTACTAAAATAATGACTAAGTCCAACTACCAGTCATTTTCAGAATATTTAAAAGAAATCAAAATCCTGTGGCCATTCACACCTCCATTATGTGTATGAACATCCTACAAAATATTAAAGCTGTATCTCCAAAGCTGTAGGAGGAGATAGCCGGACAAACCATCTCTTTATGCAGCTAGTACCAAAAAAATAACCACCTGCCATTTTCAGAATATTTGAAAAAAATCAAAATCCTGTGGCCATGCACACCTTCATTATGTGTATGAACATCCTACAAAATATTAAAGTTGTACCTCCAAAACTGTAGGAGGAGATAGCCGGACAAACAATTTATCCTAACATTTGATTTTACATATATTAAGGTTCAGATTTGGCCATAGTAACAATCTGTTTTCTAAGCAACTTACTTCCTCATAACTTCTTTCCATCCCTCTTCTTTCTTCTGACCTTTCTTTGGACTAGATAAACCAGGTGAAATTTTATGCTGATGTACCACTTCTATATTTACTTTCCCTTGGTTTTCATGTTTGTTGTCCCTATAATCCAATATCTAGATCTTTAAATATTTTTCAATGAAAAAAGAAATCAGGTTACTTCCAGATTTCATGTCAAAGTGACAACAAAATCTTATTGTAGAATTTGTAATGATTTTCTAAGTCAAAATAAATTTATACTTTTTGTACTCTTATCTGCCCTTAACATATCATTATATGCCACATGCTTTGCTTGATGTTAGACAGCATTACAGTACACACCCCCACCAGAGTCAAATTATTGCAAATGTCTTTTAAAATGAACATAAACTGTTAACACAGAGATATGCCTCGCCTTTTTGTAATTTTGTTGATGCAAATGTTGAAATTAAAATAGCAATACTTTAACATGAAAGTTATGTAAATACTCAAAGTGAATGAACCAAGACTGAAAGTACATGGCTAAACAATCTCCATGGAAATGAGATGTGCTAATGCTAATACAACTGCATACCAAATACCATTGACTTATCATAAGTTGTCCCCTTTAAACAAACCTTAACACAAACATTAACTTGTAAACCATTTTAAAGTTACAAAGTCAATGAACTATGATGAGGGGGGTGGGCTATATAATCTCCATGGAAACAAGACTTGCAAATGCCAATAAATTTGCATACCAAATATCATTGACTTAATATTAACGGTTCATCTTAAACTGATCTAATCACAAACTAATACATGTAAACTAAGCAAAAATTTCAAAGTCAATAGACCATGACTGAGGGGGTGGGGCCAAATATTCTACATAGAAATGAGATGTGCTAATGCTTATACAACTGCATAACAATTAACATTGGTCAACCACTAATGGTTCCCCTTGAACAGACCTAATCACAATCTAATACATGTAAACTAAACAAAATTTTCAAAGTCAATAGACCATGACTGAGGGGGCATGGCCAAATAATCTCCATGGAAATGAGATGTGTCAATGCTAATACAACTGCATACCAAATATCATTGACCTACCACTAGACCTAATCACAAACTAATACATTGTTGACGCCGCCGCCGAAACATCATACCTGTGTCTCGCTTTTTGACTCCGTCAAGGCGAGACATAAAAGTGTCTCGTACTGGCAACTGACAACACCAATATTACATTACAGCAGAATTTTTTTTTGGCTGACTAATAACAGTACAACTAAATAAATCCAGCTTATTGGAATAATACGAAATCAATTTAGAGTTCAAATTTGGTTAATGGAACCACAGGGAAATTATGAGTTCAGGATTTAACTGCTCCTATTTTATATAAAGCTGAGTTTTAATTTATGTTCATGATTAAATGAAAAACTCAAATTCTCGAAATAATTTTTTTAAAGTCTAACAGTTACATGAGATTTAAAGATGTATATGTCGTTTATGTTAATAATAAAGAATCTATTGAAATTAATCTGTATCATGTTCTATCTTCCACACGAATGCAACCTAACAATTATTCATAAGGACAGTAATTATAAATTATAATTATAATATTTTGCCTGTTCAGTACACAATACTTGCTCATCTTTCAATAAAACAATGTTCAAAATTATTTAAACTTACAATTTAGATATTTTTGTTTTCTCAACACTTTTCCTTAACTTCTCAACCTCCCTGTCAGAAATCTTCAATTTTTCTGGAAGAGTACCAAAATCATCTAAATCACCAATTCCTGGAAAAAGAAGAAACAAATTTCATAAAACGTATTCTGCTCTTAATGTATGGGATATCTGTACAATTCAATTGATGTCTCATTAAAAAAAAATCTGAATACTGTAAGCATAAGTTTACAGCATCATTTTCAATTCATAACACCAATTTCTAAATATACCAAATTCTAGTAGTAAAAGGAAGAAAAAAAACAGCTGCAGTATATATTTCTTAGATTTTATCAGTTAGCATATAACATATTGTATAATCATAGTCAAACTAACCAGTAGAAGCTGATTTGATTGATACATCTGATCGATCTTTCTTTCTCTTTAATTTGTTGTTATTATCACTATTATTTGTTGTTGTTTGTTTAATTGGTATTGTGGTTGTTGCTGTGGTAACAGAACATATAGAGACTGGCGGATCATCTACATCCAAAGGTTTCTCTTTCTCTCTTCTATTTTTCTTATTTTTCTTGGACTCAGTTGCTGTTACAGTAGTCTCTGCTCTGTTGTTCTTGTTACGGCCAGCTTTGGTGTACTTGGGTTCATTGCCAATTGGTAAAGTAATACCAATAGTTGATGTGACTGTTGCCATTGGTGGTTCTACCCGTATCGGATCTTCTATGTCTTCTATCACCTCATCTTTTTCTTGAATATCTGTTTCAGGCTCAGGAGATGAACTTTTACTAAAATCAAAAATTGCAATAAATTAATTTCAACAAACATTATAAATTGTTTAAATACAGTGAGCTAACTTCTTACATAAATCAGATAAATGAGTATATAAAATTTTTTTTTTTAAATTTCATTTCCAAAACACCTAAACAAAATAAATAAATATTCATTATGAATGAATTAAAAGTGTCTTTCTCCCAAAATATTTTTTGGTATGCATAGGCATTATTTTTATTTCTTTTTCAAAAAGAATGTTAGCTGAAGAAAATTGCATTCCTGTCAATGCTCAATGATTGATTGATTATTTGGTGTTTAATGCAACTTTCAGCACTGTAAGCTATTTAGGGCTATTCCATTAAAAAGAATGTACCAGGGTCGGATGGCAATTATAAAAAATCCCGTTGGTTGTTGATGTGTTGAAGCGTGTATGGCCAGTGGCCCTTGGTGTTTAGAGAAACTAAGTATTGTTGGTTGTTGGTCTTCTTTGACAGTCATTTTTCGTGATTGTCGGTTTCAATGTGTTATTTTCCGTTTTTATTAATATTTGTTTTTGCAAGGACTTATATAACCGATTGTTTTTGTCTCCTGCTCTTATCGTGATATTTTGGAAAACAGAACTGTTCCCGCGACTTGCGCAGCGACAGGCGCAACGTTGTATTCTACCTATGGTACCAGTTCCGGAAGTGCAAGAGTTACTTCCGTTTAATGACAAGCACATGGCGAAGGATGTCAAATTCTATTGAAAATAATATTCGGATGTTCAAATTAGCGTTGGTCCGAGATCTGCGACCTTCCACTATTGCAATCGGACTTTCGTTTGGTTACTAGCTAGGCCCAACGGACCTTCGATTTGAAAGAAAATAAAAATTAACTTTGACGACCTTTTTAACCATCAGTATGGTCAATTCAAAGCCATATTACTATTGAGATCGTACACCCCTCCAGGGATTTTTCTAGCATTCCACAGGGTCCAAATACCGGACCCATTCCTATTGGCAATGGCAAACACCCTACGTTTTTCCCAATTTTCAATATTTCATGAATTTGGGACCAAAACTTCAAAACGATCTCAAAATTTATTTTTATCTTTATTATTTATGACAGCGATGCTCAGTTTGTTCAACCGCTAGCTTTATCCTGAAAATTGCCAAGAAGTAATGTGTAAATACGAGTAAAATCATATCTGACTGACAAAAACAACATTGAATAAAATGCTTCGCTGGGGCGCAGCTTGATACGACCGCAGAGGTCGAACCCTGAACAGTTGGGGCAAGTATGGACACAACATTCAAGCTTGATACAGCTCTGAATTTGGATTGTTATTAAATATTTGACACAGCATAGGTTTCTGACACAGAAAGAATGTGGTCTAAGAACTTGAATTTTTTTAATTTACCTATTATGTCCAAAATCAAAATACATGGTTAGATTCAGCATATCAAAGAATCCAAAGAATTCAATTTTTGATGAAATCAAACAAATTTTAATTTTGGACCCTTTTGACCTCAATATGAACCAATTTGATGACGGGGCCCAAAAATCAAAATACATGGTTAGATTCAGCTTATCAAAGAATCCAAAGAATTCAATTTTTGATGAAATCAAACAAAGTTTAATTTTGGACCCTTTCGACCTCAATGTGGACCAATTTGATGACGGGGCCCAAAAATCAAAATACATGGTTAGATTCAGCATATCAAAGAATCCAAAGAATTCAATTTTTGATGAAATCAAACAAAGTTTAATTTTGGACCCTTTTGACCTCAATATGAACCAATTTGATAGCGGGGCCCACAAATAAAAAATCTAAATTCATGGTTAGATTCAGCATATCAAAGAACCCCATATATTGAATTTTTGTTGAAATAAAAAAAAGTTTAATTTTGGACCCCAACTTGGACAAACTTGAAAACTGGGCCCATAATCAAAAATCTAAACACATGTTTAGATTCAGCATATCAAAGAACCCCAAGAATTCAATTTTTGCTAAAATCAAACAAAGTTTAATTTTGGACCCTTTGGACCTTAATGTAGACCAATTTAAAAGACGGGACTTAAAATTAAAAATCTAAATACACGGTTAGATTTGGAATATCAAAGAACCCCAATAATTCAATTTTTGATGAAATCAAACAAAGTTTAATTTGGTCCCTTTTGACCTCAATATGAACCAATTTGATAGCGGGTCCCACAAATAAAAAATCTAAATACATGGTTAGATTCAGCATATCAAAGAACCTCATATATTCAATTTTTGTGGAAATCAAACAAAGTTTAATTTTGGACCCCAATTTGGACCAACTTGAAAACTGGGCCCATAATCAAAAATCTAAATACATGTTTAGATTCAGCATATCAAAGAACCCCATATATTCAATTTTTGTTGAAATCAAACAAAGTTTAAATACTGGACCCTATCTTGGACCAACTTGAAAACTGGGCCAATAATCAAAAATCTAAACACATGTTTAGATTCAGCATATCAAAGAACCCCAAGAATTCAATTTTTGTTAAAATCAAACTAAGTTTAATTTTGGACCCTTTGGACCTTAATGTAGACCAAATTAAAAAACGGGACCCAAAATTAAAAATCTAAATACACGGTTAGATTTGGAATATCAAAGAACCCCAATAATTCAATTTTAGATGAAATCAAACAAAGTTTAATTTTGGACCCTTTTGACCTCAATATGAACCAATTTGATAGCAGGGCCCACAAATAAAAAATCTAAATACATGGTTAGATTCAGCATATCAAAGAACCCCATATATTCAATTTTTGTTGAAATCAAACAAAGTTTAATTTTGGACCCCAATTTGGACCAACTTGAAAACAGGGCCAAAAATCAAAAATCTAAATACATGTTTAGATTCAGCATATCAAAGAACCTCATATATTCAATTTTTGCTAAATTCAAACAAAGTTTAATTTTGGACCCTTTGGACCTTAATGTAGACCAATTTGAAAACTGGACCCAAAATTAAAAATCTAAATACACTGTTAGATTCGGCATAACAAATATATAAATGTGATCAAAGATTTTACAAATCTAATGCGCCATGCTGTGCAATTAAAGATTACTTCTTGAAATTTTTCAATATTTGAAATTTGAAAAAAAAATAATATTTGAAGAATAATTCTTTTTAATTTCTGAAATCTGAAATGAGAAAAAATTGACCCCCCACAATTTTTTTTTATCCCCCCCCCCCCCCACCTTTTTTCCCCCAAAAAATTCTTTCCCTCAAGATATGGTCATAATCTCAATTCAAATTTCCAATGGAGTTGGCAACCATAATTACCCATTTAAATTTACCATAGTGCTAACTTAATCTATTTTATAATAGAATTAAAAATATAGTGTCAAATCTTTTATATGGATTTTTTTGTAAAAAAAAAAGATGCAACATTTGCAGATATTTTTACTGGTCTTCCTTTATAAATATGCATTTCTTTAAACATAATTTAAAAGCAGTGTAAGGGAAGTAACCAAAGCGTTGTATTTGGATTACCTCCCTTACACTGTTTTAAATTATCTTTATTGTTCATTAACCATTACTTTATACATAATTTAAAAGCAGTGTAAGGGAGATAATTTCAATGATGTATTTGATTTATCTCCCTTACACTGCTTTAAATTATGTTTTGTACTAAAGTATTTGTCCATTAACCAGGACAACCTTGTTTTTCCCCCTTTTTTGCCCTTAATTCCTAAACGGTTTGAGCCATAACCCCCCCAAAGCAAATCCTAACCATCCCTTTGTGGTATGGAAACTTGTAGTATAATTTCAGAGAGATCCATACACTGTTGCACAGTTATTGTCTGGAAACTAGAAAATGCTTATTTTTGGCCCCTTTTTGGCCCCTAATTCCTTAACTGTTGGTACCATAACCCCCAAAATCAATCCCAACCTTCCTTTTGTGGTATTTAACCTTATGGTCAAATTTCAAAAAGATCCATTCACTTAAACTAAAGTTAGAGTGCGAAAACCAATGTGTCTTCGGACGACGACGACGCCAACGTCATACCAATATACGACCACAAAATTTTTTTGCGGTCGTATAAAAACAATGGATGCCATAAACCGGAAATGAAGACGATTACAATACCCGATCAGATTCGGGGGTCGGATAAGGGTAATTCCGGGTTTGCCGATCAAATACAATAGAAAAAATAATAATTCCAGGCAGGTGACAAAATACATCTATGATGATGAAATATAAACACTAGAATTGAAAAACAAAAGATATATGGAAAAGAAAGAAAAAGCATGAAATATTTTATACAGAAACTCAAAATAACTTTTAGTTCACAAATTTTCATGTCAAAATCCAATGAAATGTGACAGTAATTTTCTTTGTCATTAATAAATGTTGATATTACATGTAGATGTTTTTATAGAGTATACATATATCTACAATTCCAAGAGGTCATTTCTTCTCAATTTTGAACGGCCAGTAAAAATCTGGAAGTTTCTTACTTTATTTTTACAGAGCTAATATAATAGTGCAACTAGATATGATACATTTAAACAGCTTTGAATTTGAACTATTACTTTAATTGTATACTCGGGTATGAATTGAACAATATAAAAAAAAAAGATACACAAATAGCCCTTTATATCATAGTAATAACCAAACATTGTAGCTCCTTGACCCTGTCCACCCCTCTAAATTGTCCAGCAACTATAATGTTTAAATAACAATTCCTTTGGTTGTGGTAAATTAGAATAAAATAAGTTAGATATATTCCAGTTGGTTCTTGTATTATTATGAAACGACTTCCTGTTGGTTGGTGTTAAGATACATGGTACATTCCTCTTGGTCGTGGGGGTACTTAAAAATTGCCTTCCGACCCTAGTACCTCCTTTTTAATGGATTAGCCCTTAATGGCAACCAGTTTTAATTAGTGGAGGAAGCCGAAATGCCTAGAAAGTACAATCGACCTTAAAATGAAAACTGATAGTCCTAGTCAATTAAGATTGTAGTTGAACGCACCTGCCATGTGCAGGACTCGAACTCTAAACCTCAGTGTTGACAGGCTACTGATGCAGAAGTTTAACTAGTTAGACCACTCGGCCACTGAAGCCCCAACACTCCAGGAAGTCTATCCCTTAAAACAATGTATTTTCATATGTGACCTGACAAGGCATAAAGTATTACAAAAGTTAATAAATTGAGAAATAAGTACAAACTTACTTTGTGGTTGGATCTTTTTCTTTCTCTTGTTTTTCCTTCTTCTTTTGTCTTTTCTTTTCTCTTTTTTTAGCCGCAACAGCTCTCTTTTTCTCCTGTGATTCTCTTTCCTTGTCTAGTTCTTCCAAAAGTATGGATGCTATCTTGTTTGCCTCTGCAGCTTGGCGATCTTTAGCACTTACAATTATTTCCATTGACTGCTGACATTTCTTTGCCAATTCCTAAAATGTTATTGTAACAAATAGTGTTTAGCCATGGCAGCCATGTTGGTACATGCACCAGAATATAATTAACAAACTATAATCTGGAAGCTGTAATGATGAATATTGTCAATGTTTTTTTAAATTGGTTCTGTATTTTCTGAGGAGAAAATCTTTGAAAAATCCCTAAAATCTGCAACATTTGATTAATTGATTAATGTTTAAGACCAGTTTCAGCACAATTGGTTATATCATTGCAGCCAGTTTTAATGGTGGAGGTAGTCAGAGTACCAGGAGAAAACCATGACCAACGGAAAACTGAACAATCCTAGTCCCAGGAAGTGTGTTCCAAATTAGATTCACAATGTTAATGTTTGAATGTCATTTATCATTAATTAAACTTAGGAGAGTAGTATATACAATAGTCTTCTTTTTTGGAATGAATGAACATTTAAAGGATAAATAATTACACTAAATCTATATCATGATATTCAGAGAAGAAAAGCACAAAAATTCATTCAAGCAATCTGTTAAATAACTGATAAAAATCATCCCTGTTTATATCAAGATCACCATTAAACAATGTTTAACATAAAAATAGTTAAATAAGTTTTATATAATTCATATGTTACCTACACATTGTTTTACTTACTTTATCTTGAACAGTAGAAATGTATCTAGATAATTCTTGATCTGATGGAAACTGGTTTACATGTTTAACCATCCATTTGACAACCTTAACATGCCCCTTCCTGAATGCTGCCATTAAACATGATACTTTTCTATTGTCTTGACTATCAATGTCAGCATGGGCAGAAACAAGTAACTGTACTACATCTAAATGTCCACCTGAAATAAATATTTCTCTCTGTTAAGTTTTTCATCTTGACATTTTATTTAGTAACTTAATTCTACAAAGCACTTTAAATGGTTATGTCTGCAAACTTAACTATCATTGCTCATTTTTATAGGTTTTAGCTGGAATCATTAAAATTAATAAACAAATAAAACCAGATGTACTGTGAGCTTTTGCTCATTAATTAAACCTACCACTCATTGTTGTCAACTCTTATTATGCAGTAAATAGGTAAATCGATTAAATTATCACTTGTGGTTGCAGGTAGACTAGAGACAATAGTATTATGCAGGTGACAATAATCTGATAAGAGGTTTACAAACAGGTCATAACTATCAACCACTCTTTTTTGTAGAACAAGGAATTTAAAGAGCTTCCCTTTATTATCAAAAGGGTTACAATAATATGAATGTGTGCCAAAAAAATTATTAAGTCTATAACAAGAAACCGATTAGATCTACTAAATGTTTACAAATACTAACCATTACATGCTAACCACAGTGGAGAATTGCCTTTCTTGTTCTTAACATCAACTTGAGCACTTCTGAAATCATATAATGTTCTCATAATGTAATGGAATTCATCTTAATCCACATAAATTACACATAATCAATCTTTTTGTCAAATTCAACTTTAATACAATAACGCTAAAACTCTAATGTTTTAAACAGTCATTGTGGTATCTCAAACTGAACAAGACCAGGTCTGTGCATGCAATTGATTGAGGTAACATGTATACTGAAGCATAACCAATCATTCCCTTAAATAATTGAAGCCAAGAAAGCTTTCCACTGTTAAATAGTGATTGGTAAACATATGTCCAATTTCACCTGCTTTCATCTTGTTTTTTTTATTTTGTGGGTAGCTGTCTCAATGGCAATCCTTTCATTTTATGATTTACCCTTAAGTTAATCCAATGAAAATCCTTACCTTGACAAAAGTAATTCAACAAATCTATAATGTCCTTTATCAGCTGCAATGGTTAATGCTGTATCTCTTGATGATGGGACAGGTGGAGCATTGACATCAGCTCCCTTGTCTAACAAAACACGCCCAACTTCTACATAACCACCTGACGCTGCTTCCATCAATGGTGTCAAACCAGTCTACAATTAAGCATATTTGTTTCAATACTAAAAACAAATGAAGATTTTTTGCAATAATATCAACAGCTAATTCCCCCATCATTATTCTTTACAGGAAATTTTTTAATTTTGCAACCTATAAAAGATTGAACTGTGGCAGTATAATTTTTTTCCACAATTTGTTTTCTTCCAACACGAATATAAGAACTCAATAAAAATAATAATAAAGGTCAATTTGAGCCAATATTTGTGAATCCTTTTTTAAGGATCCCAAAATCCATCACCTAATGAATTACTGATTATTTTCCTAACTGTAAATTTATGTTGTTCAGACAAACCCCTTTTCAAACTCAATACCCCCCCCCCCCCCCCCCCCCCTTTATACAATTGACCTATTCATAACATAAATAAATTTTAATTTATAATTGTACATTTGTTCAAATAAAAATATGACTACTACTTAAACCTAATAAAAGTACCTAAGAAAATCACTCACCTTCGCTCTATGTTCAATGTTTGCTTTTCGGTCCACAAGTAAACTCACAACTTCATGACGACCTTGAAAGCATGCTAAAGTCAAAGCTGTATTTCTATTAGTCTCAATCTGAAAATTGATGGAAGGTACATAAACATGTAGGATAGTTTTACAGTACTACTGTATTTATATTTTTTTCTATAGAATATTATTTTTGTGCTTGATTTATGGAATTCTCAGGTTTCTAAAAATCTGCATGAAATTGTCTAGAATTATTTACATTTCTATGAATGGTGGGGTATAATTTACATTTTCAACAATACCCCAGCCATTTTACATCTGTTTCTGGAATAGCCCTTTTCAAAAGTTTGATATAAAATTCTGTCATATTACTGCTATTTTTTATGATTTTTCAAGTGTGATTTCAGATTACCAGACACAATTACCTTTGAAATACATTAAATAAATATTGTGTTCAAAATGAATTACCTGTGCATTAATATCACTGCCCATATCAAGTAGAAGCTTCACAGCTGCTGTATGCCCATTCATTGCAGCCAACATCAAAGGTGAAATGCCCAATTTACTGCCAGTCCTTTGAAATAGAATTATATACTTGATTTGTGTGAATTCAAAAGAAAGATCATTAATTTTATTTACGAAAAATGAAAATCTGATTTTGGTTAAAAATGGTCAAATTAACATTCCCTCTAAACATTTATCAAGCTGACAGTTTTGTGTCTAATATTCAATTGAGAAGTTAAAAAGAAAATTAAGGTGCAAAGAAGAAAGTAGATTTCGTTTATTTTTCAACTTTGTTATTGTACAAATACACAAGAAGATTGATTTTTACATATTCAAAACAATTCATAATTTTCTAATTGCAAGCCACATAGTCAATTGAACACAAATCTTACCTGGAGTTGATTTCGGCACCATGAGACAGTAAGAGTTTGATGATGTTTACATATCCTCCAGAGGCAGCTAGACTAAGTGGAGTGTAGTCAGATACATTTCTGTGCTCCTTATTAGCCCCACGACTTAAAAGTAACTCAACAACCTGTGCAAATAGATTTAGAATAATTCCCAATTCTACTGATACTCAAGTCTGAGTTAGTAATTTTCAATTTTGGCATTACAAGTTTTTGAATACATTCATCACAACATTTTCTTCATCAAATTTGACCATTTCCTTGCTAGGTTCTTGATCCCTTTATTTTTATTTCCATGGTGCTCAGTACATTTAGAAGTTAAAATTCCTTGAAAGCATTCTCATTCAATTTAACAGATTATGGCCACCGTGAATCGGTTAGCAGATATATATTTTTGTAATCATTATTCTGATTTGTTTTTCATATTTCCTGTCTATATGTATCAAATTATCAAAGATGGCACCAAGATTTGTATGTTAACTACCAATGTGCAGTTAACTATCCATGTCCTTATACTGAAAAACTATTCAAAATGTCAACTTAAATCCCTTTAGGTTTTTCAGTATAAGGACATGGATAGTAAAATGCACATTGCTAGTAAACATACAAATCTTGGTGCCATCTTTATTTAAATAAATTATTAAAATGCATCAGCAGATTGCTAATTTTATATTTCTAAAATTCAAAATATCTTAAGGCATAAAACTTGGGGTTCTTTATTTGCTTCAAAATATTATTTAGCCTAAATGTAAAATTAAGACTTTTGTCATAAAGTCCGATTCTGTGCATTTACCTCAAACCGTCCTCCAGAACAAGCTAGAGACAATGGTGTATCTTTTGTTCTTTCTGACTGTGCTTCCATGTCAGCACCATGATCCAATAAAATTTCCACAACATCTACATGTCCTGCTGTAGCAGCTAGTATCAATGGTGTAAATCCTGAAACAGATATAACATTTACAAATGATTAATGTCAACTGGATTTTTTTCCCTTTACACCAGGTTCAATGACAGGAAATTTATTTATTGATCCAGAACGACTTTATGGTTATATCAATGGTTTTGATGTGTTTCCCTAAAATTCAAAGTTCTGTGGATTCATCTATTTTCGTGAAAAATTGCCTTTTATGGATGTGTGATTTAGTGGATTGCCAGTCTGCATACAACCTGATACCAAATTTGAAATTCAATTGGTATCCAACTAATGAATCCACAGTAAACAGCTTTTAACTGATTACAATGTTTTTATGCTAGCGTATGCCTTCATGAGACTAATTTTATTTTAAAACCATTCCCATGTGCAAATATTTTTCCAAAAAAGAAAATTTGTTTACTGCTCACCTTTCTTGTCCCGATGTTCTATGTCAGCTCCTTTGGACAATAACAAACTGACCAGTTCAGCATGACCTCCATGACAGGCCAGAGTTAAAGCTGTATCATGATTGCTCTCTGTCTGAGAATCCAAGTCTACTGGAGCACAGAGTGGTGAAATGCTCTGTGGAGAAGCTGGTGAAGGATTGGGTGTAAGAGGAGTGGAAGGTGGAGGAGTTATTGTCTCTAGACCTTGCATGCCTGGTACTGTCTGGTTGTTATAAAGATGACGCTTTGGTCGTTGGTTTTTGGGCATGGTTGCTGGTGGTACAGGTGGTGGCTGTTTAATCTGTTGCTGGAGCTGTTGTTGGAGGAGTTGTGCCTGTTGTTGTTGCTGCAGTAACTGTTGCTGCTGTTGTTGAGACAACTGTTGCGGGGATATCAGGTGAGGTTGGATCAAGGGTTGTGGTATAAACGCCTGTGGCAGTGCTTGAACAGTCTGAGGTTGTTGTTGCAGCTGCTGCTGTATATACGGTTGAAGTTGACTGATTTGTTGTCCAATGGTTTGTTGCTGAACAATTTGTTGCCCTGCAATAGGAATGTGCTGGGATGCTAACTGTTGCTGGGCAGCAAAGTTTGGTTGTGATAACATCTGAAGTAGTTGTTCTTGTTGTTCTGGTGTAAGGGTTAGTTGTGGGAACTGAATAGTCTGAGTTTGTTGTTGTTGAACCTGTATTTGTTGTTGCTGTTGTTGTTGCCTTACTGATAAAGTTTGAATCTGTTGTTTATAGGCAGCAAGAGTCAATGATCCAGGATTTGCAATTTGTGGTATACCTTGTGCAATTGCTGAAAATAGAAATATATAAATTGTTAAGTCAACTGGTCAACTCCCATCTTATTAATACTTGATGGTTGAATGCAGAACATGGTTCAGTCAACGTGTTGTTTATTTTGCTCCAAAACCTATCACTATATATATCTAAAACTGCAAAGAATTACCTTATGACTGAAACAAATAAGAATGTGTCCAAAGTACACAGATGCCCAACACGCACTATCATTTTCTATGTTCAGTGCACCGTGAAATTGGGGTCAAAACTCTAATTTGGCATTAAAATTAGAAAGATGATATCATAGGGAACATTTGTACTAAGCTTCAAGTTGATTTGACTTCAACTTCATCAAAAACTACCTTGACCAAAATCTTTAACCTTAAGCAGGACAGGACAACGGACGGACGAACGAACAGACGCAGAGACCAGAAAACATAATGCCCCTACCACTATCGTAGGTGGGGCATAAAAAGCATAATTTTCCTTCTAATGTAACACTGTAGATTAAACCAAGCACACCTAAAACAATATGAACCATTCTACCAATCAAGCAAAAGAAATACTTTATTCCTTGGATTTCAAATTTTCTAATGAGTGTTTCTGATGAAGGAAAATTGAGCTTCAGATGCACCAAATTTATTGTGTTATTTTCATATTTATTGCTTTTCTTTCTTTTTTTCTAGAAAATGTATTGGTTATCTACATAAAGAGATAAACTTACCATTTTCTTGGTCTGGTGTTAAGATACCATTTACAATTGATGAAGATGTGGTCACTGTAGAAGTGGTGGAGGTTACAATCTGATTGTTTCGAGATGTCCTGGTTACTTTGTTTACATTACGTTTGGGTGTATTTCCATTATTTCTTGCCCACAATTCCTTATTATCCATTGCCTGACTTCCTTCTTCCATTTGCTGACTAGATGTCACAGGTATAACCCCGTCATAAGGTATATTTGGAAAGACAATTTGTCCTACTGCAGTTGAACCATCTGTTGTCAAAATATTGCTAATTTGTTTGTCCAGATCATTTGATGGTTCTGGATCTACAGATGATTCAATACACAGTTCCTCCAAGGTGAGATCATCAGGCGAGGTTAATTCATCCTGTTTACGTTTAACCTGAGCATCAAGTTTGTTCTGTAATGCCTTTGCACCCTGCTGTAAGACTTGGTGTAACTGCTGTTGTTGTTGCTGTTGTTCTAGCTGATGGTGAGCACTAAGTATCAACTGAGCTTGAGCCTTCTCCTGCAACTCTTTTTCAACCTTCTGTAACTCTTGTAAAATCTGCTGTTTCCTTAAAATCTGTTCTTCTCTGGTTGATGCTGAATTATCCAATTCATTGGCCATCACATTATTAATAATAGCCTCTAATCTCTCAGTGGCCTTGACATCAACCGTATGGTCAGACTCCATATTTTCTGGTTCTTGTTCTAGATTAGAGGCTACATTTTCTACAGTTGTGGATAGGGTAGCTGTTGTGTTACTTGATGGTTTACTAACTTTTCCTCCTCCGTTGTTGTTATTATGACTTCGCTTGATTGAGTTCTGCATGTTTTTCAGAATTTGTGGCTCATTATTTCTAGCAGCAATATTAAATTCCTTCTCTAGTGGTTTCTTTGACAGATTTTGAGTACCTGTAAAAATATTCACAACTCATTTTAGAATCAGTATGCGAAATAAGTGCCTATAATTGTTATCTTTATCATTATAAACAGCTGTGAGTTAATACAAAGTTTTGTTTTCCAGAAGTAATAGACAAGGGAGCAAATAATGAGAAAAGGGGATTCCTCATTGTTTCATTAACTACGCCAAGTATTTATGGATTAATTTTAAACACTGATGCTTCATCATAATTTTTTTTTTGTCTGTTTGTAGCATTCATAAGATATTGGTTGAATTTGCAAAACAAAGTATAAAGTGAAGTCCATGACTGGTTTAACTGTTTAGATTTTGGGATTCTGACAGTATCTAGTCATTTCTTTTGTTTTTATCTTTGTCATTTGGGCTCTCATGGATGGTTGTCTCATTGGCAAGCATACCACATCTCCTTATTCTTATATTGAAAAGGGAAAAAAATTTTGTTCTACAACTCGACAAAGGATTCTTCATGTTGCGACTTGTTAATTATTGAAATTAAGAATTTATAAAGGAAGGATTTCATTCTTTTTTAATATCCATTACTGTAAATTATTTAAGATCAATCATATTTATAATTCATTTACAATTTCTTAAATCTATTTAGAGATTCTTGTTTTTCTACAAGAGTAGTTTGACTATTTCTACATACATGTATATGAATGAAACATATAGTTTTAATACTTAATTTAAAGGTTTGCAAACCTACAACACCTCTCACAAGATCAACTAAAGGTTAACTATATCAATCCATATATCAAATGATACTCCAAGCTTGTCGGAGGTAACAGGCCAAAATTAATTATTCATAAAGTCAGATATAAACAAGAATGTAGTGATTGATACAATATTCACTTACCTGGAGGGACAGTGATGAAGTTAGCACAAGTTGAAGAATCAGGATTACTTGGTGGTACAATGTTTCCTAAACCTTGGGTTGGTACTCTGGCCTGAAAATACACAAATAGAAAAATTAACATTAACTTCTAATTTTTACTTATTAATAATCAATTATTTATTTGATACTGTGGATTTATTTTTGTGAGTACCAATTTTCATTCAGGAAATTGTATTTTTGGGATATTTGATTTGTGATTTTACAAAAGTCTGTATAGAAAAATTTGTACTTTGTTAAACATTTAAATTCGTGGTTTTATATCTGTACCCACAAAAAATACAAAATTTGGTACGCGATAAATAATAATGAATCCACACTAGGCAATTCCTTAAACTTCTTTGTTAGGATTTTTTTTCCCTTGGTCTCATCATATTTTTTTTGTTGTTGCTTTAATCTTTTAAATTGGTATTTAAGCATTAATCTCCATCAACTATTTAAATAATTTCACTGTATTGGGAAAAATAAGAGCTTAAATTGTTTTTTCTGATTATTGTCCTGTCAATCAGACAAGAGCAAAAAGGTCCTTGTTTGAAATTAGATTTCGGTACATAATAAAATGCTCTGCTAGGCGCAGCTTGATACGACCGCAGAGGTCGAACCCTGAACAGTTGGGGCAAGTATGGACACAACATTCAAGCTTAATACAGCTCTGAATTTGGATTGTGATTAAATATTTGACACAGCATAGGTTTCTGACACAGAATGAATGTGGTCTAAGAACTTAAAATTTTTTAATTTACCTATTATGATCCAATATCCAAAATCTAAATACATACACGGTTAGATTCAGCATATCAAAGAACCCCAATAATTCAATTTTTGTTTAAATCAAATTAAGTTTAATTTTGGACCCTTTGGACCTTAAGGTAGACCAATTTGAAAACGGGACCAAAAATCAAGAATCTAAATACACGGTTAGATTCAGCATATCAAAGAATCCCAATAATTCAATTTTTGATGAAATCAAACCATATCATAATTATTTGCTTTTATATATAAATAAAAAATAACCAACTTAAAATTGAAAATTTTAAAGGAAAAAAAAAGGAAAAAAAAAAGGGGGGAACCCCTCCCCCCCCCCCCCCCCCCCCAATTTTTTAACCCCCTTATGATTCATCACCCCAAACTCAATCCCAGCCTTCCCTTTGTGGTATGGTACCTTGCAGTACAATTTCAGAGAGATCCATACACTTGAACACAAGTTATTGTCTGGAAACTGTAAAAATGCTTGTTTTTTGGCCCCTTTTTGGCCCCAAATTCCTAAACGTTTAGGGCAATTACCCCCCAAACTCAAACCTAGCTTTCCCTTTGTGATATGGAACCTTGTAGTACAATTTAAAAAAGAATCATACACTTACACACAAGTTATTGTCCTGAAACTAGAAAAATGCTAGTTTTTTGCCCCTTTTTGGCCCCTAATTCCTAAAATTTTGAGGCAATTACCCCCAAAAATCAATCCCAGCCTTCCCTTTGTAATATGGTACCTTGCAGTACAATTTCAGAGAGATCCATATACATGAACACAAGTTATTGTCTGGAAACTAGAAAAATGCTTATTTTTGGCCCCTTATTCCTGAACGTTTTGGGCAATTACCCCCAAACTCAATTCCAGCTTTCCCTTTGTGATATGGAACCTTGTAGTACAATTTCAGAAAGATCCATACACTTACACACAAGTTATTGTCTGGAAACTAGAAAAATGCTTATTTTTGGCCCCTTATTCCTAAACGTTTTGGGCAATTACCCCCAAACTCAATTCCAGCTTTCCCTTTGTGATATGGAACCTTGTAGTACAATTTCAGAAAGATCTATACACTTACACACAAGTTATTGTCATGAAACTAGAAAAATGCTTGTTTTTTGCCCCTAATTCCTAAAATTTTGAGGCAATTACCCCCAAAATCAATCCCATCATTCCCTTTGTGATATGGAACCTTGTGGTACAATGTCAGAGAGATTCATACACTAACACACAAGTTATTGTCTGGAAGTTACAAAAATGCTTATTTTTGGCCCCTAATTCCTTAACTGTTGGTTCTATAACCCCCAAAATCAATCCCAACTACCTTTTGTGGTATTGAACCTTATGGTAAAATTTCATAGAGATCCATTCACTTAAACTAAAGTTGTTGTGCGAAAACCAATGTGTCTTCGGAAGATGACATCATACCAATATAGGACCGCAAAATTTTTTGCGATCGTATAAAAATAATGGTAAATTCACAATGCAAGTTTTCACATTATTTACACAATAACATTTCCCTTTCTTTTATTTATTAGATTTTACCTCATTAAGATGTGGCTCTGGCAGTAGTTCAAGCTCTGGTGAACCATTCATCAAGACTCTGTTAGGGGGTTCTAATAACAGTTTCACAACCTGGGTATGTCCACCTTTGGCAGCTTCTATTATCATGGTTGAGCCATCCTATCAAAGATACATGTTAATTTAAAATATGTCATCATTATAAGAATCCAGCAAGTTTACAAGCTGCAAGAACATTTTAGATCACAAGTAGGAAATGTCACAATATATCGATTCAACTAAAATAATCAAAAAATTCGGCTGTAACAATATAAAACAAAAGTAAAAGTATTTGTGGTTTTTTTGGGGGGCATTCATTTGTGTCTTGATAGTCAATGTTGCTGCTCTCTTATTACAGTTCATTCAAAATTCTGACCAAATTGCAATCAAACCGTTAGAAATGTCAATAAAATGCTCCGCTGGGGCGCAGCTTGATACGACCGCAGAGGTCAAACCCTGAACAGTTGGGGCAAGTATGGACACAACATTCAAGCTTGATACAGCACTGAATTTGGATTGTAATTAAATATTTGACACAGCATAGGTTTCTGACACAGAATGAAAGTGGTCTAAGAACTTATAATTTTTTAATTTACCTATTCATACATGTGATGGACTGTGAAACTCAGATCAGGAGATTGGGAAATTTTGGTCAGGAGATTAGGACTCAGATCAGGAGGTTTTTAATCGACATAAATTTTGTCGTAAATGTAACCGTGTGCTGTAAAAATGGTCTTTTAAAGTGTGTTTTCTTCAACTTCCCATCCAATTTATTATGTTTATAGTACCCTTGTACTTATAAAGTTTCTCCATCTTTATATTTTACATGTTCAATCTAACATTTTTTTTTTTCAGTATGTTCTTTAAATTTTTTACTTCATATTCTATAAAACATTTATTGCAACCAGAACATTTGTTTAACTATCTGCAAATAGCTTTGGTTTGCATACTCAGAATATCATTCTAACTGTAAAACAAGGGTCATAGTTATTATATAAATTTCAATTTAAGCCTTGAAAGGAAGTATAGAATCCTCAAATAATTTTCAAATTATTATTTTTTTATTTGTCCTAAGACATTTAAAATCATTTATTTACCATCCTTTTATGATTATTTGTTCAATTTATATTTTATTTATATTCTTTTAAAAATTTTCATTATTAAAAGGAAAGTAACTTAAAACAGGATAAATCAAGGGAAGTAACCCAATAAATACACAGTTTTTGTTACACAACGGCAGTTAGCCTGAGGTAAAAAATCATTGATTACCAGTATGTTTGACACCCAAGCTGACAAGTGAAGCCATATAATTATGCATGTTAATTGATTTACAGGTAAAATATAACTTCAGGTAATGTGAGTTACACCAGATGCCTGAGATGATATGTTGGGCAGAAATTTTTCATTCATGAAAAATTTCATACACGGGATTATAATTTTCCTCTTCAACCGGAGGTCAGGAGGAGACTCCTGAAAACAGGATTATTGTACACCTGTCGGGAGGTTCACATGTATGCTATTCAAACCATATCATTATTATTTGCTTTTATATATAAATCAGAAATAACCAATTTAAAATGGAAAATTTTAAAGAAAAAAAATGTAAAAAAAATCCCCCCCCCCCCAAATTTTTTGAACCCCCTTATGATTCATCGCCCCCACACTCAATCCCAGCTTTCCCTTTGTGGTATGGTACCTTGCAGTACAATTTTAGAGAGATCCATTCACTTGAACACAAGTTATTGTCTGGAAACTAGAAAAATGCTTGTTTTTTTGTCCCTTTTTGGCCCCTAATTCCTAAACGTTTAGGGCAATTACCCCCAAACTCCAACCCAGCTTTCCCTTTGTGATATGGAACCTTGCAGTACAATTTCATAAAGATCCATACACTTACAAACAAGTTATTGTCCTGAAACTAGAAAAATGCTTGTTTTTTGCCCCTTTTTGGCCCCTAATTCCCAAAATTTGGAGGAAATTACCCCCAAAAATCAATCCCAGTATTCCCTTTGTGATATGGAACCTTGTGATACAATGTCAGAGAGATCCATACACTTACACACAAGTTATTGTCATGAAACTAGAAAAATGCTTGTTTTTTGCCCCTTTTTGGCCCCTAATTCCTAAAATTTGGGGGCAATTACCCCCAAAATCAATCCCAGCATTCCCTTTGTGATATGGAACCTTGTGGTACAATGTCAGAGAGATCCATATACTTACACACAAGTTATGTCTGGAAGTTACAAAAATGCTTATTTTTGGCCCCTAATTCCTTAACTGTTAGTACCATAACCCCCAAAATCAATCCCCACCTTCCTTTTGTGGTATTGAACCTTATGGTAAAATTTCATTGAGATCCATTCACTTAAACTAAAGTTAGAGTGCGAAAACTAATGTGTATTCGGACGACGACGCCGGACGACGACGACGACGACGACGACGCCAACGTCATACCAATATACGACCACAAAAATTTTTTTGCGGTCGTATAAAAATCAACCTCTGTAGAACCACAGCCAAGTCATCAAAGTGCAAAAAGATAAAATAAAGCAATAAGGTTTGTCACTTTGAGACATTTTTTTTTAAATACATGTGGCTTTTATAGGGATCCAAAAATCCAAAAAGGACTGTTAAACAAAAATTTGAAAAGAAAAATAGAAAGAATACAAATTTCCCTTATTTACAAAACAATATTTAGCAGTAATCACCAGGAAATGTTTGCTGGGCAATAATTAAGTCTCCCAAACGAAGTTTGGGAAGACTTATTGTTTTTGCTCAGTTCTTATTATTATTATTATTCTTCTTCTTCTTCTTCTTCTTCTTCTTCTTCTTCTTCTTCTTCTTCTTCCGCCGCTTTTAAATTTGAACTTGTCCGCACCCGTTCTCCAAAACCGCTTGTCAGATTAACTTAGGGTTTCACAATATGTTAGACTAACATGTCTAGTGGTGCAATCAGGGTTTTGTTTGTGCAATGGGGTTTATAAAGGGGTACTTTGAGGGGCAAAAAGAAAAGAGGGTTTTACTATAGAACCCTATGGGATTTTATTTTTAAAAATTTTCAAATGATTATAAATTGAAAACCGTTTGTGATGGACACAATCTTTTTAATTGAAAATGTTCTAAATGATAAAGCCCATTAAATGAAATACAGGGTTAGTCCCCAGGGGTCACCCCCACCCCCTGCCATTTAAGAAAGTTCTAATACCTTGTAAGTGGTCAAGATCCCCACCCCTAAACCATATATATTCTGGTTTGTCATGCTAAGATGGTTTGAATGATATACAGGGTTAGTCCCCAGGGGTCATCCCGACCCCCTGCCATTTGAGAAAGTTCTAATATCTTGTTAATGGTCGAGATCCCCACCCCTAAACCATATATATTCTGGTTTGTCATGATAAAGCACATCAAATGTAATACAGGGTTAGTCCCCAGGGGTCACCCCCACCCCCTGCCATTTAAGAAAGTTCTAATATCTTCTAAGTGGTCAAGATCCCCACCCCTAAACCATATATATTCTGGTTTGTCATGCTAAGATGGTTTGAATGATATACAGGGTTAGTCCCCAGGGGTCATCCCGACCCCCTGCCATTTGAGAAAGTTCAAATATCTTGTAAATGGTCGAGATCCCCACCCCTAAACCATATATATTCTGGTTTGTCATGATAAAGCACATCAAATGAAATACAGGGTTAGTCCCCAGGGGTCACCCCACCCCCTGCCATTTAAGAAAGTTCTAATACCTTGTAAGTGGTCAAGATCCCCACCCCTAAACCATATATATTCTGGTTTGTCATGCTGAGATGGTTTGAATGATATACAGGGTTAGTCCCCAGGGGTCATCCCGACCCCCTGCCATTTGAGAAAGTTCTAATATCTTGTAAATGGTTGAGATCCCCACCCCTAAACCATATATATTCTGGTTTGTCATGATAAAGCACATCAAATGAAATACAGGGTTAGTCCCCAGGGGTCACCCCCACCCCCTGCCATTAAAGAAAGTTCTAATATCTTCTAAGTGGTCAAGATCCCCATCCATAAACCATATATATTCTGGTTTGTCATGCTAAGATGGTTTGAATGATATACAGGGTTAGTCCCCAGGGGTCATCCCGCCCCCCTGCCATTTGAGAAAGTTCTAATATCTTGTAAATGGTTGAGATCCCCACCCCTAAACCATATATATTCTGGTTTGTCATGATAAAGCACATCAAATGAAATACAGGGTTAGTCCCCAGGGGTCATCCTGACCCCCTGCCATTTGAGAAAGTTCTAATATCTTGTAAATGGTCGAGATCCCCACCCCTAAACCATATATATTCCTATTTGTCATGTCTCGAACATTTGAATGACGTATACGGTCAGTCCCCAGGGGTTCCCCCCACCCCCAATGTTCTTATATCTTGTAAATGGTTGAGATCCCCACCCCTAAACCATATATATTCCTGTTCCTCATGTAATGAACATTTGAATGACGTATAGGGCCAGTCCCCAGGGGTTCCTCCCCACCCCCAATGTTCTAGTATCTTGTAAATGGTCGAGATCCCCACCCCTAAACCATATATATTCTGGTTTGTCATGCCAAGATGATTTGAATGATATACAAGGTTAGTCCCCAGGCATCACTAATGCATATAACTTTACTGGACCAAACCAATTTTCACTGGATGTGGCCCAATGTCAGGCGACCCTGGGAATTACGAATTATGGGAGCTTCGTTTGGGAGACTTCGTAACAGCATCCTGTTACAATCATTTCTTGTTAAAGACATTGTTGCAAAGCAAAGGAAAAAAAGGTTAGGAAGTGGCAAAGTGTTGAAATATTTCTTTTTATAAGTACTATAGGGTTTGAAAACAAAAACTGATGTAAAGTTCAACAGAATATGAGAAGTGTACACAATGTTAAACCTGTTTCATGTATTGGACTCAAATCAACCATCTAGCAAGACATACAGGGAGAAAATACATAAAATATAGCCAAAATGCAGCGATCAGGCTTTGCAAAAAGATATGGGATTTACAATGTATAAGCAAAATTGGGCATTTGTAGACCTTTAACTTGAGTATTCAGATCAAGCACAAGACTGATGACATAAGACAATAGCAACATATAGTTTGACAATATGCCATCACCAATTTGTACAACAGCAATATATCAAAGTACCATTGGTAAAAATATGTTCAAATATCTACCGAAACTAACAAATTTCTACTTTACCTTCAGTTTGTGAATGCAATCTGCTCCATGTGCTAACAGCAGTTCTACTACAGCTAAGTGTCCCCCAGCACAGGCCAGTGATAGAACTGTATGATCATTAGTTGATGTAGCCCTATTTACATCAGCACCTTTAAAATTCAAAGAGAGATAACTAATAAAATTGTATTCGGTTACTACTAATTAGTTTCATTAATTATTTGCATTTACTTGTTTGTTCCTTTTAACTGAAGTACCTCTTGAAACTTAATACAATGCTATAATATTGGTTCTTATTGTAATATTTCTTCCACTAAAAAAAATCCAGAATATTTCTTCCAATTTGAATCTAATATTACAAAGGACATTCTGTTCCATGACAGTGTTTTTTTAAAAAGAATTTTAGAAGTATTTTATGTTTTTGGATTTCCCCAAGTACTTTTTTGGTCTTATTCTATTTTGATGAGCTATTAAAACAATTAACAAGTATACCTTTACTGATAAGAAACTGGACAGTACAGAGATACCCAGCTCTAGCAGCTTTCATCAGTGGTGTTCTACCTCCCTCTGATTCATGTTCCTGTAAAATAATATTTCTAAATCTTATTAAATAGAACAAATAAAGTTTGAAACAAGAATAGAGTATAGTACAAAAACTTTTAAAAACTAAACTTTTTATACAATGGATGATTCTTTATAAATATAATTTCTCTTGAAAAGTAACAGACATTACGTTTACATGTATTAAAATTCATTTACCAGTGGATTGGTCAGTACCAAATACTCACTTCAATTTTATATTTTAACTCAAACTTTGCTTTCTTCACAAATTTAAGAGTATTGTGCAGATATTTAATAAAAGTTTGGGGTAATAATACATGATTTATGGATATAAGCACTATATACTTTTTTTTATTGAAAATTATCAATTTTTAGTTCCTTTGATTTTAACATATGCTAAATTTCTAAATTTCATATTCTTGAAGAAACAAACTTTTCCCAAACAATGAAAATTGCAACCTTGACATCAAATTAATTCATAATATCAGAGTTGTTTTGTTTGCTTATTCATCCCATATCAAAGCACTGTATTGGTTTATGCCTATACATTGTTCAACTAAAACAAATGTTTTACTTCAACCTAAAACTTACAAGTTCAGCTCCATGCTGCAACAAGACTTCAGCAACATCTGTATGACCATTTTCACAGGCATATGTCAGAGCTGTATCACCTGTTCCTGTCTGGGCATGTACATTGGAACCTGACAATATATATATGAATATACATCAGTTGTATAAACTTTGAAATGTATGCGGTGATTCAAAAAAATAATTCCCACTCTATACAGTTTAATGGATTGTTAGAGTTTGCTTATCATTATGTGGACTAAACCTCAACATTAACCCTAAAGCAATGTAATATTAAGATATTAAGAAAATCATGTAATTATTTCCTTAATTGATTTCATTGTAAAAATATTTTGCTGACTTTTTAACAATAAATCTTTACCAGCTTTTAAGAGGTATTTGACAAGTTCAAGATGGCCCTCCTGGGCAGCTTCCATGAGAGGTGTACTACATCCAAGTTCATAGTCAGCTCCTGCTTTGATGAGAAAGTCTGCCACATCCAAGAATCCTCCACAACATGCCAAGGTCAAGGCTGTCTCCTGGGTTTCCTCAGTCTGGGCATTGATATCAGCACCTGCAAGTATTTAACATTACTTAGCAAATTCATGAATAAATGAATAATTGTAATTATTTTGTTCTTTTTAGACAAAAATAGGATTTGTACCAATTTTCTTTTTGTTGTGTAAATCTCTTAATGTGTGTTAAAAACATTGATACTAACCAAATAAAAATTTAATGTTGCCATCTTGGTTGGTACATTATTTAGAATATAGCTATCTAGCCTTTGATATTAAAAGGTCAATATATTTTCTATTTTTGTAGTCCAAATTTTCAGTGTAGCTTCAAGCCGAAGTACTTGAAAATGCGGACTACACAGTTTAGTGTCAATAAAGTGTAGGCTCCAGACAAATGACCTAAATGTTCTGACTACGCAGTATGTTGTACATTGAGTCAATCAGTTCGGTGATTGAACTACAATGGTGTAACCTAAATTTGGATAAGATAAATGCAGCCATATACATAACACTTATTTTATTCATGGGATTACTGACCTTCCAATTCTCATGGCTAAAGTGTTGTTTTCTAGACTACTGTATCACCAAAAATGAAAACATTGTAATTTCAGTGGTTTCAACAGTTATTATAATGAAGGTTTCTTCAAAAACTCCAGTGATTTATATTTTAGAATGGTATATAATGTGTACAAAGTCTCTATTTCCACTGGTAATAGACTTACCATGAGCTAAAAGAAGAGCAACCATTTCTTCATGCCCCTCTCTAGCAGCTTCCATCAGTGGAGTGTAACCTTCATCATTGACTTCTTCCAAGTTAGCTCCCCTCTCAATCAACAAACTTGCCAGTTCTACATGACCACCACATGCTGCTAGAGTCAGTGGGGATTCAAAACTGTCAGCTGGCATATTCACCTTAAATTTAAAGTAAATAATTTGTTCTATTTTTCAATCTATAAAAAAATAATTACATTTTTTACCTAATCTACTAAATCAAGAGATGAAAACTTCCATATTTTGACTCTTCAGGCTTAATTGACAAATGCTGATTTTTAAAAGAAACATAAATTTTGTTCCTGGTCTCAAATCTTTATGTGGAGCATAGCCACTTAACATTCAGATTTGTTGCACCTGTATTAAAACAACTTATAATTTCTAATCACCTGAGCACCACTGTCAAGAAGTAACCTAGCTACTTCTACATGCCCATCCATTGATGCCTCCATTAAAGCTGTATGCATCTCATCTGTTTTGTGTTCCTGGTCTGCTCCAGCTTCTAACAAAAATTTAACCATTTCAAGATGTCCTGTAAAAAGTATGAAATACAATTAAATTATTCTATGCTTTCGCAGTGTAAAAGGAGTTTCATTGACGGATGGGTGGATTGAAGGTTTAACTTTATTATATGTATATCTTACTAAAATTTCATAAAATTCAGCTTCTGGCCTGTAGATTCAAAAGTTATCATGAAGACTGGGACTGAACCCACAACCCCGCCACCACTAGACCATAAAGGTAGTCACATATAATTTTGGTATAAATATGTGTGTCAACATTAATTAATAAAATAGTTTTACTCAAATAACTGTCATATGGAACAACCATCTTATATGTACTAGTGTAAAAACATGCTGCTAAATTACATGGTTTTTTATCAAGTGAGTTCAATATATAAAACTCCAAAAACAGGATACTAAAAAATTGGTTACATGTAAATAATTTTTCCTTCTCATTGGATAAATGTTTCTAGACAGTGCAACTGCCATCAACTGACCTTTGTAGCAAGCCAGTGTAAGAGCACTTTCTTTGAATTCATTGGAATGGGTGTTAATTCCAGCACCAGCATTAAGTAAGATCCTGGCTACACCAACATGACCTGCACTAGCGGATTCCATCAGAGGTGTATGTCCATTTTCATTATGCTGTTCAACATTTGCCCCAGCCTCGATGAGAACCTGTACCACATCTTCATATCCACCACAGGCAGCATAATGTAATGGTGTGTTTCCTGAATTCAAAGGAATATGCATTCAATATAAACAGGTAAATATAACACACATATGTTGTCGCTCATTTCTTTGTTATGTGTGCAATATAGCCTAATGTATTGTTTTCAATATAATATCATTCCATATTTATTGCACAAACAAGTGGTCTGACAGTAAAATGGAAACATTTCATCATGGAATGAATTCTATGAACACATTACAGGATGATTTGCAGATATTTATTTGATCACTAAGGATAGTCAAACATAATATACAGTATGTTTTCACATTTTCTTCTGCATAAAATTTATTCTCAAGTCAGTTGAAATCTTTGAAAAATATTTAATGACCTGCCAAAGCCATATTTAATTGGCACTTTCACAATGACCTTGAATATATGCTTTGATTCACTGATATACATGTTTTATACAGCTTTTTTTGTCAGACCAAAGACATATAAACTATATCTGTTAATTTATATAGCTGCTGACACAGGATGAGTCATGGACATGTTTAATTTCTACTTTCTTTTTGGCTAATTATTATATATTTAATTGATCCAACTTTTTGTGTACTATACATATGTGGATATCTATTTTTCTTTTTTTCTTTTTGGGCTGCTTGTTTGTTATCTATATCAACCACACTTGCAATAAAATGCATTAGTATTAAAAAAAACAACATACTATAGATTCTTTATCTACGTATTCTTTAAGAACTTAAATAGTTCTCGTTTAACTTTTTTTTTTTTTTTTTATCTCATTGTTTGTATTGTATTATGAAAAATTATTGATGTTGTAATGTTTATGCCCTTTGGGGCCCATAATTGGAAATATTAATTGCACTATAGCAGATTTTATACAACCTTCATGACTAGAATCAAAGCAAATTTTCTGTGTCATTTGAAAGTGGACAAGTTTACCATATTTACCAGCTGAAGACTGGGCATTAACATCCGCTCCATGTGAAATCAGCAGTTTTACAATGTCAACGTATCCTCCACTGGCAGCCTCCATTAATGGTGTACAATCTCCCTTGATTCCCCTGTCCTCTACATTTGCCTTCATTGCTAGCAGAACCTATTTATTAGAAAGAAATTTATTCAGTTCCAATGTTGAAATGTTTTTCTTTTTAATAATTCTTTACTATAGTCAATTAAATTGCCAATTTGAAAACAGAATTTTATTTGAAACAAAAGTAATTAAAAAGATAGTAAATTATAAGGTGTAAATCTTAACTTGAAATTGTTTGACATGTGAAACATTTATTTACAAAATATACTTTTAAGTTATATAATTTTCTTTACAAAATATATCCTACAGTAATACAATATTTTTATTATGTGTAAGCTTGGTATGCTTTGACAGAAAACCATAACATCCACTGTTAGACAATAAAAAATTAAGCTATTATTAAAAAAAAAAAGAATAAAATGCTACGCCTGGTGCAGCTTAATACTACTGCAGATGTCAAAACCTGAACAGTTGGGGCAAGTATGGACACTACATTCAAGCTTGATACAGCTCTAAATTTGGATTGTGATTCGACACAGAATGAATGTAGTCAAAGAATTTAAAATTTGACGATGCTGACAGTGCCATAACATTATACAACTGCGGTCTTATAAAAACTGAGCAGTGAAGATGATCATTGTTGTGACATCTACCTGAGCTAATTCATAGTATCCAGCTGAACATGCTAGTGAAAGTAAACTTTCTCCTTCCTCTGTTGTTTCATGAACACTGCCACCTTCATGAAGTAGTTTTCTTACAGTAGGAACATCTCCATCACTACATGCTTCTGCTAATGATCTACATCTAAAAATTTCAAAAGTCAATTAATGTTTTCATTTTTCAATGGTCAAGTTAAGTTTTGTCATTGTATCAAACTTCTTTCTTTTTTGTTTTATAAGGCAATAAAATACAGGGCTTGGCAACATGATTTCTTCCAGATCTAAATAAATGGGGAATGTGTCCATGGGACACAGATGATGCCCCCGCTTGCATATCATATAAAGTTATAAAAGGACATAACTGAAGAATGGTATAAGTGATGCTACCCAAATTTATACTTGAACTGAGTTTTGCGGTAATAAGTATTGTGTATAAGTTTCATAACATTTGGTTAAGGCAAACTTAAGTTAGAGAACGGAAACAAAAATTTCAGCAATTTTTCCATTTGTAAAGGGCATAACTCTAGTTAAAGTGACGCCATCAAAATTCAAACTTGATCTGTGTTTTGTGGTAATAAGCATTGTGTATAAGTTTCATAACATTTGGTTGAGGCAAACTAAAGTTAGAGAACAGAAACCAGCTTTGGGACGTACGGACGGACAAGGGTAAAACTTAATGCCCCTCCGTTATGGCAGGGGCATAAAAATACAACATGGAGTGGGAAATGGCCCCAAAAATGAAGAAAAAAATCTATCAGGTAAATAAAATGCTCCACTGGGCGCAGCTTGATAAGACCGCAGAGGTCGAACCCTGAACAGTTGGGGCAAGTATGGACACAACATTCAAGCTTGATACAGCACTGAATTTGGATTGTGATTAAATATTTGACACAGCATAGGTTTCTGAATGTGGTCTAAGAACTTAAAAATGTTTAATTTACCTATTCAAACCATATCATTATTATTGCTTTTATATTTAAATCAAAATAACCAATTTAAAATGGAAAATTTTAAAGAAAAAAAAAATTCCCCCCAAATTTTTTGAACCCCCTTATGATTCATCAACCCCAAATTCAATCCCAGCCTTCCCTTTGTGGTATGGAACCTTGCAGTACAATTTCAGAGAGATCCATACACTTGAACACAAGTTATTGTCTGGAAACTAGAAAAAAGCTTATTTTTTGGCCCCAAATTCCTAAAATTTTGAGGCAATTACCCTCAAACTCAAACCCAGCTTTCCCTTTGTGATATGGAACCTTGTAGTACAATTTCAGAAAGATCCATACACTTACACACAAGTTATTGTCAAGAAACTAGAAAAATGCTTGTTTTTTGCCCCTTTTTTGGCCCCTAATTCCTAAATTTTTGAGGCAATTACCCCCAAAATCAATCCCAGCCTTCCCTTTGTGGTATGGTACCTTGCAGTACAATTTCAGAGAGATCCATACACTTGAACACAAGTTATTGTCTGGAAACTAGAAACATGCTTATTTTTGGCCCCTTATTCCTAAACGTTTTGGACAATTACCCCCAAACTCAATTCCAGCTTTCCCTTTGTGATATGGAACCTTGTAGTACAATTTCAGAAAGATCCATACACTTACACACAAGTTATTGTCATGAAACTAGAAAAATGCTTGTTTTTTGCCCCCTAATTCCTAAAATTTTGAGGCAATTACCCCCAAAATCAATCCCAGCATTCCCTTTGTGATATGGAACCTTGAGGTACAATGTCAGAGAGATCCATACACTAACACACAAGTTATGTCTGGAAGTTACAAAAATGCTTATTTTTGGCCCTTAATTCCATAACTGTTGGTAGCATAACCCCCAAAATCAATCCCAACCTTCCTTTTGTGGTATTGAACCGTATGGTAAAATTTCATAGAGATCCATTAACTTAAACTAAAGTTAGAGTGCGAAAACCAATGTGTCTTCGGACGACGACGATGCCAACGTCATACCAATATATGACCGCAAAATTTTTGTGCGGTCGTATAAAAACTGATCCAAACATATCCATCGCCTAAAAAGGAAGATTTAATTTACTGGTTTTAAAGACTATTCTTGGTCAAAGAAATCTTTTATACCTCTTTAACTATATGGTTGAGGATCAATTCTTTACATTTACACTTGCAAAACTAACTCTTTCAGTAAATTTTTCAACCAAAGTTAAAATTAAAGCTGAACCTTAAAAGCCAGAGTATCTGGATATAATGAATTTGAAATTGTAGATCTCATTGTTTTAACAATTTCCTTTCTGAATTAAGACCTCCATAGTCAATATTATTAAATATCCAAGTATCAGTGCAAATATATTGTAACCTACCCTTCAGCACCAGCTATCTGTCCTTGTTGTTCAGCTCTCATTCTGTGCAGAGCTTGTGCAGCTTCATCTAGAGCACAGCTAACAGATGATGTTAACTTCCGTAATACTTCAGGGTCTGTTAATGCTTTTCCATCTGCTGTTGACAACTTTCCTATTCCTATAATCAAGATTTCAATTTCAAACAAAAGTGAAAAACATTTTTTTTTCTGCTGATATTTTAATGAACATTGTTTATTTATATTAAATACATACAAACTAATATTGGCTAAATATTGATATAACTTATTTAAGGTGTGGTGAGCCCTGTTGTTGTAGATGTACATAATGGTGACCTGTAGTTAAAATCCTTTTCCTTTTCACTTTAGTGGTTAGTTGTCATTGGCAATAATACCACATCTTCTTTTTTTTATATATTTGCAAGGTGATTCATTTACAAGTAAATTGGTTTTAATGGTTTTGAGATAACCTGAATCACAGTGCATTATGAATAACTGATGATTTTGAAAGATTTACAGCTCAGTTATGTGATTTCCATCGAATATGTATGAAACTTACCAGCAGCTTCTAGTAAAGCTTCAAGTCTGGCATGTGTCTCAGGGTCAATGGAAGGAATGTTGGCATTTTCCATACCTTCGGTTGGTAAAAGGAATTTAGTAGGTTCTAAGTCCTGATCATCATCTATTTCATTGTCCATAATAAAGGACCCAATCTGCAAAATAAAATTGTCGTCTATGAAACAAACCAACATCATAATTGATGAAAAAAAACTCATCTCCTGCTAATTTGATTCTGACATTTTTAAGTCCAAGTTCTTATCAATTCAAGCTAGTCTAGAGAAAGTTATCATGATAACAATCCAAAATACATTATGTCAATCCAAGGATACAAATCAAAGTGTATCCAGAGCTCACACTTTTTCAGAATCAAAAGTGACTTCTTTTTGAGAAACTCAAGTTCTTGAAAAGTGGTGGTCTGAAAATTTTCGACATCCAAAATTTTGCTAAGGACCGACAACAGATTTTCTTCACAGACCAGCAGGAAAAAACATATTTCAGGAACTCTGGAAAATGAGATGAAGAAGTGTTGAGACCTTACAGAGAAGTACTTAGCCACTCGTGGTGCGAAAACAACTGCAAGTTGTTGCTATTTTGCCATTTACATCCTTTTACTTTTTTCCTTCCTTTTTGTTCAGTACAAATCTTAACGGTTTTATGTTATGCCTCTTAGGCCCAAAATTTATACTTCTTTCCTATCTCTTAGCAGAAAAATATAGGGTAGATACATTGAAGCTGAGAAAAATAATAAATGTTTTTTCAAAATATTTTACTAACATTGTAGACTATAGTATATAGAGAAATGTTCTCTGCTTACACGGTGCATAACCAAATTGTCTAGGGTTTAACAGTTCTTGACCAACAGTGTCAATAAAATGTCCAGGGTAGACACATGTATGAAAATTTTGGGTAAAGTGTGATGCAGGGCGCAAACATTATATATTTTTGGCCTTTTATTAAAACATAACTATACTTTGTCTAGTCCACTATTTAGGTAACTGTACTCTACCATCTTCATATGTCCACAGGATACTATGCCAATGAATTGAAAAATCTGGGTCAAATAGATATAAGAAGATGTGGTATGAGTGCCAATGAGACAACTCTCCATCCAAGTCAAAATTTATAAAAGTAAACCATTATAGGTCAAAGTACGGTCTTCAACACGGAGCCTTGGCTCACACCGAACAGCAAGCTATAAAAACCTTTATTTCAAATACATTGTAAAAAGTTCACAACATAATGAACATGTATATTGCAGGGATTCCTAAGGTCTTCTGAGTTTCACTGGACATTTGGTTCAGTAAAAATGGAGCATTTACTGGACTAAATAACTTTTTACTGGGCCAAATAAATCTCATCATTTTAATCTTTCAGAAAATAGTCTCCCAGAAATATTTTGTAGAGGCTGTAAAATTGGTTCTTAACGAAATGTTTAAGAAGTCTTTAGTGTAAATCCTCTGCAATTGTAATTCCTTCCTCTATAGGAAGTTGATAAATATAGACCAGGGGTTTTCTTTTCCATGGTGTCTAAAATACAATTTTTGTTGAAATTTGTACAAACTTTTATTTTTCTCTTATATCAACCAATGTGCACTTCATAAAGACCAATAAAATATGTGTTTAGCCTTTAGGCTTAACATTCCAGGTTAACTAACGTGTTTTAGCCATTTGCAATCTTTCAGTGAACAAACATTGGCGCAATTGCTTTGTTTTGATTACCTCTTGTTGCAGTTTTAGATGAAGTAATGTAGCAGTTACAACAACTGATATGTTGGTTGAAAGATTTTATAGTTCTTTTAAGAAATGTAAGGGTTGGAAAGAAAACCATACACACATTTCTATGAACAGACCCGACTTTATAGGATAAATTACAAGCCCAAGTAGGATTTTCCCCTACATTTGCAAGTGTCTGACTGACCTTTTGAATGACGGACATTGTATGCCAAGTTTTAAGTTGATGTGGCCACAACTTCACAGGAAGTAATAGACCAAGAAATCTAGTGTTTCCTGCAGCTTATGAAAAGGGTGGGGTTTTCACAAAGGGCACTCTCAACATGATTGGCAACACTTTATGGACACCCTTAATCGAGATAAAAGGGCACTGTTATAAATTGGTATTGTATGGGAAAATTCCTTTAATATTTACTGTATATTGAGAACTTTGATATTTTTTTACAGACCATTGTCAAGTTACATTTTACTTGTCCGAGGATAACAGACAATAAAATTTACTTGTTCAGTGGTTGGATAAGTAAGTCATGCAAGGCATTTCCATACCCTTGAAAGTTATTTCAAATCGTCATTTATACATTAATTGAGACAATATCCACTATTTAATGATTATTCCTGATTAGTTCTTTCCAAAAAAAAAATATCAACCAAATGTATAGCTGACCTTTAGAAATTACAACTGGTACACATGTACTCAGTAATTGATGGAAAAATCTTATATCTATGCAGAAGGTACAATAAGATTATGTTTTGCAACAAATCAAAATGGTAAAGCTTCAATTCTAATCCATGTGACAAGTAATTAAATATGGTCGAATTCATCATTATGTAAAACAACTGTTAAGATCATAAAATAAGAGGACTGTGCATGCATGGTGATTTGAGCTTTCTTTTTATTTGTAGAGATTATGAATATGAATAAATGTAAGGATATTGACTACATTTCAAGGCTTGATTTGTATTCAGTAAGTTACAAAATTGAAATATGTATTTATTTCAATTTTAAAACATATTTCTCGTGGCATAATTTATCCATTTTACTAATATTGAATTTCTTCTCTTGTAATCATGGATTCTAGGGTCACATGTTCCGGATAACCAATGGCTTCCTGTCCCTAAATCTGGTCGCATATTTCAACTAAATTATCAAATGACAACCGTTAATCTTTAATTAGTTCATACGTACATCTGAATTATCATCGTCGTCGCTTGCAGATATATCGGGCCCAAAAGTTGACTGAGCTGTGGGTGCATTGTCAGACTTTTCTTCGGAAGATGACCCCGTCTGACTGCCTTGCTCGATTTCAACGGTTCGCATTTCATTGTTTTCTTCTGAATTATCATCTTGATTACCATTCTGCATTTCTGCGGTCAATTCAAACGCAATAACTGGTTATAGTTTATATTTGTAGCACTAATAAAATAAACTCTGCGTTTCATAAACTCATGCTAAGTTGCCACCTTGACCGCCATTACAAATGTACCATAAAAGCCCCGGATGAACTGATGTGCGCAGGAGCAGACAACTATGACAATGAGTTAGGCGACGTTTCCATTTCGTCACTGTTTTCTTTCCATTTTTATTCATTTTTATTCATTTTTTCTCTCATTCGCTTCTTTATTCCACTTCATATCTTCAAAATAACTTAATTGTTCACGGATAAAATTGTACAGGGTAAAACTAATCTATTTTTCGGGGTTTTTTACGGCTCGCTCGCTCGCTCCTGAAAAAAAAATCAATAAATATTTCGATCATATATAATTTGTTTGTTTGTTTGTTTGTTTGAAAAAAAAATTCTAAAAAAATGGAAGCAGTATTTTAATTTCTCGACGTCCCACTGCTGAAATAAATCTGAGAGCTGTCTTATTTTGTTAGGTTGTTGTTTCGCCATGCAGTTGACGCATGTTTCATTTTTATTAATAATTTTTACTATCTAAGGCTGCTAAACAATTATTCTTAGATTTTTTTCATAAGAGGAAAATTTAAGTCACCCACTTAAAAATCAGAGGATAAAAAATATTTGAACATATCAGAATGAATCTCATTTCCCTTTTAACAGTCTCAGAATTAAGGCGCATTTAAAACAAAAAAGCAACATCTATCAATAGGCCTGCGTGGGTCTACAGCTCATACACCATATTGCATGTGCTTCTACTTCGAACAACGAACTCAGAATAAAGTTTCAGGATGGTTATACTGATAATATTGAACGTTTGGTTTAAATAAAATAAAATATTGAATATTTATTGATTTACTTCAGCAAAACATTCATATATTAATAACAATACACACACAGTAGCGACGACGGTAACGTACCACTGTGTTTTGCCACTCGCTCGCTCGCTCCTGAAAAAAAAAAATCAATAAATGTTTCGATCATATATAATTTGTCTGTTTGTTTGTTTGTTTGTTTGTTTGTTTGTTTGAAAAAAAAATTCTAAAAAAATGGAAGCAGTAATTTAATTTCTCGACGTCCCATTGCTGAAATAAATCTGAGAGCTGTCTTATTTTGTTATGTTGTTGTTTCGCCATGCAGTTGACGCATGTTTCATTTTTATTAATAATTTTTACTATCTAAGGCTGCTAAACAATTATTCTTAGATTTTTTCCATAAGAGGAAAATTTAAGTCACCCACTCAAAAATCAGAGGATAAAAAATATTTGAACATATCGGAATGAATCTCATTTCCCTTTTAACAGTCTAAGGCGCATTTAAAACAAAAAAGCAACATCTATCAATAGGCCTGCGTGGGTCTACAGCTCATACACCTATTGCATGTGCTTCTACTTCGAACAACGAACTCAGAATAAAGTTTCAGGATGGTTATACTGATAATATTGAACGTTTGGTTTAAATAAAATAAAATATTGAATATTTATTGATTTACTTCAGCAAAACATTCATATAATAACAATACACACACAGTAGCGACGACGGTAACGTACCACTGTGTTTTGCCTTACAAGATGTTGACCAACAAACATTTTTTAGATTGGCCGCTAATTGGAACCCAATGCCCTAGCCTTTGTCTCGCTTGCGACTGACGTCAGCTGTAAAAGCGTAATTTTGCTGACTGCTAAAAAAAGGCAGTGGCTATTTTGCCGGCTCCGGCAAAATAGCTTCTTAGGTGCTATTTTACCGGCTCCGGCAAAATAGCAAATTATATAAAAAAAATTATTTTGCCGGTCTTATTTCAAGTTTTTTTTTATTAAATGAAATAATTTTTTTATAGAAATCATTGATGTTAAAAAATGAAGACCATACTTCGTTGTCAAAAAAACTTGAAATAAACGCTATGATCGACTCATATATGAAGAGCTAAAGCAGGTTTTGGAGCACTTTAAAAAGGTCATCTATGTGCAGCTGTGGAAACGTGATTCAAGGACAATAACATTTATGAAGGCTAGAGCACCAAACAAAACATTTAAGAACGATATAATCCGTGGTGAAATAAAGTACTGCTTTGTTCATGGCGCAAAGACCACAAACATTCACCCACTGACTGGTTAGTCAAGTTGTTTTATCATAACATGTACATGTATCTTCCGTTTTTTCCGTGCCTTTATATATACATTTTAAGAATGGCAGCACGCATTTGAGGTGACAAGCTGCACAGAAACTTACATCGTCAAAACATGCGAAATTGTCCGTCATTCAACATCTTTCAATCGATTTAAACCAAACTTGGTATACACTTTGCACTAACAAGTGCGTTATATTACAAACTTAAAATAACAAATATAACATAATTGTGTTATTCACGCTAAATAGCAAATCATAAACAAACTATTCTAAAACCCCTATTCAACAAGTGTTATGTGCAGTTTATGTCTGCAGTGATAGTATCTTTCTTGTGCAAGACTAACAAGTACACCAAAAGCAAGGCACTGGTTTCGTAACACTTGTAAAGCATTTTGAAGTTGTTGAATTTTACTTTGAATTCAAAACTTATGGGATATTTTTATGACAAGTTTTTATTAGAATATCAATTTTAATGCTTTGCTTATGTATTATATTTTTTAGAAAATACATATTTTTTTTTGTATGTAAATTAACTTTCAATTTCTAAACTTATGGGATATCTTTTATTAGAATGCCAATTTTAGTATGCATGCTTTGCTTATATGTAATTTTTTAAAATAAGACATATTTTTTTTTTAGAGATTTCATATTAACATGTTAAAGTGTATGTTTCTACATTTCTTTCTATTCGTAATTAATATACTGAAAAATCTTAATCAAGACCGGCAAAATAGCAAAACTCTATACAAATCGCTATTTTGCCGGAGCCGGTAAAATAGCACCTAATGGCCATTGCCAAAAAACCCACAAAAAACAACTTTTGGGTGTCGTTGGCTGTTGTTGACTGCTGTTTGCTATATATGCTTTCCGTTGCTTAGGCACATATCAGGTCGAAAGTTTTCAAGTTTGAATTGTTTCTCATTTTGTCATACCGTTTTTTATTTTAATTTTATAGCTTATAGCTTACTATTCGGTATGGGTTTTGCTCATTGTTGAAGGCCGTATGGCGACCTGTATAGTTGCTTACATCCACGTTCTATGGTCTCTGGTAGATAGTTGTCTCATTAGCAATCACTTAGTCCATTTATCCTGAGTAAAATACAGACAACTATAACAAGAAAAAAATATACCCATGATGCAATCTCTTGTGTTATGAAGAAGCTTCTCAGTCGAATTTTTGTTTAAAATTCAATGAAGGTTCAAATGACGAAGTTATTCAGGTTTTAAAATCTTCAATCAAAGACTGTACCTACATGTTGGCTGCAAAAACAAACAAAACAACAATTCAGAAAAAGTCTATTTATTGGTAAAATACGATTGATTGGTTGTTGTTTACTTTTCATATAGTGTGACAAATATTTCATGCATGTTCAGGACGAGAACAAATCAACAATAAAAACAATAGGTATACTTTTACTATACTATGTTTACTTGTTTTTGTTTAAATGTCTTTTTGATCGAGTTAAGCCATTTCAATTGATATTTTATAGTGCGTCTTTTTATGTTGTTATGTCACACTTCTGTCTCAGGTTAGGGTGAAGGTTGGCGCCTGTTAAAACGTTTGAACCCGCTGCATTTTTATGCACCTGTCCTAAGTCAGGAGCCTGTTGTTCAGTGGTTGTCGTTTGTTGGTGTGGTTCATAGGTGTTTCTCGTTTCTCGTTTTTTATATATATTAGACAGTTGGTTTTCCTGTTTGAATTGTTTTACACTAGTCATTTTGGGGCCCTTTATAGCTTGCTGTTCGATGTAAGCCATGGCTCCGTGTTGAAGGCCGTACTTTGACCTATAATTGTTAACTTTTTATACATTGTGACGTGGATGGAGAGTTGTCTCATTGGCACTCATACCACATCTTTTTATTTATATGTAAAAGGAATGGACTGGGATGAAGGGCGGGAAATTTGGACTGCCATTAGAAAACATATGGTATATTGAATAGGGCTAGAAATTTAGCCTTTAATACAAAATGTGCTTCAGTCAACGCGTTTACACTCAAATAAAATTACAAAAAGAAGCATTCAATTCTTAATTAAGGGACGAAAAAGGTTATTGCTGTTTTAAAAAATGAAGACTGTATTAAGAAGTTATCTCCAAAACAAACTATGTCCATCTATCGAGTAAAATACGGGGAGAATATTTTTATAGATTCACTTTAGCTGCTATCTTAATCACAAAGAAGCTTCGGTACAATTTCCAAACCATTCTAAGAAGGTTTGACAAAGTTATTGATGATTAAAAATGTATTCATAGACTGTATATAAGCGATAGTTGCACACAAAAAATGAGTTCATTTATATGTAAAATCCGGAAAACATAATTTAGATGCTGTCTCTTGATCACGAAGAATCTTCTTTCCAATTTTCGTAAAATTCCATGAATGTTTCACAATGTTATGATGTCTTTCAAAATTCATATATTCTATCATAGATGTATTAGACGTAAGCTTCTCATATCGGAGGGGCGTTAGCCCTTTAGATATGAGAAGCTTACATCTGATTTTCACAGGACAGAAGTAATACATAAATATTTTATCTTTTTCTCTTGTTCTAAAAAGAGCAATTAGTTTTGATAAAACAGGAACAGTGTCATTATCTCAAATTTTCCTGATACAGTAACACTTTCAGAAGATGTTTTATAGTTTGGATTTGGAATGAAATCTTAATTGAGTCTATTTTTCTGTCATCAAATTTATACCTTATCACTGCTTTTGTATGGCAATATGAATCACTGTACTATCTTGTCTTTTTCTGCTTTAATTGCCAAAATCTGAACTTTTTGCTAATCAATGATAACACCTCTATGTATAAATACTATTTTAGTTAATTATGTAACAGTGTGTTGCAAATAGATTCCGATAAAATTACAAAACTACATAAGAAAAATTATACTTGGATGTAATTTTTAAGTCCCATCAAATAATATGTTCTCTTCTTTTATATGGTAAGCATCTACAGAAAGAG